GACTGTAACGGACAAACCATTATCCAAATAACCGACATTCTAAAGAAGAAGGGGCTCGTTCAACCCACACCAGGCTATAAACTCAAGGGATTTGCCCGGCGGGGGCTGCCAAAGTATAGCGTCCCACAATCAGAGAATATCCATCAAAGGTTAAAGAAGGAAATATTCCACCCCATGGTGAAAATTAAACACCTTGTAAGTTGCATACTAGTCTTTAAAAAAGCAGCAAAGGATGCTGACGATTATCACAGTACGTCCTGAATAGTCCGGATGGTCTGAATAACCTAGATCCAAATTCCATTAGTCAAGAGCTTGACCCCATTGATGCTCCTACTGTAGCTGGGAACACGCCATTTGATGAGCTCGGACAGAGAGGACAGAGGACGTATAGTTCCACCGGAGGCCTGCAGGATCTGCCGGCAAAGAGCCCGGATCACAAGAGAAAGTCATTACCGGACAGTGATAAAAACGAGAGCTATGAATCCGATGACCTTGATAAGAATGACCGGGCTGCAGAGGAGCAACTGCATAACAGCTTCCTCACCGATGAGAGTATGAGCTCAAAAGCTAGGGTATCGAGCCAGCGGACATCTGATAGTCAGGGACCTCGACGTAGCGGCAGGAAAAGGCGTAAGATAAGCAACTATTCTAAGCTTATCGATGTTGGGGCCGAGACGAGCGATCGTGAGAGCATCTAGACCAAGAGGATGTTTCTGAAAGCATACAGTGGTCGTTTGGCATCGTGTTACGGCATTTACCAGCTGGGAAGATAGGGCGCTAGGGTCTGATCTAGAAAAAGCAAAAAAAAAACGGGAGGGGGGGGGGGGGGGAAAGAAAAGAAAAGAAAAGGGAGTGGCTAGGGACTTGCAACATAGCAAGCACTTGAGCAAGGTGTCAAAAGGGAGGCAAAAGTGTTTCTACCGAGAATCACCTTTCTGAAGGCTTTTTAAAAAAAAAAGGCTGAGGCTTGGTTGCCTCGGCAAAAGCAATGTGCGTCTGATGGATTGTTCTGGGAGGGTGTCCAGGAAAGATATCAGAAAACCCAAAGGACTGATACCTAGTATGTATTCTACTTTTGAAGGTGGGCTGCGAAGAAACTGGATTCTATAGTGGAGCATCTTGTATCCGTAGGGCACATGCTCGCCTGTATAATGTGCTGAAACTGGAAAGCAACGGGTAGTAAGTTGCTCCAACAAAAATGAAGTGCCACTGGTATCTAAACAGACATCAATCACTCATATATTCAGCAACAATGAAGCTCTCTGAAGTTACCGTAGTGTCTCTGGGGACCTTGGATACATGCGTGCGTCATTGACTTAGGATCATCCTGTAGGGCAGATATGCTTTCTCGGATCTCTGCTGACATTCGGTTATGTGTCATTAGCTCGGAGGGAAGACGATCAGATATGTTGAGATGTTGAGATCTTTATCAACTGTAAGGCACACTTTGACGGGCCCAGATCAGCGATTCCCCCTTGCAACGTGATCGTGCATGGAGCGAATCAAGAGCTAGAGCGGAGAATTCTGATGGGGAACTCGTCCGATTTGAAATCATAATGAGGGGCATGAGAGGGCCTGAGCTCAGCCGATCCATGCCTGTATTCCGTCGTTGTACTCCGTATTCTGGGCTGTAATTGATCGATTGTTGCTATGTTTGGAGTCCTCTAAGTGGACAGGTGGGTTTTTCTCGGCGTAGGATCCAAGCCACCCTCTGTGCGCCTGATCAGATCCTACTCTGTATTGCAAGGGATGTGGGATGTTTATAGATCAACCGAATGAAGACTGAAAAGAAAATATATATATATATATATATGTTAACGTTGAAACAAAGTCATCCACTGAGAGTGGTAGCGACCGGCAGTTACGAGCGGCTCTTTTCAAGTCCATTATTGCGATTGCTCGAAGCTTTCAATACATTGGAATCAGACCGTGGTTGAACTCGGAATAGTTGCACTTTTAATTTTGGCGATGGAGCAATTTGACACTGCCGAGTTGAATGGGATCGCCTGTCAGCGCCTGGTCGGTAGCGAGCGACTCCTTTTTGTGGCTTTGTCTCAGTTCATCAATGCCCCGCGTGGGGAATTGGTCACCCGGCAGACCGACGGTCGAAGGCGCGCATAGACAAGGTGTTTTCGCTGAGCCCCTATTGTCGACTCTACGCAGTACTACCGAGTGTTTAGGTGAAACGTTAGTAATTTGTCATCTTTAGTCGATCCCCTATTTTCGTTCTGCGGAGAACCCAATTGATCCCAGCAAGCCGGATAGACAGAGGCGTCGGTGGCTTGGCAGATCTGCACTACACACAATAGACCATAGAACAGACCCTTGATGCACGTAATCAGGGCGAAATGCGAACAGTTACTAGTTCTGCCAGATCTGTCGAAGACCCTTGGCGGCCGTCCGCTTGAGCAGCGCGTTCGGCACCAGTACAGGCGACCTGTACACTACCTGAGTGTGGTATCTACATGCATACACTCTGGTGGCTGCAGCGGATGAAGTAGGGGTTAAACCTTGTAAGTCACATACCTTGGGTGCTCGACGCATGCAAGATGGTCTTCAATGCCGAAGTGCATCTCTGTGGAGTCGGGAGCTTTAGACCATTATTCAATTGCCAGTCTGAAACCACTAGTAACCGGGCAGGTTCATGACAACATATCTTTGCCTCTCACGGGAAAGTGAGGCCTAATGTTTATGCCACCCTGCGATGGAAATTATCAAATGGACCTGACGACTATTGATGACGATCCCAGCATCCTTGGGTAACATGGATCGCCCTTTCAAGGTTGGGTTTCAAGCACATGCATGTTAAGCACCAAACCCGGATCATTTCACGCAAATCCCCTATTAGAATCGTGCGAACATCGGCGGGAAATAGATGGGTCGGACGACAAACCGCAATGTTCCCCATTAGTGCAGTACGACGTGTCCGATATACTCCGCGGCACGGTGATCACTGTTGGAAACCTTTGTTCGTCTGAGATTGAGACTATTGAATGGGAGGCACTTGTGACCCCACCGATATGACGGCTAAGGATGGCATTGGCGCGCGGGAGGTGATCAACAACTGGTTGTACTCATCGGGTAGGATAGAAAGACGGCGCGGCTTGAGGAAAGTTAAAGAGCATTTCCAGAGTTCTTCGCTCTAGTAGTTCGGGATCGAGCCCATGGATCGAGTGGTTGTCAGAACGGGTGGAGAACCGATAGTGCTCCTGGGTAGCCCCTTAAAGGGGCCTTAGGTGTGGAAATTATGGCTTCGGTACCCTACCAAAGTCATACGCAATCTATTGCTTTACTATATCAAGGAAGGTTATTAGTATAATGAGACCAACAACAATGCTATTGAGACTATTGATGTTATTTCCATGGAGACCGCGAGCTTTCATTCATCACAGCAAAGGATTACATTGGGATTGTCGGCGGACAGCCGCGTGCGAGCTTAGCTGCACGTGCCCGCCTCGTGTATTTATGCCGCGGAAGATTGATTCGAACTTTGCTGCGTCAACGTCGACGGTAGTAATTCTCCTAGAAGGATTTAAATTTAAGATGAAGAACGGAAACGAACCGCTATAAGCCAACCTTGTTGAACGGACTAATGATGTCTGTTATATTAATTGGCCTTGTAGCTACTAGTATACCAAAACCAAGAAGGACCTATCGTGGTATTGTCCACGTAGATACTACACATACATGGAAAGCATCTCGAGTTACCTAGGCTATTTAAAACCATTTATCGCCGTACACACGTCACTGAAGGGACAATTGACCATGGGTTGGCTAGTTTTTCTTTTACGTGAGTGGTGGTATGATTGAATGGTGGTCGCCTACTACAACTAAGTAGTACTAGTAGTAGTGTACACTCTCGGTCTCTGACCGGTCCACCCGCACTAACCCAGAACCACTCTCGACTGAATAGAATGGATAGAACCATGGGTGGTGCCTGTCGATAATTACTGATATTGTAAGAAGCTAAGACAAGAACTATCGAGTTGTGTACTCCGTACTATGGACGCCGAATTTAAGTTGGCCACCCCCGTTTATTGTTTGATGGAGCTTATTCTGTGGCGGTTTCTCTCTCTCCTCTTATGCGGGCTTTATCGGTATTGCTCTCAATGCTCCACCAACAAAGGTGTAGTCCCATCTGAGAGCACGCACTCGATGGAGTAGAGGATACGTGGATCTCCCTGTTTCGGGTTCTCCATAACAAATCGCGCGTAACTCAGTTGTTGGTCCATGCGTGCTTTTTAGATTGCCTGGCGGCTTTTTTTTCCCTTTTCCTATTTTTCTTTTTTTTTTTTTTTTTGGATACCTTTCCCATCTTAGCCCCTTAAAGCTAAGATTAATTTACTAGTACTCAGTGTTCTAAATCCTTTCCCACCCCGTCTTCAGCTGTCCAAATGTAATCAGGACTTATAGTGCCTAATAAATATCCTAGGCTCGCTCGGGCGGACTCTTAGTCTCCGATCAATTCCTTGTCTATTTGCTGTGCTTTTGCATCATTAAAAGGACACCCGTGACCTGCTCCCTTCAGCAATATTTGACGCCTCTCCTACCGATTCTTGGCCGGGTCAATACTCCCCCCCACACCTGTTAGAACCCCTGTTCTCTGCACCCTTCACACCAGGGACCTCGATTTATCTAAATTGGATCTTGTATGCTGTCGACGGACTAGCGGCGACTGGGAAATGAAAAGTTTCTCGTGATTGAACCGAACAACTCTCACCGACTCACTGTGGGGAAGGGCACTATTTTGGGGTCGAAAAGTGCGAAACAAAAGCCCAATCCTGGACCAAGGGTGAAGAAGAAAATAAACCAAAGCATATCTATACCCACGTCGACCGGCACCTGAGACGCATTGGGTTACACAAAATCTCGTCCTTCAACGCAGCATTAGAACTTCTCGTTCGACAATCGCCGCCAGTGACAATCACAATTACTGATACAACCGGCTTGCGCACGGCGAAAATTTCAGAACGGAAGCTCAGGTGATCGAAGCTTCTAAGATGCCTCAGCAGACCATGACGATACCCATGCGCACATCGAGTGTAAATGCGGTGTCGAACGGGATGCATATGTCAAATGCTAGCCATGAAGATTTGAGACGCGAATCAGCGTCAAAAGCCCAGAAGATATTGGGTACGACTGAAATTCCTATGCCTCAAGATCAATCCCGGCGAGAAGACAGAAAATCGCGAGGAGCTAGCTTCATGAGAGCCCCGGATATCAAGTCGAAGAAAAGCGGCGGTTTTGCTGCATTCCCTACTCCTACACCTGAGACAACTTTACCACCACCACATCTCCGTGTTCGAGCATCATCTCCGCTGCTCGGGCAGGAATATCGATCACAGGATGCTATGCCACCGTCTATTCCCACGCACTCTAAAAGGGTCCAGCAGTCCGGCTCCTCATCTACACTGTTTTCCTATTTCAATTCCCGCAACTCTACTCTGGACTCTAATCTAAGTCGCAATACGACAAAAGATTCTATAGCGACTGAAGAGAAGAGCTTTCGAGAGCAGCACAATGTCGAGCCACGGTATGGTTTGAAACAACCGAAGGGTCCTATGAAGGAGTCGAAACGGAAAATGCGCCCACCCAGAATAGATCTCTCTCTCCTATTCCCAAAGCCACGAGTGGATGCTGCACCCCTACTGTCACCGCAACGATTGGTGAATTCGCCGTCTGCAATATCAATGACATCTGAGCATCCCGCAGCCAAACCGCAGAATTTTGACAACCCTGAAACTACAAAGAGAGCCACAAAAAGTCCTCCGGGACACAAAATGAAGGGTCATCAAGCCACCGACGTCGCCAATGAGTCTTCACCGATTTATGAGTCAGGCAGCACAAACTGGCTTGATCCATCGCTTGAAAGAACAGTACGCACTAGTGAGATGGATATGGCTTTAAAACGTTATAGCCAATTCCAGAAAGCTCCTCAGCCCAGTGAACCGACCCGATCCAGTCAGTTGCATTTACGACCACGGGATCGTGAACAACTACAAGCAAGTGATACAAAGTCTACAGGGAGCTCTTTGCGAAAGGTCCCATCTAATAGCTCCGCTGGTGGATGGAGCAGGGAACTATACTTGTCTCCCAAATCTTTCTCCCGCCCACACAACAATCGTATTTCTAACTCATCGAACGCACGGCACGCTGACTCACGTGAAAACCCCTCAGCCTACAAGAGTTCAATGTCGAAAAAGAGCAGTAAAAGTACTCTGAAGAATGTGGATCTCAATAAATCGAGTGTGCTTTGTCTTTCATCATCAGAAGACGAAGAGGATGAGGAGGAAGCGCCAGCCAAACATGACAAAAACATAAGAGACAGCGTAACTACCTACGGTGAATTCGATGCTGAGATATGTACAGCTTCTGCGGCACAAACCACGAAAGGAACACTGAGACGAGTTGAGAGACCTTACTCTATGTCTGCTAGTAGCCGTGGGTCTCAGTCTGTCCGTCGACAACAGCAAACTATATTACGAAACCCGTCAATGTCGTCTGCGGGAAGGTCAACCGTTGAAACGAGGAGTCACCGCTCGAGTGGTGTACCCACGATATCAGAACCAGACTTCCTCAATACCGATCCTATGGTTAGCCAAGTACGAAAACCTTCTCAGAGGGCACGTCTCCAGCAGAACCAGCAGAACCGCAGAAGCCGTGTTATAGCCGTGACAAGGCAAGAAGAGCACTTACTCGAAGCAATGAGACAACGAAAAGGAAAAATAACCCCTAGTCTTTTCCATGAAGCTCGTTACCAAGATAACCTCGAGCCCGATAGAAATTCTATGCTCTCGGTGCCTTCGCGGGACTCATTCTACGGGTCCGACATCTCCTTCCTTCGACTCAGCCCTGGACTACCTCCTATTATGGCACGGAAAGACCAAGGTGCAAACCATTTTGATAAGGACGGTTCCATTTCCCAGGGCGCGGCTTCTGATGCAGAACAGAAAACCACTAACTCGAACGCATCCCCTCGAGTTAGCTTGATCTACTCGGAAAGTCTTCCCTCGCCAGCAACCAGTGGAGCTTCCCCATTGACACCAACCCTTCCTATACATCGCTTTTCTCCACTCCCATCACAAAAGCCGCCCCCGCGCAATCCCCCCCCGGCTATACCATCAGTTCAACGGCGACATTCAAGGCGACGTACGGATAGCAGCGAGGCCATCGTTTTAGGCAACGCCGAGGAACGAAAGGAAACAGACGATTTCCCAATTTGGGCCTTGGGGTGGGGAGGTAATGATAATGCCAACCTTACAGCAGTACACTGAAAGTCTGACTGTAACCAATCACATTTCACAACACCCCGGTCCTTACTACTACTAGTAGTAGTACTAGTACTGCCATGAACGAATCACTCATCCGCCATTATACCCCGAGGTCTCGTCATTGATTGACACACCTGCAACACGTCTCACACTTTCCTTACTTCTTAATCTATACACTCCTTATTTCCATCACTATCTCACTCTCTGATCTTTTCTTATCTTGATTGATTTCCCAGCATTCGCTGTTTCATACGTTTCTTTGTCTTTCTTACATACCACACGATGACCGGCTAGACAAAGCCATTTTCTTATACACTGTATTTACTACACACCAGGTTCTTAATGCACAGGAAGAAGGAATAAGCATAGGCTAGTCTAGCTTTCTATGTCTCTATAAACTTTGCCCATGAATTCAAACATAATTCATGATTCTATCTTTATACCACATCTTTTATTTTCGGGTCCGTAGGCTTAAGCATAGTGAAATACATAACCTGTATAGTATACTTGGTGCGGGATCAGCTATTTCCGAGATTTGGCTAGGATGCATTCCAGTGTTTTGTATCCCTTACTTTGCCCTTTTCTTGTCCTTCAGATCGGGCACCTTAGTCGAGAGGCACGGAAGTCATGGCCCACTCGGGCATTGGGAAGCATATTTTGATTATGAATTCAGGCTCAGCCACTCTATGCGTCCAAGCTCAGCTTCACTGCCCAACTAAGCTAGTCACAAGTCAAAAGCTCTCACTCGATAGGGTTCTACTTGCAACAGCTCTTGCATGTTTGACGATCTCGGAATGCAATAGAGTCAATCTGTGAAGTTTATATTTCAAAACGAAATTCATCTAGAAGGGCCACTCGTATATGCAAGGGAACAAGTGCATGTGGTCTCATGGAACAGAAAGCAAAAAGAATAAGAGGTGGAGAGAGGATACAAAAAAGGTCGCGTGAGCTCTATGGATGATAGATGACGGGCTGATATATTTAGATCCACTAGGAGTCACTGTTTCATTGGCACGTAGAAATAGTGTTGAGCAGACAACTTATGGTCCCGAGTCCCGTGGGTATGGCCTGTGAACTAAACCTAGATCCAGTTTGCAGATAATACTTAGCTCCCGAAACAACCAAGGAAATAACAGGCGTTCGATCGAGGCCTTGGGTATCCTGGGATCCATCCATTTTAGGGGGAAACTAAAAAAATAAAGTAAGAGTCATAGGTACTTTGTTGGAAAGCTTATACCCGGCACAATTTCTCGAGGACAAGTCCCTGCCGGTGCTTTGTACATGGATAGGCATACGTTGTTGTGCTGAATCTCGATCTTGTGTACTCCGTACAGGAATAACGTCAAGGGTCCATCGCGATCTATCGGGTCGATAGGTCGATACGACGAGGGTGGCTTGAGTTAGTAGTAGTTACAGAAATTAGCAGTCGAGGCGTGTCGACCCAAAGGGGCACTGCATCCTACCCAATTGAAGGATGTTTCTAGGCAGCTGACGTCAGAGTGCCTTCGAATGGGTCCGAAAAGCAAAGTCGATGCAAATCCAAGGACTTAATTCCATGGAATGAAAATCAAATGGCTGAAAAGAAGGAAAACTAAACCAACCACTAGAGTTGGACTCCACACCGCTAAAACTAGTTAAGCGCCGCATCACGTTCAACATGAAGGAATACGAATTGCCATAACCCGACCCCAGATCTTCCTTTTTATTAGTAACGGCTCGTAAGCCTCTCAGCTCAGATCCCCTTTCATCCTAGGTCCACGCTTTGTTTTCTTTCCTCTTTGTCTCCTGCCAACCACCCCCTTATCTCACCGTGAGTTATTCACACCGGAGTTGAGCTCCACCTGTGTCCTATTTTGTGCGAACGCGCAAAGGACCTTCTCTAACTCGGTCGTGCGACGATTCCCGTCTAACGACTCAGAGCGCACAAGTCGCATGTAACACTCTCGGCAACCATCAGACGAACTGCCCCTGTCGACTTGCGGATAGAACTCTCGAGAAAAGGGGTCTATATTAATTGATTGCCTGTCCCATTCTGTCATTGACCCGGAGGAACAGACCGAATCTCGCCTGAGGAAATACCGACCTTGCGAAACTATCAACATGGGAGAAAGCGCACAACGCCCGTCTTCAGCGCCGGGGCAAGTTGGGAAGAACTTTTCATGGATTCTGGTAATGCTCTTGGCGTCCCAGCATCCGCAGCATGGCTGCGCGATTATGTCCATTCCTGGCTGACTGTATGTTCTCGTTGGCTACAGTTAACTGCACAGTACACTACGTTTGTGCTGGTATGTTGCCCAACTTTTTTAGTAACCTCGGAAATAGACCGTTAATCTATCGCTTTCTACATAGTTATTACATTACTCCCGGGTAATGCCGCCAACTAATGGCAAGCGATATCTCACGTCTACCGCGGTCTTTTTCAACGAGGTTGTCAAACTTGCCATCTCTCTTACCATAGCATTATACGAAGTTTCCAAAACGGCGCCCCCATCAGTTCCTGCAACATCTCTTTTCTTCTCCCTCACGTCTGCTGTTTTCTCTGGCGACAGTTGGAAGCTCGCAATCCCCGCCAGCCTCTATACACTTGCGAATTCATTACAATACGTCGCTCTCTCGAATTTGCAGGCCGCACCCTTCCAAGTAACATACCAGCTGAAACTTATCGCGACCGCCATCTTTAGCGTGATTTTACTGAACAGGAGCATTTCACTGCGCAGGTGGGGTTTACTGTTGCTCTTGCTGGTGGGTGTTGGGCTTGTGCAGATACCCATTAGCAGTACCGGGGATGTTTCTCTCCAAGATGAGGCAGCCGCCCACCATGCCTTTCCGCGGTCGCTGGAAGAATGGAAGGCGGCCAAGCTGGATCGGCCAAATCTCCATAAACGTTCGGCAACGTATGAGGGTATTGAAGAGGATATGATGACCGCCTTTCCGCGAATGAATGCAGTTGTTGGTCTCCTAGCGACTCTTGGCGCGTGCGTCGCATCTAGCCTTGCCGGTGTATATTTCGAAAAGGTACTGAAGGATAGTGCGAAGTCGACCTCGCTTTGGGTCCGCAACGTCCAGCTGGCCGTATACTCTGTATTCCCTGCATTGTTCATCGGTGTTGTCTTCTTGGACGGCGAAAAGATTGCTGCCAACGGCTTCTTTGGGGGGTATAATTGGGCCGTGTGGTCTACCGTGGTTGCTCAAGCAATCGGAGGAATTGCAACATCTTTCTGTATTGGCCATGCATACCGAGATGCAAAAAATGTTGCTACTGCTACTAGCATCTTTCTCACTACGTTAGGAAGCATCTGGCTCTTTGAGTTTGAGTTAACTGGTAATGTACGTGCTGTGTAGCTTTTTCTTTGAAGATACTCCATGGAATCTAACATAGGCTGACCGGCCCCTTACAGTTTATTCTCGGAACGTTTGCAGTGCTTGTGGCTACCTATCTTTGCGAAGACCCAAGTTCGGCTTCCAGTACCAGCAAGCGCCAGGGACCTCGACCGCCACCGATTCGTATTGATCAGTATGAGAAAGACTCCAAAAGTGATGATGTTTCGCCCGTGTCCCCTCCGCCGAACGAGTTTTCCATTAAACTCCCCGGAACGCCGTTCCTTTCTGATGCCGGCCTGTCGACCTCTAGGCCTACGTCACCAGGGCATGTTAGGGTTAATGCAGCCCGGACCGCCAGCGGTGGTTATTTCGATAAGCAGCTACGAGACCAGTGATTTGACGATACGGATACGAACTCAGATTTGCATGCAGTGTGTATATTACGCTTTGCGTTTGGACCAAGTCCTAAGGGAAGTAAATAAGCATGGATAGAAGCGAAGCTTTTCTTGTTTCATCTTGAATATCAACATCTCTCTTGTGCATGTGACTTTTGTTTCTGTTCTGCTCCCTCCCCTTCATCTCTTCATTTCTTCATTTCTTTCCCTCCCATCTTCACCCCTTTCTAAAAAAGAGACTATTGAACGTCATGTTATATGTTTTAGTATATATTTGATCACCTTGACTAGGCGTTTAGCTGTTTAGCAATGTATAAGTGTATATCGCCCTGAGGCTCTGGAAATACCCCTGACAGAGACCACTTGCGCCAATCAAACTGTCATACTGCTCATTTTCTGGGTAGCTTCCACGTGCATCCATGTTAGTCTTTCTATGATTGGAGCAGGTGACATATTCTCCCGCCTGTACTACTTAGTAGTAGTAATTAAGTAACCGTTCAATCTCTTTCCATCAGTTTATCTACTACTCTTCCCTGCTTACTAGCGGTCGTCTTATCACCATGCGAAGAAAAAATCACTCGTCCTTTGCCGCGTCACGCCAGGGTACTTCATATAGACGCATTGCCGGCACTCAGCTCCGTACACCCATCCGTTCCAATGTACGCACTGCTCTTGATCAAAGATGCAGCGAAGGGGCTCGAAACTTGTCATCTCTAGGCGGATCTCGCAGAGAAGGGCTTCCTGCCAGTACACCCGGACCAGAGGCACTATGTCGTGATGACGACTTGCTGTTTGATGCATTCGGTAAGTAAGCTTAACAGATATTACATTGACTATATAACTAGGATAGAGACTAAATGCAGTGGATTAAGATTTGGAATTGCTTGCACAATCAGATGAAACGGCGCGGACTCGACAGTCTATCTTCTCAACTGCAGACAGTCATTTGTGCACGCGCGAGGTATCGCAGAATGGCGCACCAGCTCTAGTCTCTCGATATTTCTGCGGTAGGTCTTCCGTCTTTGCGAACTAAGTTTAATGGTAATACCTCTATCTTTTGCGCTGACAAACATGATTCAGAAACCTCTCATAACACACCGCATCAAAGCGTGGCATCTAGTTCCTCAGACATTGAAACCAGGTCTCCTTCTAGTCCCCTGCTCAGGCTACAAGTTGGGAGAACCCGGCCATACGTGGCACAAGATAGTGGCTCCAAAAGGCGCCACCAAGATCATCAGTTTCGGTCTGAAGAATGTGAAAGATCACACGTTGCTGCGACTCTAGAACAAAGGACGCCGTTTCAGGACATACCTGTATTAATTCGAGGAATCGTTCTTGTGTCTGTGCATGAGCTCCCTGATAAGTATCGGTCACTGTTCCATTTTCCTGCCTTTAACGCGATTCAATCCAAATGCTTCCAGCCTGTTTACAAAAGGGACGACAACATTGTGCTTGCTGCTCCTACTGGGAGTGGCAAAACAGTTGTTATGGAGTTGGCAATATGTCGTTTACTTAATAATCTGAAGGATGAGAGGTTCAAGGTCATTTATCAAGCACCCACAAAGTCACTTTGCTCAGAAAGGTTCCGTGACTGGAACAGAAAGTTCCACTCATTAGGCCTTCAATGTGCTGAGTTGACCGGCGACACTGATTATACACAGATGAGGATCGTCCAGAACAGCCAGATAATTATAACGACGCCCGAAAAATGGGATAGTGTGACACGGAAATGGAAGGACCACGCACGTTTGATGCAGCTAGTGAAACTCTTCTTAATTGATGAAGTTCACATTCTCAAGGAGAGCCGCGGAGCAACATTAGAAGCTGTCGTGTCACGCATGAAAACGATCGGGTCCAATGTACGGTTTGTTGCACTAAGCGCTACCATTCCAAATTCTGAGGATATTGCAACATGGCTCGGCAAGAATGCAACGAACCAACATGTTCCAGCACACAGGGAGCATTTTGGAGAAGAGTTTCGTCCCGTTAGGCTGCAGAGATTTGTATACGGTTACCAGTCCCACGGAAATGACTTCGCATTCGACAAGATGTGCAGTTCGAAGTAAGTAGGCACACCCAATTCCTGGTTTTCTCTGACCGCGAATGATAGACTTCCTGATGTACTTGCGATGCATTCTTGCAGAAAGCCCATCATGATCTTCTGCTGCACGAGGAACTCATCTGTAGCTACGGCAAAGGAACTTGCTCGGCTGTGGTCAATGTCCAACCCGCCAGCTCGGCTATGGAAAGGATCAAGCACATCACTTGAATTCAATAATGTAGACTTGAAGAGTACGAAATGAATTCAATGGTTGCTAAAAATACGCGGTTGCTGATACGATTTGTTCAAGTTACGAGTGCTGCAGGTGTCGCATTTCATCACGCTGGCCTGAATCCCGGAGACAGACAGACAATCGAAAATGGCTTCTTACAAGGCCAAATCAACATAATATGTTGCACATCCACGCTCGCAGTTGGTGTGAACCTCCCGTGTCACCTTGTGATTATCAAAAATACCGTCGGATGGCTAGACGGCGGCTGCAAAGAATATTCGGATCTCGAAATTATGCAGATGCTTGGTCGTGCTGGAAGACCTCAGTTTGACAACGACGCAGTCGCCGTTATCTTAACCAGAAAAGAACGCGTCAACTATTATGAACGGCTCGTCTCAGGCTCTGAAAGCCTTGAAAGTTGCTTACATTTGAACCTAATTGATCATCTGAACGCTGAAATTGGGTTAGGTAATGTCACAAGTGTTGAATCTGGTATAAGATGGCTTGCTGGCACCTTTTTATTCGTGAGGCTCAGACGGAACCCAACATATTATCAGCTAAGGGAAGGTGCCAATAGGGAAGATGAGGACGAGATGCTTCGCCAAATTTGTGAGAAAGACATCAAACTTCTTCAAGAGAGTAACTTAGTCTCCACTGGACGTCTTAGATCCACACAATTTGGTGATGCAATGGCGCGTTATTACGTGCGATTCGAGACGATGAAGACTTTCCTCACATTAAAGCACCACTCCACTATGTCTCAAATCGTAAGCGGCATACATCTGAGCCATGATACAAGCTAACAAAAGATTTCCCAGCTCTCCGTGATTTCTCAGGCAGAAGAGTTCCGTGATATCCGTATCAAGGCAGGTGAGAAGTCGCTGTACAAAGAGATCAACCGCGGAACTGGCATAATGTTTCCGATAAAAGTGGATATAGCACTGCCTGCCCATAAAGTATCACTACTCATCCAGTCTGAGCTGGGTGTGGTGGAGTTTCCAGATGACGAACAATTCCAAAAGCACAAGTTTGCGTTCCAGCAAGACAAAGGTTTTGTATTTTCACACGTTAATCGGCTTATTCGATGCATCATAGACTGTCAGATTGCTCTCGAGGATTCAATTGCTACTAGAAACGCCTTGGAGCTTGCAAGAAGTTTCGGAGCTAAAGTGTGGGATAGATCTCCATTTCAGATGAAGCAAATTGAACAAATTGGTGTCGTCGCGGTTAGAAAATTAGCAGCCGCTGGAATAACCAGTATTGAAGCTCTAGAGTGCGCAGAGCCTCAACAGATTGACATGATCTTGAGCAAAAATCCTCCCTTTGGGTTGAAACTTCTAGGGCGTCTTTTGGAGTTTCCTAAGTTACGCGTGTCTGTCAAGATGATAAAAAAGGTATGGATCTGATATCGCCGTCAAGAGCTTGACTCACACACCAGTAGGAGGTGAAACACGGTAACCCAGTGAGAGTTCATTTTAAAGCCGAGGTCGCATTCATGAATGAGAAATGCCCAACAACTTTCCAGAGGCGTCCTGTACATGTCTGTTTCTTAGCGGAGACCTCTAATAGTTTGATGATCGATTTCCGGCGTATGAGGTTGGTTGAAAGAGTCCAAGTCTTTCATTTTTATTTTTTCAAAGCTAACATCGAACCAGCGCCAGTAAAATCCACAGTATCCAGGAGATACCGTTGCACGTAGAAATGGGAAGCCCAGATCAGCACATTACGTGCTATGCTATGTGTGATGACATTGGTATGCAGTTGGTTCCCAACAAGATTAACCAGTCTGTACTGCTGACTTCTTACAGCCGGGACTTTGAGATCAGCAGAATTGAGGCCTGCCCTCCCAGCTTCGCTATTTCCCTTTTATTCAAGTAAGGACTCGGACGAGACGAGCCAGAAGCACATGATGAATATGTCACGCCCACGTAGCAACACTTCTTTGCGGGTCAAACCCAATAAAGAATACAATCTAGATAGTTTCGGCAGTGATGACTCGCTTTTCAATGACCTTTTGGAAACTGGTTTGATCCCTCGTCTTTTCCCCTTCGTGCAGTGACTTAGTAAGAAATTTTATGAGCAGGAAATGCCGCAGATTGGACAGCCATGGATCATATAACATCTCTAGCGAGTGGGAATAAATCACAGGAAACCCCGAGCAAGAAGAGCAAAAGATCCAAGGAGGCAAAGGATGCACACAAAGTGGAAGAGCCAACCCAGCTTAGAAATGGCAGATGGAGCTGCAACCATAGGTGCAAGGACAAAACAATGTATCTTTTCTTCCCTCCCCGCTCCTTCTGGATGCGAGAATTAACTGGTTCCTAGGTGCAAGCACCTTTGTTGCCGGGAAGGGCTTGAGAAACCCCCAAGGCTGAACAGAAAGTACTCTACTGGGGGGATAGACCGCTCGAACGGACTCAGTCAATTGACTCTATCTGCAAGTATCACCAAGAACAGCACGAACATGAATAATCCCGGTAAACCACGGGTTCAGAAGGACAGTATGCCTGACAATGAGTCTCAAGAAATGCTACAAAAGCCCTCACAAGAAGCAGAGATAGATTTGAGAGATGCTGTTTCTGAAGACCCAATATGTCCTGGTTTTAATACTAAGGACTCGTCAAGCGACTATGGAGATGACAGCTTCAGTGATTTGCCTTCACCGACTGATTTGCTTCTTGGCCACACTACTGGATTGACAGACAGAAATGATCAGACCACCAGTAAAGAGACGTGCTTAGAGAAAAATTTCAAAACAAAGGACGATTGGATTTACACAGATGAGCAATGGTTTACAATATCACCCTCGCTTCCTGACTCGCTTTTGCAAGGCAAAGATGTAACCGCTACTGAGGTCGCAGGGATATTCAGGGAATCTGTGGGCGAACCAAGGACAAGCAGTTCAAATGGCGATCAAGGAGTCAAGTATGACAACCAAACTACTGAGATAAGAGAGATTGAACACCTTGGGAAAAAGCGAAGGCGCTCTTTGGCTTCTGGGGACAAAGCTTACGATAAGAGAATCACGAAGAAACATATAGACAACCCAGCCACTGAGAGTTCTGCAAGTCAAAGCCAATACCGCAGTGATGACACATCAAGTGGCTACAATCAGAATCCTCAGTCTTGTGAACTCACTCATTCACTTGAAATCTGGGATGATATTGATCCGACTCTGCTAGACGAGTTCAAAGACATTGTTAGCTTCTTCTAGAGTGGAAGCCAGACTAATGGGTAGTACCCAGTGCTAATCATTACCAAGGGTTGGAGAGACCTACTAGTACCCACTGACCTGAGATATTGCTACATATCCCTTATATATATTATAGTGTATCGTTAAGCTCTCCCCTGTACTGGTGCATCCCTGACTACCTATCATTAACCTGTGTTTGTGTCTATCTTTTTCGAGATTGTGATAAGGAGATCACTTAGGGGAAACCCACGGTATCTCAATTATGTCATATAAACAGTGCATGTTCAAGCAGTGAATTGAAGATAAACTCCGTTAAGTCCAGTCTGCATGGCAACAAAGGTACAATGTTTCAGTATCACGTCTCGTCACAGGACAACTTTGTCCCGCCTTCTTCCGTATTTAGCACACACACTTTCTCTGGTATCACCGCGAGCCTATGCTTAAAAGGTTACATTATCTCATTTTAATACTTTCAATGTAGCTTTCTTGTTCAAACTACTTCTTCCTTGATAGAGGATTATCAGGTATTGTCACCCCATTGCTGATTGTTATTGTTTGTTCTCTTTTTGCTTTGTCCTTGTCTCCTTGTCCGCTATGTTCTGCTTAACGTAGGACAACAGTTACATCCCTACTATACTTGTTTATGTGAGCCTATGTCTTGTATAAAGCCTCTACGCGATATGTTTCTACTTCATACTTGATGTGTAGGGAGATTCCCATGTTACTCGAAACAGCCATGTCTTGCCTGACTGGAAACCCGTCCCTTTTATCAACATATCCGTCTTTTATATACAATTCTTTGCAGCGTTAAAAGATATGGTTTGTCCCCTGATATCATTGGAAGCTAATACCCATCATGAAGAAAGATCTGTATCGACGGCATACCATGCAATCATGGGGAAGTTGAACTATTCAGCGGTGAGGCCCCTGCCTTATATGCTCCATATCGTGTTCTTGAAGCCAAATACTGAGACCAGGTGGCTATTAGAGAAAAATTGACGGCGAGAAGTTCGCACGGGTCCTCTCCAGAGACCTGGTAAGTTCCATCGTACAAAATATGAACAAGTCTAGTAACACAGGCTGATACGCATCCAGAGAAAGCGACTGCCAGATGGGCCCGGCTTTAAAGCTGCAGCGCGGGATCCTACTTTAGAGATCGACATTTCAAACAAGAAGCTGACAGACAAAGATCTCTCTCTGTTCATCGATGATCTCCTTGAATGTATTAGGGAGGATCTTGCAAAAGTGATTGAGTTCCATCTTCAGGGAAACAGCCTCACCGTTAAATCTCTACCGAAGCTGGGCGAGGTAGTTGCGCTAAACGCAGGCGAGATGAGGGAGCTTGATATCTCGAACAACAATATTAGTATCAGTCCGAACCTTGACGATAAGGCAATGTGGTGCAGCTTCCTCCACTCCTTCAAGAATTGTTATATGCTCAAGAAGCTCGATCTTGGGGGTAACCCTCTGGGGCCTGTGGGATTGGAAAATTTTGCTTGTGTTTACATCAAAAGTGACCTTCACTTCCTCGAGGATGATGCTAATGTCATTGTCGAGCATAAGCATGAAGAGAGGCCCTCCATTGAAGACCCAGTTGCCGTAAAGCCCACAGCTGGGAAGGAGAACGAACGCAACACGAGGGGTAGTCGCCTTGGAAAGTCACCAAGCAAGGGGAAAAAGGCTTTGAGACAAACTTCTGGTAAGTACAAACCACCTGAACAACGACATTGAGCAGACAAACGCTCATTGCCTTATCCAGGCCAGCCCAAATCTAACCCCGTTAAAGGAACGGCCCCTGACGACCTCAAACGCTTCGCATGTACCCGCGGCCTTCGCTCGATTGCCTACCTCATCTTGTCCAACGTTCACATGGCAAAGAGTGGCACGGTGCACCTTGCGAGTATGCTGAGCCTGCAAAAGACTTCAGAGCAGCTCTTAAAATTCCTCCCTGGGGGCAAATCCCTAGTCTTACCTGAAACCGCACACAACAAGAGCATTGTCTGGCTTCCCAACGACACTCTTCCTCAAATAGCGAGCGAGTTCCTCGAAAAGGCCGAAGCCATTAACGAGATCAAAGTTCACATTGACTCGGATAGTGAACTTTCAAATGACGACGAGGACCAGGGACTTGCCAGTACCATCATTATTGAGCCGAACGCAGAGCCCAATCACAAAATCGACACTGCTGCACAGAGGGAGTTGCAGAACAAAAAGAACATCGCATACGTCAGACTCACTAAGCGTGTTCGTATGGAAGCACTGTATGATGAAGGTGTGCGTGACACAGACCTTTGGATCACTGCTCTGCGAATGATGAATGTGTCCCGAATCCTCCTTTGGCAAGGTAAGGACAACGTTGTTGGCTCCCCACACAAGGAACAGGACCAGCATGAAGAAGATGACGACGACAGAGACGATCCCAATCCTTCCGCAGTCCACATTGAAGACATCGCTCAGCAATTTGAAGCACTGGAAACAACAGACCATCCCAGTTCCCCTGAATCACCTTTTTCCCCCGTTGAGATCCATGTCACAGAGCCTGACCGCATGGGCCCTTTCCATCCCGGCACAGACTCATTCAATACCAATTTTCCCATCCTTCATTCATCCACCACTGCTGCCGAGAGTGTTGAGACTCCGCCTACCAGAAACGATGAAGAAGAACACATTGTCACCGCAAGAAACAAGTTGACTCCATCACCACAACCTGCCCGCTCTGGAAAGGGCAGCACCCGCGCTGCATCCAGATCCCGAGTCCTCCGCAAGAAAAAGGAGACCTGGCGCTTTGGCTTTACGCTCGATATTTGGCGCAGAATCATCGCTGGTGCGGTCGGCGCGGAAGGTATTCTGGGCTTTGAACAGCAGACTCAGATCATGCGTTATGGCACTGATAGGAAGACTCTTAAGGACGAGATGGGTATTACAGGTCTTGAGGATCACCAACAGATCTGGAGGATCTTGGAGAAGAATAATTGCTTCGTTTATAGTCCTTTGTAGGGCTGACACGGGCAACCATCTGGTACATACAGTTTCTATGAGAAGCTAAGGTGGGCTACATAATCCGAACTTCGCTCAACAAAGGGGAGGAAGATTAAGAAAAAAAAAAAAAAAAAAACAGAGAAAATAATCCGACAAAGAGGTAAAAGGAAGAAGTCTCGGCGAGACAGGACTAAATGGTTAGAAAGGATGTCTTGGTAACATGCTTGGTGGTGATTAACCATATGGATTCGAATAAGGTGTCCATCATACATTCATTCAGCATAGGGACTAATCATACTATCTGACGTATTGCTTGATTCATAAACCCTGACACCTATAACACATAGCTATACTAGGTTTAGAGGTGTTAAACCTGTCTGAAAAGTAGCTCACATGATCACAAGTCCACGGTGAATCCAAGTCTCAACAAAAGGAGAAAGAGAAGAAAGCCAGGCTACTTCGAAACACAGACAAATTTACTCAAGTTTACCACTCTCTCAGACAACTCAGTCAAGCTTCCCCAGGTCATAATATCGGTCGTGGTAATATCAGCTCCAAGTTCTTTTACCAACCAGCTTCTGAGCTCCATTGCGATAATTGAATCTACTTCATTGCCCTTAATGGACTTCACTGAGTCGATATCATCTTCCGAATAGTTTATCAAGTAGGCCAATTGCTTTTGAATGACGTCCAGCGTGAACGCTGCTGCGATCTCTCTGTTTTGTGCGGCGCTAAGTAAAGCCGAAGGACTGTAATCCTTGTCATGCTCTGTCTGTTGGTGCTCCTGGGGGTCACTGGTATCTCGAAGATGAGTAAATAAAGGGTACTTCATGTATGCAGGAATTGGTACGCGCCGATAATGAAATGTTGCTTCTGGAACTAGCCCATAAGCTAATTGGCATGTCGTCTCTGTCAATGAATTGCAAGGATCAATGCAATACTCCACAAGAGCATGAATCTCTTCCTCCTCAATCTGCTCAGTGGAACTTTTAAAGTGCCGTGTAAGAGACTCGGGGAGTTCGACGGAATAACCGACTGTGGTAACGTAGCTAAGATCTATGCTAGCTGCCCGTTGTCCGTTCTTAACGAGATGCCTGGCGAAAACATCCTGAAACGTGTTCCCAGCGGCATAGTTAGCTTGGCCACGGTTACCAATAATCCCACAGACAGATGCTATCATGATGAAGAAGCTTAGTGGTCTGGGAAGTGCTTCATATAAGTTGAGAGATCCGATAATTTTTGGTTCTGTTGCTGCCTGCCAATTCTCGTACGTCATCGTTTCGAAGATCACATCCTAAGGATAGTTTAGTCTCTAAAAAGGAAACATACTATAATTTAGTATGATACTCACTTCAACAACCATGGAACACTGTATGCATCCTTTAATTGGGGGCAACTTTTCTCTGCACTCAGTGAAAACAGACGTGAGCTGAGACTTCTTAGTGATGTCGGCTTTGAAGATCCGATACTCGCATCCATGTCGCGCTATGAACGAGGTCATCTCTTCGACTTTCCTGTTAACCCGGCCTGAGCGGGATAAGAAAACAATGTGCCTTGCTCCTCGCGAAGCCATCCACTCAGCCAGGCTCCGACCAACACCACCCAGCCCACCAGCCAAGACGTATGTAGCATTTGCATCAAGAGCATACGGAGGTGCAATCATAGGAGCCACTGGGATGATGTCATTATCAGAGGGCTGAAACACGATTTTGCCCATGTTCTGTCCGGATCGCAATTGCTTGAAACCGTGTTCAAGCTGTGCAAAGCTTAGCACGGTCAGTGGCTGAGATGAATGTATCTTTCCTTGATTCCATGATGAAACGACCTCTTCTAAAATGTTCTTTATAACATCTGGTTTGTACTCCATGATGACAGTCAACTCGACCCCAGTTATGCTGGCACTTCGAAGAAACGGCGACATGTTGAACTTGTCTGCAATTAGGTCTATGTTACCGATCTCGACAAACCGGCCAAACGGCGCAATACACTCCCAAGATCGCCGAAGAACTTCGCCATGACGGGAATTCAAAATCATATCAACGCCTTGATTCTTCGTCAGCCTCATGACTCCTGTGGCGAAGCTCAGCTCCCTGCTAGAGAAGATATGATCTTCGGCAATCCCGTAACCCTTCATCAGAAGCTCCTTCTTGACCTTGCTAGAAACTGTCGCGAATACCTCTGCGCCGAGTGACTTGGCATACTGGATCGCAGCTTGGCCAACACCCCCTGCTGCTGCATGTATGAGGACCCTCTCGCCTGCCCTCAATAACCCTGCATGTTTTAAGGAGTAGATGGCAGTACTGAAAGCCGTTGGTAGCGCAGCTGCAACACCCATCGACATCCCGCTTGGCATCACCGCAATAAACCTATGATCAACTCGAACGTAATTTCCGAAGGCAGTCTTACCCGGGCCAGTCATGAATAATACACGATCGCCAGGTTCTAGATCCTCCACTTCTGCGCCAATCCTGGTCACTACTCCTGCTCCTTCTTGGCCAAAGCTGTCATCACTCATCCGCATTGCAGAGCGGACGTCCCTGAAGTTCAGCCCTACTGCTGCTATTTGTATTTCAACCTCAAACACCTCGATGGTAGGTGGAGATGTGTCTATTTCCCAATGCAATTTATGCAGTGGGCCTAGTGTTGGGTTATGCAGGACGACCGAATGACGTATGTCTTTCCAAGTCACCATCTCCGGGGCGGCCTTTGTGAATCTCGAGTGAAGAAATTTATCGGCTTCAAGGCATTTTGTGAGGCGTAATGCATATACAATGCTATCTTGGAAACAGTACTCCTCATTCTGGGGTGCGTGTAGAGAAGGTAGAAGTTGGTTTGATGCAATACAGGAGATTGCTTGAATAATTCGAGTTGCTGCTGTACCATCGTCCCTAATGGCTAAGGTCGCTAGGCATATATTATCCATATCTCTCTCCCATCGAATAGTTCTGATCAGTCCCGTGCTGATGCTAAATTGAGGTTCTGTAACCGGGTCGCCTGTGATCCAGAGCAAACGTTGGCAGCTGCTTAGAGCATTACGTAGTTTGAGGAAGTTGCTTTTCGATAGATGGCACAGGACAGGGTGCTTCACCTCGAGTAGAAAGATACATAATCTTCCTGACAAATCAATATCGTCCAGGTCAGAAAGTCCACACTCCAGGATATCACTGGCCTCTGTGTCCTGTATCAGGACTTGTTTCAATTCCATTCCAAGATACATTGGCTGCACTTTTTCATGGGCGTAAACCAGAGCCATTTTTGAACAACCTGCACTTGTTGGACAACCGGTACTAATGGAAGCTGACCCCACCATTGTTAACCGGTCAGCAGGACTTAGTTCGTTAGTGATGGAACTGCCGTTTGACTGACTTTTTTCCAACAAAGTCATGATAGGCTCCCAATCAAGCGTGTAGGAGCTCTGTCTATTGTTGTTTACTTCTGAATCCCAGCTCCTGAGTGCTGATACAGCACCCGTTATTGACATTAGCCCTTTATCAGTAGCATTATCCCAAACATGTATATCCATTTCGTAATTCCCATTATGCTTGTGATTTACTCGCGCATGGGAGCGCAATGGAGGTGTGTTGTTAGAATTATTCTTGGCAGATACCCATACCTCTTTGAGGGATGTTCCGACCATCAGACGACTCAATGCTTGCTTGCCATGAAGGTCAAGTACACTAGCAAACCCCAAGCATATACTCGAGTCAATTGTAATAGGATGAATAGTATATGGCTTTATGTAGCCTTGGGGCATGAGAGCAGCAAAACCCGGAACCTGCACCGTGCCGAAAGCTTCTCCAAGGTTGTTACCACTAACAGATACATCCTGAAGTAGCCTGAACTGGGGTCCAAAGGTTAACCCCGTTGATTTGAGAGTTTCATACATCCTCAGGACGTCCATTGGCGTTTGGCATGTCTTGGCAGCCTGCTCAAGCAACAGATCCCAGGCCCGAGTTGCCTCACGGCCCTCACGTCCATTGCCAACTGGCTCGTTTGATTCTTCATACTCAACCATTATTTGACCAATACAATTCTCACGCCACGCTTTATGCTCTGAGTCATACGATGTGACTTGAAATTGTTGCCATACGCCAGAACCCCCAGGGTTGGTTGTATGAACAGGGGAGAGGCATAGGTTAATCTCAATGCCTTCTTTAGTGTCAGGGATAATCAGCATGGAATTGAAGGATACGTCTCTTAATCTAAACCCAGAAACCTTAGAGTCTGGGTATACGATCTGTTTTGAAGCTTCTATGGCCATTGTAACATATGCTGACCCGGGAAATATACACCGGGCTTCGATCTATAGAAGAAAGTTAAAATAGCAGATTAGAGATGATCATAAACTAACCATGTGATCCTTGAGCCATGGATTCTCGTATATACTGATAAAATGCCGCCACCTAGGGCAGTAAGGATTCCAATCCATCACTGGTGCTCCCAATAAACTATGTCTTGAGAACCTGGAAAGTCGGACGTTTCGGCTCAGCCGGTCTTCATGAATCATTCGCTCGCGATGAGTGAATGGGTATGCAGGCGTGTTGACAATCATTTCTCGTTTGCGAATTGTGGGAGTATCAGGTTCATTAGCTCTTAAGATGTCCACCGGAACGCCTTCGCAGCTCAGTTCACCAACTGTAGTAAGTATAGTCTCTATTTCATTACCATGACGCACGAGGAGGCTCTTGTGGCGGACTTCAGCTCCCAATATATCTCGGATCCCATGTTTCAAAGCAGGATGAGGTCCTACCTCTATCACTATCATATTGAGGAAAGTTCCCTTACCGATCATCTCATGGCGCACAGAATTCAGAGCATTCGTAAACCGGACGGGTGATGTCAGATTTCGGACCCAGTAAGTTTCATCGAGATGTTCTGGACCGATGATCGCACCAGTAACTGACGAGAACATTTGGATATCGCTGGACACGCCGTGACTTTTGTTTATTGGAAGATTGGTAATTAAACGCAGATATTCGTTGGCGACTTCCTGCATTAGTTCAGAGTGGTAGGCGTTCTGAACAGGCAACTTCCGAGCAAAAACACCTAAGCTATCTAGGAGTTGCTTCATCTCATCAATCAGCTTCTGATCTCCGGAAAGCGTATTGTTCTTCCGGCTGTTATAGCAGGCAATGACCAATTCACCGGAAGACTGTTTCTGAACTCGATGAATATAGGGAGATAGGTGCTCTTCTTCAAGGCCAGCAACAAGCATCGAGCCGCTGCGTGTGGTTCTGGAAGAAACATAGCCGCGATAGTATGCTATCTGCCACGCTGCTTCGCGGGTGATGTATCCGGCGCAGTAAGCTGCAGATATTTCTCCAGAGCTGTGCCCAATTACAATCCTCGGAAAGATATCCCAGCTAGCAAGGAGATCGACAAGCGCGATCTGTATAGCAACACACGCAGGCTGAGACATAGAGGAGTTGTCAATCAATATATTGTCCCCGCGCACAAGTTCCTCTAGCAACATCCATGGGCTTCCTAGCTTCTTCATGTACTTTGTAGCATCATTGAGTGATTCTTTAAAGACAGTGTATACAAGAAGCTGCACTCCCATTCTGGCATACTGTGCCCCTTGTCCGTTGAAAACGAACACAATCTTAGGAGCCATCAAAGGAGAAGGGCTATCCGGCAGACGTGTGACATCCGAAAGTCTATAAATCAGTTCCGATAAGGAGCCAGCGACGATGAAACTGTTCCAACAAAGTTTTGAGCGTCTTTCGGACAATGTATATGCGAGGTCTCTCAGAAATTCAGCAATTTCCATGGGGGTAGATTGGGAACGTGACTTCATATTAGTTAGATATTCCGACATCAGTCGTTTCAAGGCATCCCGGTCGAACGCGGAGAAGATAAACAAATTCTTCCCTAAAGAAAGGCAATTATCTCGATCTGAGCAATCTCGACGTAACTCGGGGCGACTTTCCTTAGTGACCCCATTGTAGCTTACACTATGACTAGTTGAGGCTTTACTAAACTGGGTTTGAGAACACTGCTCTAATTTAGCAACCAAATGATCGATTTCATTCTTCATCGGTATACCCATGCGGGTGTTATGGGCGGCAGAAACTCCTTTGGCTTTCAGAAAGTGATGTGCATCACTCAGAATGCAGTGAGCATTTGTGCCTCCAAAACCAAACGAGTTCACCGATATCTGACGGGGACCTGCTGTAGGCTAAGGCATATATTTTGCTGGGAATGCCAGGTTCAATCGTTTTGCCTGGGTTTCGGGGTTGATAATCTCCAAATTGACATTTTGTGGAATAATCCCTGACTCAAGGACTAGGATAGACTTGATTATTCCTGCGATGCCGGCAACCGACTCAAGATGGCCAATTCCAGATTTGAGGGAACCAACATACAATGGTAGACTCCTTTTGACTGAATTGAAAGCTCCTGCAATTGCTCTTGATTCTGTTACATCTCCGGCGACTGTCCCTGTACCATGAGCCTCGACAAAACTCGTGTCGTTCGGGTCCAGTCCTGCAATATGATATGCCTCCTGGATTAACCTTTCTTGGGCTACTTCACTAGGAAGAGAGATTCCAGGAGTGTGTCCGTCTTGATTAGCTGCTGTTCCACGTATTATCGCACGTATGGTGTCACAGTCTCGAATGGCAGCTGGTAAGGGCTTTATGATGATAGTACCGACACCTTCGGCTCTAGCATATCCCTCGGCTCTATGATCGAATGAAAAACATCTTCCTTTCGAACCCAGGAAACCACCGTGGTTCAGAGTGGTAAACTCCTGAGGGCAGCCGAGATAATTAACACCACTAGCTATTGCCTGAGCATCGAAGCCATGAAGAGTTAGTAAAAGATCTACAACAAGCTGTGATGAAGATGTTGTACCATTTCACACTCGCCTAGCTTCAAACTTTGAGCTGCCAGATGAACAGTCACGAGACCTCCAGAGCAAGCAGTATCGACGTATATGCTAGGTCCCTTGAGATTGAAAGACCAGCTCACTCGATTGGCAACACAGCTGTCATGGGTGCCGGTCACCTGGTGATTGCACGTGGTTCCAGGATCAATGTTGGATGAGATCAGATGGTCGTGCGATGATCCTGCCACGAACACTGCTGTCTTTGAGGAAGCTGCTTGGTCGAGGCGGATACCAGCGTTCTCAAGTGCATGGTAAACGTTTTCTAGCAACAACCGCTGCCGAGGATCCATGCTCAGTAGCTCAGCCCTGGTGATGTTGAAAAATGGGGCATCAAAATAAGCAGGGTCTTCGGACAAAAAATGAGCTTCCTTCGTGCGAAACTGGAATAACAGTAATGTCTGTCAGTGATATTTAACCAAAAGCTTCACCAGGGAGAGCTGGACAGACCGTGCCAGGGTGGTTCACATCAGGATGGTAATATCCATCAGCATTGATGCGATCTTTAGGGAAAGGAGTAGCAGATTGACGACCTCTCAGTAAGAGTTTCCAGAAGCCTTCCGTATCAGAGGCTTCTTGGGGAAAGCGGTTGGCCACCCCGATTATTGCTAACGGCATGCTATCAGGCATGTTGTTGACCTGTTGGCTTTATCCAGAAGGCACGGAGTCAAGTACAAAAAATGATACAGGAATTGAAGACATACAAGTGGACACTTTCCTTTCAAGTAGGGGCTTCTCTGAAATTCATTGGGAGGGTGTACTGTCTCTCTAAGGAGTATGCACAATTCAAATATATGCGATGATATTGGGGGTGTTGCCCAATGGCTCATTGTGAAACTGATAGCATAGGATTGAAACCAATCTATGTGTATGGTTCCCCAACAATTCCCTGGAATTAAGGGCTTCGTTCTTACTAGAGCCATGACCATCCGTGGAATCTCCTCTAGAAAAGGAAACACCAATCTCATCACATACGCACAGAAGGGCAAAGAAATTGCAAAATAGGAAATAGCACTCATGATCTATTATCCGGAAGAAAAGGATTGCTAAGACCATTTCTCTTGTAGGTAGTAGCTACTAGCGGCTACATTACTGCTGCTTTTATAAGGACAGCACGTGAGTGCTCCGTGAGTTCACCTGTGCACTCTTTCCCTAAGACAGTGACTGTATTTGAATTAAATTGGATAGGGGACAAGAGATGGAAAAATCCGTTCAGGTCTCAGATGGGAAGTCAATATCCCTCTTTATGCATACTACTATAGAAGTACTTTATGGAGTGTACCCAGATTCAGTGAGGGCAGCCAGATTGCATTCGCTTATATGTTGTACAAGATTATATTCTTATATCTTCATTTCAGAGCCAGGAATACCCAGTGATGGTCAGTTTATCTTGGGATCGCGCCCGGAGCAATCCGGGGTCGCTCAGGACATGGACTGTTGTGAGGTCCAGTAAAAGGACAAGCCTTTCGAGTGGATCTAAGCTATTGAACTCACCTAACGACCGGTTCTAAGCCCCTAAAAATCAAGAAAACAGAGCCAAAACTAGGAAAGAAACTGGAATCAGTGGGAGATTTAAGTTGAAGCAAATGGCTCAGGATTCCCCGTTAACCCTTGCACGTGATCCTTGGTATCATTGCTACTAGTCGGACCACGGTTTTCATTCGAATTGGCTTCCCTAGAAGCTCCTGAACTCTGAATTCTGCTCACAGGTGCCTCCTTTCTTGTTCCAATTAATGACGAACATGATGCGCGCCAAAAGAACCAACACACAGCCCTTAGAAGATGCCTCTACTGCCCCCGCAACCTTCAATGATGGCCTCCCCCTCCCAAAGCTGATCGCCTTTGATCTGGATTACACTCTGTGGCCATTCTGGGTGGATACACATGTCAGCGCACCGATCAAACCACGAGATAATAATTCCCGGTGTACCGACAGGTTTGTATATCCTTTGCACAATGAAGAATACCATGCGTTCGAAGTACTCACGGTTCTTCATGCGACAGGTGGAATGAGTCGTTCGCCTTCTACCCCGCTGTATCAGCGATCATCTATGCCTGCAAAACTCACTCGATTCCGCTAGCTCTGGCTTCCCGGACCCATACTCCCGACCTTGCTCGGGACATGCTCAAGGCTCTTCACATTATTCCAACTTTCTCTGATAACCCCGCAGCTAAGGCGAAATCAGTCCGTGCCTTAGATTATTTTACATACGTTCAGATTTTTCCGGCGAACAAGACACAACATTTCTCGAAGATTCACCAGGCTAGCGGAATCAACTACGAGGACATGCTCTTCTTCGATGATGAGGCGCGCAATCGAAACGTTGAGACAGAGCTTGGGGTCACATTTTGCCTCGTTCGAGACGGTATGACCAAAGAAGAGGTTGATAGAGGTGTCTGGGCATGGCGTAAAAGGAACGGAATCAAGCCTACCGCACTAAACGAAGATAATGGCGAGCCGGCGAATTGAATAGACTATCCGGAGAATGAGCGTTGGCATTGGCATTGGTTTTCATGACTAAACTTTTTATGAAGATACCCAGATGGGATGATGAGATAATCGCTATGTATATAGATATAGAAACTAGATCTTTCAAGTCTTGATATGAGTCCATATAAATATCTAAAGAATGAACTAGAGAAGCGTCACAAAATTCCATTATTGTAAATCTCACGGAGATAAAGGCATCAAATCTCGGAGTTATTCCCGAGCTCCGCAACTCCAATTAAGCTTAGTTTCGATTTAATGGAATCAATTAAATCATTCAATCAACCCGCATATCGACCTTAACAAAACACAACAACAAGCACATACCAATTGAGACCAACCTTCATAATGGACCCTCGTCAAAGCCAAGTTCACCTCAAACCACCACCATCCCAACACGTTCGCCCTTCAGCATCGGCCTCATCCTCACCAGCCCCGACTCCCCGCGCCCCCGTAACGGCACATCCTACCACAACAGTCGCAGACACAGTCATACTCCACGGCACGCATCCGATCTCAATAGGCGCAGGAACGATAGTCCATCCCCGCGCCAAAATCTACTCTTACGAAGGACCCATCGTTATCGGCGAGAACTGTATTATCAGTGAGAAAAGCACCATCGGCACCGCACCCACCCAGCCTCCCTCGCTTCTCAGAGAATCGCACACAACAAACGGATTGCCCATCCGTATATCCTCATGTGTTACCATTGGACCGCTAGCCACGATCTTACCTGGGACACATATTCACTCTGCTGTTACAATTGAAGCACTCGCGACCATCAATCGGCGCGTGTCGATAGGCGCACATTCGAAGATCTGCTCGGGATGCGAGGTTTCAAACAATGTGAAGATACGAGACTGGACTGTCGTGTGGGGTTCTGGAGCTGGCTTTGGGCAGAGAAGACGCACACGTGCGACGGAGAAAATGAGTTCGGCAACGGCTGCAACACAGGGGATCCAGGCGCTAGAAGGGAGAGTTATCGAGGATGCGAGATTGATGGTATTGCAGAAGGAGAGAGAGGCTCTTGTTAGACTTATTGGATCCGGAGGGGGTGGAAGGAGAAGGTGAATCTGGTGGCCCGTCGATTTGCTTGGGTATGCAGGCTCAAGGCACGCATATGATCTGTTACTTTTTTGCTTTTTTTTTTGCCCCTCAAGTGCGCTTTATACCCTGATAGATTCTAATGAAATATGTTTTCTTGGCTACAGAAGAGGACTTCTGTGCGTAAGTATTCAGTCGCTAGAAGATATAGATTGTACACTACATCCACCTGCCGAACCATGCAGTCACAAAGTATAATATTAGATGAAATAAACAAAGGAAATCAATAAGTCTTTTTCTGACGACCGTTCTCCCCAAAGAGGGCATATAAATGATTTAGAATGTTCGTAGACGCTTTAGTCCTTAGGCAAACAAATTCAGGCGTAAAGGTACAGAAACGAAAAGTTAACGTGAAAACCCAGAAACAAAAAAAAAATCAAGTCTTAAGAACCTCTCGCATGACCACCACCTCGCATTCTCTTTCCAGCTCCTTCATTACCACCCTCTCCACCGTCGTCTCGGGCCCGCTTGTGAGGAACAAACTGGCGAGCTTGAGCATTTAGGTTTCCACGTGGACTAGACTGGCCTTGCCCCTGTGGCAGGTTTGCAGTCTGGACATTCTGGTTGCCACCTCGGCCATGACCCCCGCGGCCTCCGCGGCCTCGAGGGAGACCGGTGCCACGTTGGGATGGCTGGCCCTGCTGTTGCTGTTGAGGCTGACCCTGGTTTTGCTGGGGTTGTTGTTGCTGTTGTTGCTGCTGTTGTTGCTGCTGGGTCTGCCCACCAAATGGATTTTGTTGTTGATGGCCACCACGCCCGCCTGTTCGACCTCCCCGTGCAACCGGCAACCCAGACTGCAGAGCTCTAAGAACTCCACTGTTAGCGCCAGCAGGAGGCTTACTTGGTAGCGATGCAGGCTGTTTGTTCTGACTTTGCCCGAAGGGGTTGACGGGGGCATTCGCCGCTGACGGTGCTGTGCCTTCGGTACCTTGTGGTGGTTGCTGCTGCTCTTGCTGCTGCTGCACACCTCCTTGGCCCTGAACTTCGATTGGGGCAGGTCCCTTGGCTTGAGCGGTTGTCGTTTCAGAGCCGGTTGCTGCTGGGCCTTGCTGCTGGTTGACAGGCGCAGGAGTCGGGGCAGGAGTCGGGGCAGGAGTCGGTGCTGGAGCCGGTGATGGGGACGGTGCCACTCCTGCCGCTGGTGTTGGGGCAGGTGTTGGCGCGGGCGCCGGTGACGCTACTTGTGCGGGGGATGCAGCCGATGCAAGCTTTTGGGTTTGCGGCGGAGCCTTAGTTGTCTTCGCTATTTCCCACACCTCAACAACAGGTTTCTGAGGAGTCTCGGCGGCCGCCTTCTGAACAACGTCGATCTTGGCCAGCGCATTCCTGCACCGTGTATCGAGCATACTGATCTTAACCAACGTTTTCTTATCAGATAGCTCGACGGCAGATTTGATCTTCTCTTCAACACCCTCCTCGTGAGCCTTCTTGAGGGCTTCCTTCTCCTCATTGAACTTTTGCTCCATGGAGGCCAAAGTTTCCTGACTCACACCTGCCGAAGGCTGAGCCCCCTGTTTCTCTTTCTCCTTAGCAAGCATTGTTCGGATATTGTTTCGAATGATGGTCCGAATGGTTTCGTTCTTGGCCACCAGTGCTTTAGCTTGCTCATCAGTGAGTTGCGGTAGTTCTCCTTCCGTCTTTGCAGGAGTCGCGGGGGCTGCAGGAGTGGCAGGAGCCTGGTTTGGTTTCGACACAGGAGTTCCTGGTTCTTGCGGCTGTGGCGCGGCTTGTTGATTGGACCTCAATTTTTCTATCTCTTGTCGGTGGGCCGTCCTGACTTCTGCCATCTTGTTATTGAAGGTCTCCTTCAATTTCTCTACACGCTCTTTAGCCCTCATCTCGTGCTCGGCATCCTTAGCGGTTATAGCGGCATCCTTCTCCGCTAAAGCAGCCTCCTTCTCGGCAAGAGCAGCTTCCAGGCGCTGCACCTTCTCTTCAAGTGCCTTTACTCTTTCATCGTCGCTAGGAACAGGCAGTTGAGTGGTTGGTGCAGGGAACTGAGAGGCAGGCGTCGAGTCGACACCAGAGCCGGCAGGTTTTTCTTCAATGGCCGGTGCAACTGGCTTCTCCGCCAACTTGGCTTTCAACCCGCTCAACTCTTCCTTAGTCGTCTTCAATTCCTCTTGAATGACTTCCTTCTCTTGCACCACCGTATTCAACTCCAGCTGCTTAGCGTTAATACGCCCAGTAAGTTCCTTCGATCTAGCCTTGAACTGTTCGGTAAGCTTTGCACGCAAATCCTGCACCCTCTCCTCTGCATGCTTTAGTTGCTCTGGGAAAGTAGCTGCTTGTTCCTGCAAGGTGTCGCGGGCTGACACGGCTTCGTCCCGCTCTTTTTGCAGAGTCTCCAGTTTCTCCTTCAACCCTTCCATCTCAGCTGGGTCAACACGATCGTATTTTTGAAGAATATTCTGAGTTCGCTGTTGCCACCTGTCGCGGTCTGCTTGTAAGAGCTTCATCTCCCCATCTTTTGTCTCCACCACATTGTCAAGTTCTCTTATCCGTGTTTCCAGAGGTTCCATTTGTTGCACGAGCTCATCGACACGTGCAGACTTCTCCGCAAGGGCAGTTTCCGCTTGCTTGACCTGATTACGCAACGTAACGCTGCTTTCCCGGAAAAGATTGAGTTCGTTCAAGGTCTCCATGAGTTTGTTGTGGCTCAGAGCGGTATGCTCGCTGTCAGCAGCAGCGCGGCGTTGCTGTTCAAGTTTCAGCCTCGCCTCATCTAGTTGAGACTGCGTATATTCGAGCTGCTGGCGCAAACGTTTACTCTCTTGTGTTGATAGATGGTACTGAACATCGACAATCTCCTTTTCACGACGCAGGAATTTGATGACCTCTTGAAGGCCTTCCAGATTGGGTGCAGAGCTTTCCCCTTCGTCCTCGGTCTCAGGAATGTTGGCACGATCCCGCTGTAAAGCAGAGATTTGGTTTGTAATATTCTCAAGTTGTGAGTGAAGCAAGGAATTCTGGTGCAGGACTTCCTCGCGGCGTTTCTGCAGCTCAGAGAGTTCACTTTCATACCTGTCTTTTTGCTCATTCCAACTTTCCTCCTTTTGTGTCAGATCTTTCTTATATGTGTCGGCTTGGGCACGAGATTCAACAAGCTCAAGCTTCAACTGATTAGCTTCTGAGCGAACTAGCTGTAGGTTCTTCGCAGCATCGGCATGCTTGACCAATTCGCTTTCGTAGTTTTGCTGGGCGTGCTGTGAAATTTCTGCCTGAGCCTTCAAATCTGCTTGATGGTATTGGGCTGCGGCAAGCTGGCGTTCATTCTCGTCCTTTAGTCTCGTGATATCAGCTTCCAGGTGAGACTTCTGCTCCTCGAGGCGGCGGGCAACATCTCCTTGCTCATCGCGGAGTTTAGATAGTTCACTATTGGTAGTAGAAAGCTCGGAGGAGATTTCTTCAATCCGTTTTTCAAGATCCTGAATCTTCTTATCCTTCTCTTCGACAAGGCGTTCCGTTTCCTCGCGGTACTGTTCGTGTGTCTCGGTAACAGACTCCAGGCGTTCCTCAGACCCTTGACTGATTGCCCTATAGTCTTCCACCTGTTCCTTAGCATGCTCAAGCTCGCCCTTGGCCAAGTCGAGATCGCGCTTCAACTCAGCAACTTGGATACCCAACTCCTGCTCACGTGTCAAACTAGACTCTTGTGCACCATCTTCCAGAGTTGCAGGCACCTCAGCTGGAGCAGCGGACACGCTAGGTCTAGACTGCATCACTTGTAGGCGCTCCTCGGCACTCCGGAGTTCAACAGTCAACTCATCCACCCTAGACTGCAGATGGTCTCTAGTTGTCTTGACCCCAACTAGTTCTTCCCTAGCCGATCCCAAGCTAGTCACCAAATCATCAATCCGTTTCTGACTTTGTTCATGATCATACTCTCTCCGCAGGGCTGCCTTCTTAGATTCCTCAACTTCATCGTTGAGTTTCCGTTTAGTTGATTGTAACTCGGACTCAAGTGATTCGACGTTGAGCTGCAGGCGACGGCGACTCTCTGAATCAGTGTGCTCTCGCTCATTTAAAATTGTCTGCAGGTTAGCATTGAGCGAGTCAAGTCTGCTTCTCTCATTCCGTAATGTCTCGTTGTCTTCAATCAGCCTTCTCTCGATATTCTTCCAGAGGTCCTTCTCAGCCTTCAGGTTCGCATTCTCCCGCTGGAGGCTTTCAACAAGTCCCTTGGTTTCCACTAAATCTTCAGCTGCTTGTTGTGTCTTAAGATCTTGGCGGTTTGCGTTCTCGAACAGCGCAGCATATCGTTTTTGGAGCTCAGTGTTTTCGCTCTTAAGCATGTTGAAATTACTTTGCAACAGTTCCGCCCTCTGGGTAGCAGCACCCAGCTGACTGCTGGACCGGCTAATCTCACTCAACAACTCACTGTTCTTCCTCGACAACTCGTTTACTTGTTGCTTAAGGGCAGAATGATCAGTGGCAGACTCCTCGCGGAAGCTGTCAAAGTGTGCTTGCACCTTGCGAAGTAGCTCAGCATAATCAGGTGCGTCCTTCATATGCTCATCTGCAGTACCAGGGGGTGCGGTACCAAGCGGTAGAGACTGAGAGAAGGCAGAAGAGTCGCTGACCGTCTGACGCCGACGTGTGAGCATGCTCCTGAAAGTGTCACGTTCCTTTACGTAGCTCTTTGTCTGAGCTACGAGGTTTGCAATCTCATCGCGATATGTCTGTACTCTGATCCTCAATTCCTTCAGTTCTTCCTGCTCTTGCTGACGGACAGCATCCTTCTCCCGAGCTTCGGCGCCCTCCATCTTATCCCCGAGTTCTCTCAGCATCCGTCGGAGGGTCACGTTCTGTTCCTGAAGTTCATGGAGGTCCTTAAACGTCATCAAGTTCTGGCTAATGAAGCGTCCCGTAGGAGTGAGATCTGCAGCAGCATCCTCGATCTCCTTTCGAGCTATCTTCTCGAGCTCGTCCCTGTCGTAGCTACCTTCACCTTCCTTCAAAACGGCGACTTCCAACACCAAAACCTTCACCTGTGCACTCAGATCTCTAAGTTGTTGGCGCAGAATATCCCCTTCACGAGCCAAACCCTCCACCTGGCCTTGCCATTTTCTTGCTTCCTTTGTTGCATCATCCCTCTCCTTTCCAGCAGTTTCAAGAATGTTAGACATCTCAACAACAGCATTTTCCAGTCTTGCATGATCAGCGCGCAACTCATCAATTTCAGGCTTGCTTGCTTCAAGGTCCTGAACCATCTCATCCAACGTTGACCGGAGTTCCTGGCTCGTCTTTTGTTCCGCGGCCAGTAGTGTTCGCATCTTGTCATATTCCGTATACATTTGCGTGAGAGTGAGGCCACCCTTGCCTCGAGAAGTTCTAGGCGAAAAGGTACCAACAGGCGTACCAGGACGAACAGGCGTGCTAGGCCCACCGTTAAGGCCTGGTGCTGGGCTCATGGACCTCCTTCCGCCGACACCTTCGGACTCGAGTTGGCTCACTGTGAGCTCAAGTTCAGCGATGCGGCGTTCAGCAGCTTCTTTGTCGGAATGTTCCGTTTCAACCTCTACGCGGAGTCGGGATATCTCCTCCGCTGCATCGTCCCTCGCCTTTTCTAAGGCCAATTGGCATTCCTGGACTCGATGTTTGGCGGTTTCCGCGGCATTTCCTTGCAATTCGGCGAGCCTGTTCGCACTGTCCAATTCAATTCTGAATGATTCAGCTGTTTGGATGGCCTCCTCCTTGAGCTGTTGGATGCTCGAAAGCGACTCTTCATAGCGCTGCTCCACCTCATCGAGCCGGCTCTTAAGGGCGTTTTCGCTGCGCCTCAAGGAGTCGATGGTTGCACCCGCCTCCTCATTCTCGCGCTGAAGCTCGGCGATTCTAGCGCTCTTTTCTTTCCGGAATTTCAGATACTCGGCAGACTTCGTCTTCAATTCTGTTTCAAACCATTCGTTGTTCTTCTTTGTCAAATCCAAGTCCTGCTGGAGACTCTGCTCGCGGAAACGGGCACTCGCCGATGCCGAGTTTGCAGCCTGAAGATTCTGCTCAGCAGATGAAAGTTCACGTCTCAATTCAATGGTCTTCTTGTGTTGTGTCGAAAGCTCTTCCGCGAGTTTATCGTATGCTGCAGACTTTGATTCAAGAAGTGCTAGTGTGTCCCGGTTTGAGGCTTCAAGGGAGGAAATGCGGGATTTCAAAGAGCTAACTTCGGATTCATTGGAGGTAGAAGAGGATTTCAAGGTGGCGATCTCAGATTCCAGGCTGGATCGGATATTTTCTATAGCAGATAAGCAATTGCATCACAGCGCAGCATTGGTAGCACAAACCAGATTCATGTAATTTCTTCCTGGATTCCTCAACTTCTGCATGGCCTTTCTCGACAGAGCTCTTCAAGACCTTGACCTTGGACTCACTGCTGCGAACAGCGTTTTCAAGCTCTACCTCCAGGCGAAGCTTATCGGACTTCAGATGATCGTATTCTCGGGCCTTCTTCGTGATCGCTTCTAGGAGTTGATTCACTAATTCAACCGTAGGAGCTTGGGTAAGAGTGGTAAGGGTCGACTCCGCGATGGAGTAATGAGAGGACAGGTAAGGCAATTCAATCGTAGTGGTAGCCATGGTGCCGTAGGTTGGCAGCAGAACAAAGCCGCTTATACTTATAAATGGTTAATTAAGAAGGCCCCAGAGCGAACGTCGTGTACTCAGGTGAGCAGACGATGTTGCTGTAGGCGTGATATGCACTGTCTTTGACACGTGCACACAGCGCTTAAGGTTGCAATTAGCTCATGACGACATCAAAAGAGAGATGTCTACGAGAAGCAACAGAGGTCAAGCGAAGATAAAACCTCTGTAGATTGATGATTAATAGGTTATGGACAAAAGGGTGACGAGTGACGCTTTGCATTCGGGCTGCTGGGTTACAGCTCCCAACACGGTTAAGCGCGCCGATGCTATCACGTGATGTGTCTCTCCGGATGAACAGGAGGCTATGGTTACAGCAGCAAAGAACAGCGCATCTATCAAGCCCAACAAAGGCTGCTGACAGCCTTCTCGGTGCGCCTTACTCCAGGGTAGACTCGATAGCTCTAGGTGACAGTATTTCTCTTTGGACTTTCGAATGAGCTATCGCGACCTCTACTTGAGCTCTGTTTGGCTCCGGTGAGCCAAGCCTTGCCTCATATTACTAACTTCTGGACCCTTCACGTCACATTTTCTCTCAACTATAAGTTTGGTTATTGCTTGAGAACTCGCAACCATGTCGCATCTCCAGCAGCAACTCAAAAGCTTCAACGCTGGCGTCGTGGCTGCTGCGGCTCGCATGCCACAGCAGAGACGGTTCGTCCATAACAACTCTGCCAGTAGTTCGCAAGTACCATCGTCGGCCTCCACACCCACCCCGAGCGGCGATGTCAAGCGGAAAAGGCACGATGCAGATATCGTCTACTCGCAGCCTGCCAATACTGGCACAGGCAAGGATATTATGACACAGGTTATCTTTGCAATCGAGCATATGAAAAACAAGGGCGTCCCGCTTAGGTTTACGGATATCGTCTCCTACCTCTCTCTTCAACATCGGGCCAATGATCAGGGTTATGTCCAGGCACTACGGAGCATCCTTCAGATGCATGAGAAGGTCCAGTATGATCCTAGTGGAGCAAACGGAGAAGGCACTTTCAGCTTTCGCCCACCACACAATATCCGCACTGCCGAGCAGTTGCTCCAGAAACTCCAGTCGCAGTCTACCGCTGCTGGAATGAGCGTTCGTGAGCTGCGGGAAGGCTGGCCAAATGTGGAAGACACCATCAATCAGTTAGAGAAAGAAGGAAAACTCCTTGTTACTCGGAACAAGAAGGACGACCATGCGAAGATGGTGTGGGCCAATGATCCATCCTTGATACAACACTTCGATGACGAGTTCCGTCAGATTTGGGAGAAGATCAGAGTTCCGGACCAGCAGGCTGTCAAGGAGGAATTGGAGAAGGCCGGGATTACCCCCACGAACAAAAACAAGGTCACCAAAGCTCGACCCAAGATCGAACATAAGAAGGTCAAGAAGCCTCGTCGCAGTGGCAAGACGACTAACACCCATATGATGGGTGTCTTGAGAGATTACTCACATCTTAAACGATGATTGAAGCGTTAAGGCTATGGAAAAAAGAATGTTGATTATTGGCTTCTGCAGTTGCGCTTTTCAGCTGCGCATTCCGTTGAAACTGAATTATAGAGACTGGCACGACCATGGAGATCGGTCCCATTGCATCTATTGGCGTCTTCGGGGGAGCATACACCGGGAACTTGAGTTTCATCAAACGATTCAAAGTCTGGCTAGCATCTTCGCTCATCGCCAGTTGCTGTCCAGCCTGTAAAATATATTAATAAAATATAGATACCCAAAACCGTCATATGAACCAATATCACTGCGTAGATCACTACGATGCTCTCCAGATGAGACCCATGTCACAAATCTGTAATTGAAATCATCAACATATAGTTTATTGAGATCTACCCCAGAAAGGGAAGATAGGCATGTCTTGAGCGCGCAGCGCGCCTAAATCGGGAACAGCCTCGGTGTGGGAAGTAGTACTACCTTAAAGGGAAGTGGGATGGAGTTATCACCCGCGGCACCGATTTTCCATACATGACAAACCATTAGTGATCGACTCAAGGCCGGGCCTCCCACTCTTCTTCCCTTCCCTTCCGCTTGCTTCTAACCATATATATATCGCTGCGCTACCGGCATTTTCCGACTATAGAAGTATCTCTTTCGAGTTCCAGATAACTCTGTCCCTTCCTGTTACCCTCGATCCTACTCTAGAGTTGCATCTCGGTATCCGGTATCCGTACTTCTCCGCACACCGACCCGGAGATAACCATTATCGGCTTGACTCATTCACATTCGGAAAAGAGTCAATTCCAACGTCCAAACTAAATCTACTGTCCCAATTGCATACGTCAGAATAACCGGACTCAAACTTGGGCGTGTTTACGTTCAATCTCAAAGAAACAAGTACCAACGCCACATATATTCCTCTGCCCCGCTCAAGTGAGGGGCAAATCTTCGCGACTCAACATGCCAGCAGACACCGATCCCAGTCTTCAATTCGATTCAATTGAGGATACAATCAAGGCTTTCAGTGAGCATTGCTCCCCTTGCCCCTCCCCTCTGTATTCTTCCCCTTTGTGCCGAAGGTGCACTCATGTGGAAACGTCCCGAGGCAATTCCTACCGGCAACGCTAACCCACATGACTCTGCATAGAGAATGGCGAATTCATAATTGTCCTTGATTCGCAAGACCGTGAAAATGAAGGCGATCTCATTATTGCTGCCGACTCAATTACCCCCGCTCAGATGGCTTTCCTGGTTCGCTTCACAAGGTAGGAAACCCGCTCAGCCCGATATTCTCACATCCTCCCAACTGCATGCGTCTCATATATAGTCACTAACGTTTCCTTACCCAAACCAGTGGTTTAATTTGCGCACCTGTATCCCCCGAAATCGCCAGTCGACTCAGTCTACCCCAGATGGTGCTTGAGAACGCAGACCCGAAAGGAACCGCCTACACGATCTCCGTCGACTCAAGTGACCCAACCGTTACCACCGGTATCTCTGCGCAGGACCGCGCCCTTGCATGCCGAACGCTTGCCTCTCCGACTGCTCGCGCCGAAGATTTTCGGAGACCGGGCCATATTATCCCCCTCCAGGCCAGGAGCGGTGGCGTGCGTGAGCGTAGAGGACACACTGAAGCCGCAGTCGAGTTCTGCCGTCTGACCGGTAAGGTACAAGCTGGTGTGATTGCTGAGTTAGTGGAGGATGGAGAGCTGGTCCCGGGTGTCCCAGAGATCGGTGGCAATAACGACATGATGAGACGTGATGGGTGCTTGAAGTTTGGCAAGAAATGGGGCATCAAGGTATGCACCATCGAAGACCTGGTTGAATACGTCGAGAAAGTAGAAGGTAGCCCTCCTGTTTTCACAAATGGAAAGCAGTAAGTTTGAGCGTGACAATGTTGTATAAGTTTTTTTCATTTTTCTTTTCTTTTTTTTTCTCTCTCTTTTTCTATTGTCAATTTCCCCATCTTTCTTGGTTCTTTTTCATTGCGAGGTGCATGTTTACGACCTGTTTATGGAGCTGTTTTTGTATGTACTATTGCAAAGCAAAGTTGGAGGCTGGGCGGGCAAAAGGACATCTATGGGATATCAGATGACCATACTTCTCTCAGTTATGAAATGGATGTGACAGGGCAATATGAATTACAGGAATAGATATAGACCGAAAAAAATGTTGGCTATATGTCTGTAACTTTAGTCTATGAAGCATTTTATTTGAAAAGGAGCATTGACCGTTTATCGCAAAATCAACCACCACAACCATAACCAAATCTATATAGCAAAGTATCGTCCTCGTTTATTTCTCGATTTCGTACTCCGCGACTCTCCCTCTTGCTATCTGGTTGCATGCCTCTGTCTAAAGCGAAAGCCTTGGCAATACGCACTACGATAGAGATAGACTCTAATACTATAGCATCCACCTATATACATGCAGATAATGAAAAGACGAAAGGAGATAAAAACATCTTGCGCTTGCTAATGGTGCTGTCTATAAAGAGCAGAGGTGAAACAATCTAAAAGGTATATCATCCGAACAGTATGTAGCCAAGGTCCCCAGTGGGCCTCGTAAAATGCAAAAAAGTAGCTTCACGGCTTACAGCCCTAAGCCACCCATCCGCCGTACTTCATCGGCCTGTCTTTCCAAAGCTCTCCGCATCATGCTGGAATATTCGCGCTCCCGCATCCGGAACTCACGTCTTCTGTTTCGTAACTCCTCACGCTTAGCACCGTCCATATCTTCACTGAGATCGATGAGATCATCTTCCTCTTCATCTTCATCGTAGCCATCCGTATCGGCGAATCTAATGCGACCAACACGTTCGCCTGTCCAGACGAGGAGTTCATCTCCCGTTAAATTTCCGCCGGTGGGTAGAATCTTCCGAGCAACCTCGTCGTGGCTCCGAGGACTAGATGAGTCGTTCCACAGGCCGCGGGCCTCTTCGTTCTCACCATGCATATTAGTGCTGGATCCAGTCAAGTCTTGTTCATTCTTCCGACGAGGTTTGTAGTCGTTGATGTTGAACCGACGAACTTCGGCTTGGCCGTCTCGTTCAACCCACTTAATGTTCCCATCTCCGTCAGAATAGACTATACGGGTGCCGTGCGACTCGACTGATAACACCTTCAAGCTCGCAGAACTCTGTCGGTTTTGATACACAGGTGTTAGGCTGGATGATACATCCGATGGTCCGTTCTCTCCTTGCGCACCCGACGGCATAAGGCTGTATAGCTCAAGGGAGCCTTTGCCTTTGTATTCACCACAAGCGACAACCTTATGTGAGTCTGGGCAGGACGACCCAGAAGACACAGGAAACTGTGGTGCTGGGACAGAGGCGAGGCCGCATAATCGACCTCCTGAGTGAATCGTGTTCTGCAGCCGGGGAAAAAATCGTCGGTCATATTGCAAGATGCTTGGGAATCGCCCGGCGAGGAATATGGAATTCACGTGGGGGGCGGGGGGATGCAGTAGGGCAAGTGGTCCTGGTTGGAATAAAGGAGCATAGTCCTCACCTGTCTCCAAGGGGTTGGGGCTTCGTATTCGATGGGGAGGCTGCCCGTTGGGTCGAAGTTGGAGAAGGGGGGAATCCGGAGGAGCATAGATCTGTGATTTCGGGACCAACGAAAGTGTTGGTTTCTCACACCGAAGATTAATCGCCTCTTCTTCCTCGGTGGCAGATAGCCGACCATCGTATATATGAAGGCTCAACGTAGTAGCTAGAGTTAATGGCACAGAGTAATCCGTCTCTTGAGATAGGGCAAAGATCGACCAGGGATAACGCTGCTGTGAGATTACGCTCAGCGTCTCGAGATCAACTTCATTCAACACATTGGCAACGGCAAGATATGCTCTTCGACGAATTGAGTCCACGCTCACACATTCCCCAAGATTGATAAACTCCAGCCCTGATTTGGCCGCCGAGTTATCCCTCCGGCCGGATAGATTAGCCATTAGGATGCCCGGCTGGCTAACTCCAAGGATCCGGCCCTTGGTAGACTGAGACCCGATTGAGTGGGAATGGTTGAGATCCCAAATGCAAACACTGCCGTCGTCTAATGGTGCGATAGCCTTGTTCTCTCGCGCAGAGCTCCAATCCCGGAGCAATCCCATACCTTTGACCTCGCGGTGCGTCTTTTTCCCTAGGTTTTCTTTTGCAAAGGGCTGCTGGAGCCAATTGAAGGATATCGGACCATTCCGAGCGATATACTCCGAATACCAGTCGATATCTTCACCCTCGTACGACGGATCCCACGTTGCCGCCGCTCTTGACCGTTCAGCAAATGACACATTCTGATCCCCGTTCGAGAGCGAAGTATCTGGTTGGATTAGGGAGCGAAGAGAAGTTTGGCCCAACGAGCTAAGGGGCGTAGTGGAATCTGTGACACGGCGTGCCGAGGCCCTGTTAGCCGAGTGAGAGGCGTGTGCGGCGGCCCATGACTGCTCATAACAATGGAGTCTCCATAGGCTATTGTCCCGCGCGAGCCCGAAGAATCGCTTTGAGACAGACTGAAGCTGTACCTGCTCATGTGGCGTGAGATCTGGTGTTTCACAAGGATGGTTAGCTCGTATAGCGACTGTGGCAAAAGGTACTATTACACAAGGGCCATCCGCACTAAAAGACCGGAGTGTGGAGAATAGTGTAAACTGGCTGGGGATTCGAAAGAAATGAGATTAGATGCGCTTACAATCAATTATCTTAGCAAGAATCTCTACGGGCAGCTTCTCCATGAGGAACACTGGTCCGGAGACACCATCGAGGCCGGACAGATCCAATTGGGGCTCACTACAAAAATGTGGGACAAGCCGACTCTTGTTGTTGGGTTCCAGACTTTTCTTTTATAAATTTCCCCGCGATCAGTGATTCAGCCTGACTGGCGTCACGTGTTAGCACGCATTGGGGTGGAGACGATTTATTTACGCAGTATTAAGAAAGCCCATGTTGATGGTTGATTTCATTACACAATGTACGATAAACGGCTGCTATTGGTTTTCATGCCAGGGCTCTGCTTAGATCCTTCGAATATCTCAGAGCATATGCACGCTCCTAATTCCAATTGATATCTTTTACCCAATTCATCATAAATCATATTAGTCGTACAGAAGGAGACCCATTACCAGGTCCCACATGAAAAGAGCGTAGGGTTGGCCTGAGCCGAGACGAAACTTTTAAGGGCCTGATAAACAGTACCACCGTTTAGCCCTCAGGCTTGTAGACAGCGTCTTTGCAGAGAACAGCGACTCTTTTAAAGAAACGTCGCCATTCCAGTGGGTCACCTTTCACTTTCACAAGTTCAATTTCAAATAGACCCTCCGACACGCATTCAATAATGACCTTACCCTGAAGCGTGCACATTCGGCCGTCCCTGGTCACAATTCTTATCATTGCCGACACATCACCAGCAGAAACCGCGGGCACTGATGGCACGGGTACCCCCAGGCGATGCAGAGCCTCACATATGAGGGGCACAAGGATTTTGAGCTCCCATGTAGAGTAGAAGCGAGTCAGAGGCCGGGATGGTACTATATCACGGAATTGCTGTGCCTTCTGCGTTCGGCTGAGAGGCACAGACGGATGAGGAGAAAACTGTGACATGGACGGCTCATCTTCAAGCGTGTCAGCTACATAGGTATCATCCACCGAAAGAGGCTGTCCCATTGGTTGAGTAGATGAAAAGACGTCAGTTAAGTGAGGTGTGTCCCAATCAACTAGCATGTCGCCTCTTAGCATCTCAGGTTGTGTCGACGAGATCCTGAAGTCGGTGTCCAGATCTCCTATGTCCATGTCCATTCGGCAAGGATCGACACTACTATTCGCTCGCCGAGCGAGGGGATCCTGAGAGAAGTCTATATGAAGAGACTCGAACATTGCTGTAGCCATATTGATGGGGTCTCTGAGTCTGCCATCCGGAGATAAAAACCTGTTCTGCCGTGTATACCAGGGGTGCCTCCGAACATCTTCCAAAGAGAAGCGGCTGGCTGGGTCGATATTTAGCATACCCCGTAGTAATGACAATGTCGCAACTGGCAACTGTTGCCATAGTTCGTCACTTGTCCGTGCGTTAGTTGTGACATATTCGTGGAACTCGTAACTACTCTCTGTCGGGCTATCCCAGGGTGTATTGCCAGCCAAGAGAACAAAAAGGACAATTCCGCATGACCAAATGTCGACCAGATCCGGTCGGTAGCCAATCCCTTTCATATGGTTTTTGTTGCTGCAAGTAATGACCTCTGGTGCAATATAAGGCGGGCTGCCACAGAAAGTGGTGGAAAGCTTTGTCACCCCTTTATACTCGAACAAAGTTGCCAGGCCAAAATCTGCAATTTTCAAGTTCCCATCTGCCGTCAAGAGCATGTTTTCCGGTTTGATATCGCGATGGCCCACACCTTTCGAGTGCATATATCCCACTGCACTGACAAGTTGGGAGAAATAAACATGAGCGATGTCCTCCCCCACACCTTCATCGGCCTCGATCTTGTCAAAAAGATCGCCTCCCTCGGCCAATTCCATAGCGATCCATCTCCAGACCCCATCCTCTCCGGTTTGGAAGAATGATATTATATTATTGTGATCGCCGATGTGTTTGTGTACCGTCGCCTCCATTTGCAATTGTCGTGGGCTGATCTTGCCATGTCGAGCAGCGTATTCTTTATGGATGAACTTCACGGCGAAGACAGGGTTATCCGTATGCGATGGACATGCCTTTTTGATGCTATTATACAATGACACGAAATAGGATTAGCAAACTGCAGTGTACAGTGCAATACACATAAGATGGGGTAAAGAATAATAATCATACCACGCGTAGGCACCCTGGCCGATTGTCTTGGACACGATACGAAAGGGCAAATCGTTTGGCAGCGGGGCGAGTTGAGAGTGGTGCATCTTGACGTAGCCCTCTGTGAGCCTGACTGTACGAGGTCAGTCGGAGTGAGTAAAAAGACAGAAAGATCCTTGTCATATAAAAGCCAGGTTTAGCCCCATTATCCTGGAAGATGAAGATAGGCAGGGTTCAAGATGGCTGAGAAACGCGGCACGCGAGTTGCCACTTTATCCCCTTTGGGTAATATGTTGATCCGCCGGGCGCAACATTCATGATGAGGGCAAAACACGAGAGAAACATGGTTAAATGATTGGATAGCAGATATGTGTATGAGCTTTACCAAGAGAAGAAAAGATCAGTCTACGGATATAGCAGAAATCAGGGGCAGAACAGCAAGTCAATCATTCGCTTGATGCGACGGAGGAATCAATGTGATCAAAAAGGATCGTGGTTGGTTTAATGCCCGTCATACATTTTTAGACCCGCAGCAGCGTGTCGCCTGCCATATGGAGTATGCTAAGTGGCAGCGCCCTGCTTTTTTGTAAATTTAGGACACTGGAGAAAAGATTTTAATGAGATCCGAAACTTTACACGACCTTTTGTACAGGCTATCGTTGAGCTGGAGAGCATCATACGGAAAGAGCACGCTATACAAAAATCTCCGACCTCATCTCACGAGGCAGTTTTAAGCCAAATTCTATTTGATAGCGTGATAAATGAAAGACGAGTCAGATTTACTCCGGAGTATGGTGTGAGATCAGGCGGGGCTTTTTTTGCCTGCGTTGCCGGGGGTGCATTTATTTGGTTGGTACAGTAAACAAAAGGAGCCCGAAGAAGGGCTTCGAATACCTTCCAAGGTTTCCCCGTTTGCAAAACTCCAACCGTCTCTTTGTCCTTGCCAGTTTGGGGGTTAATAATACTACACCTGTAAGGTTCCTTGTTCTTCCTGTCTATCCCTGCATTGCAAGTTTCGAAAGTCAATCTTGGAACTTTCGACTGCTCTGAATCCGATCAGATCCTCTGCGGTTCATTCTGTGGGTCGTTCCGTCCACTTCCAGCCAACTGCGGTACCGCATTCGCATTCGGCGTCATTCCAGACAGCAACCTCTCTCCTGCTACTGTCACTCACATTCCACAACCTTCCGGAAGTCTTTTTTTTCGTAATACTTTTTCGTCAGGAAGGATCCAAGTATTTTATCTTCACTCCCTCGCTTTCTCGGCAAAGTCACCATGGACTACACAATGGAGGATACTCAGAACTCCGCTCCAGAGGCGCTCGAGGCGTCCAAGCTGAACTCAGCACCTCAGCGGAATGACAGCCAAAGCGTAACCAAACGGTATAGTCCTTGGAAGATAAATGAAAAAGAGAAATCGATGCTGACTTCTACCCATCCGTATAGCCTCCAGGCTGAACTGATGCAGCTTATGCTCTCGCCTTCTCCTGGTATCTCCGCATTTCCTGACGCCGATGGCAACCTTACTTCCTGGACTGCCACCATCAGCGGACCCAACGAGACTCCATATGAGGGCTTGACATTCAAGCTCTCGTTTGCCTTCCCCAACAACTATCCTTACTCTCCACCAACCGTCCTCTTTAAAACTCCCATCTACCATCCGAATGTGGACTTTTCCGGACGTATCTGCTTGGATATCTTGAAGGATAAATGGAGTGCTGTGTACAACGTGCAGAGTGTTCTCCTGAGCTTGCAAAGCTTGCTCGGAGAGCCAAACAAGTGAGACATCGATACTCTTGCATGTGGTATACATCTTACTGACAGTTTAATAGTGCCAGTCCCCTTAACGCTCAGGCAGCCGAGTTGTGGGATACAAACCAGGAAGAATACAAGCGTCATGTTCTTGCGAGACACCGCGACGTTGAGGATATTGAGTAAACTGTAATGACTTTGTCGGCTGTTGCCGTGATGTGGCGTTAAGGACAGACCATGTTTCTTTTGGATGTATTGCATAGGGTCTGTGTGTCGTCGTTTCTTGGGGCGTCTCACTGGAGACTTTGTAGCTCCTGCATTTTTGGCTCAGGGGTACGGTTCGATGCATAAGGGATACAAATGGTTCTGGAGTTTATGCGTTGGGTTCACCTTCTATTATGGGACCGCGGGTTTAACTCAGGTATAAGAGTGCTCGCGCCCGTGGAATAAATATGATCCTTTCTTTGTCCTGCAACTTAATAATAGGTTAAACATACTTCTCTAATGATCTTTACCTGATCCGTCTCGCGTACTAAGATGCTATGGATGTCCGGCAGCCTAGCTGATGTACGTCCATACAGCAGCGAGGCCGGTGTCATCCTGCCACACCTGATCCGGCGTGACGATAAAATCCCGAGTCAGCTAGGGCGGCCCTATCCATTACAATCGATTTGAGGGTAGTTGACTTTTCTGGCTTTTCCGTGATGGGCAGGTGTACATGGGTCACTGTACCCGATGAGCTGCCAGGCAATCCATGTGCACGGACAGCTCACTAACAGCTAGTAGAAGGACAGCGGCATCAATTGCCGAAAATAATGCCCAATGTGGGACCATGAGAAACACAGTGTTTCCTGCTATCAGATATAGGGATAGCTTTACTCAGACAACAAAAGGGGAAGATAGGACAGTGACACCGTAAAGCGCTGGGTCGAATTAGCTCATTTGAATACATTACGGTTTCGAATACTATAGAATTGTGTGCAGTCACCCATAAGTACGGCAGTCACAGGAAGATCGTATGTGAATAATGACGAGGCAGTAAGATGATTGGAATATTCATATAGTATTTACTGCTCACAGAGCAATGAGCCAAAGACTCCTAATGAAGTCATTGGATCAAGAAAGAGTTGAGATCGTGAGCTCCTGGACTCATGGAGATACAAGTATATACATACTTCTGCTTTGAAATGGGCAACAAATAGCGAACATCGAAGAAAACGGCAAAAGAACACCCGCAATTAAATAGTACAGTTCAAGTAGCACGATACATGCTCAGATCCAAATGTCCCCGCATTGTTCTTAGGATTATGAGATGTATTGCTCTTCATTTGTGATTAGAAGACCTGCGATGGCCGCACTCGTCAGAGTACTGATGGCACCAGTGAGCATGGCGCTGACGGCAACACGAGACACATCACCAGCTCGGCTGGGTGCTAGCTGGGCCAGCACACCAATTTGGTTTCCGAGAGAACCGATGTTGGCGAAACCACACAGGGCATAAGTGGCGATCAGCCGGGAGCGGGGTGACAGAGTTTGGAACTCGTCTTTGTTCTGTAGGTAATCGTATGCGATGAACTCGTTCTGTTTGGAGTCTATTAGCATGTTTGTTGTTCTCTCGAATCAAAGGCAATGGGACTTACCATAACAAGCTTAGTTCCGATGAGTTTAGCGACCTTCAGGAGATCACCGTCGCGGGAGACACCAAGAAGGAAGGCAACCGGGTAGCAGATGTAGCCAACAATGAGCTCAATGGTCAAATCAGGCTCGTAGATGTTCAGGTAGTGACCCCACCAGGTCAACAGGCCGTCAGCAAGACCCACAAGGGAGATAATACACAAAAGTGTAGTGGCAATCATGCCTGCAATCTTGATGCCCATCCAAGCTCCGTTGGAGAATGCGTGAAGGGCGTTGGCTGCTTTGTGGCTGTCGTCTTCAGGGACGACAATACGGCCAGCCGTCAGCGTCTCCTCTTCCTCGGGCCAGCGCAGCTTAGATGCTGCCACAGATGCCGGAATACTCATCACGCATGACGAAACCAGCGCTTGGGGGTTCAAACCCATTCCGATAAAGGATACCAGGACTGATCCTGCAATGGTAGCGAATCCGGAGCACATGACTTGGTGAATTTCCGCCATCGTAAGATAGGGAACGAAAGGCTTGATAAGCATGGCCGACTCGCCTTGTCCGATAAAAGGAGATGCAGCTGCCACCACAGCTTCAGCTCCCGAGATACGCATCGCCCAGAAGAAGAATACGGCAAACTTGCCAATTGCCCACTGGAGAACGCCCGTGTAGTAGAGTAACTGCACGATAGACACGAAGAAGATGATAGCCGGGACCACACTAACGAGGAACCAGCTGCTGTGCTTATCGGCCCAACCAGTTTCCACCAAGAAATCCACACCTTGTCTGGAGAACTCCAAGAGTTCTCTGGCCAACATGGAAATGAAATTGAAGATATCATATCCAGCCTTGGTTCTGAGGACGAAGAGTGCGATGATAAATTGCACAAGCATTCCCACGATGACGGTATGCCAGATAATCTTCTTCCGATTTCTTGAGGTAAGCCACAAGACAAAGAGGAAAACAACTAGTCCAAAGAGACTGACGGCCCGATTCGCACGGGTGTTGTCAGCAGACTCCGGAGAGGCAAATGAGCCGATGATAATCACTGCAATCGTCAAGAGCGCGCCGCTGGGGACTCTTAGCTTTTCTGGGATTAGGTTGACGAATCGTGAAGCGGTCTGGTTCCATACCCAGTAGACTGGTCTGGTCAAAATCGAAATGGGAACATAGAAAAAGATGAGGCGCAATGTAATCGCGAGGTAGAGCAAAAATGGGATCAACCAGCCCAGATCATACCGGTGGAGGATGAGACCGGCAATCCACCAGCTATAAGTGACATAATGAGCTTTTAAAAGATCACAGCTACCTCGCTGGCAGGCGTCCCCGACAGCTCGAAGAAGGCACAACTCACCCGGTGAACAAGAGCCAGATGACGGCGTAGACAACATGCTTCAACCACGGGCGATAGCGGCGCCACGGCCGTGACGGGACGTTTTCACCTGCCTCCTCGTCTTTATCATCCTTCTTCTGGCCACTGCTATTGAGAGAGCCCGACTCTGGTAGTTCTCTCTTCTCGGAGTGCACATCTTTCGTGTAAGTGATATCTTCTTCAATATCCTGTTGCGCATTAGGACCTACGCCATGATGCTGTGGCGTAGCTTCCTCCATCGTACTAGTAGGCATAGTATAAGAGATCGCGTGGTGACTCGCAGACGTGCCGTTGTCCTCCAGCCTCTTCTCATCCACCATCTCCACGCAGCTTGTAACGTATCAAGTAGCACGTGGGCTAATCCTGTTGATCTGTTCAAGGCTGTGGCAAGGTCAAAATGTGATCAATATTTTACTGACGGGGCAGGGCCGGGGGAGGTTTAATAGGATTTTATTAAATGCATGGATGGACCCAGATGTGAATAGATTGGGGACTGATAATAAGATAATGGGAATGTGTGTTAAACGAGTAAAAATTTCAGCTCAGGCCATGTCCACCTGAGATAAGACCGTTAGAGGAAAACTGGCCGATGCAAGGCTGGGACTTATCGGTTGAACAACCCAGTAAGCGGGGATAGTGTATGTTCTTAACCTTAAGACCTTGTCGCATGGCATGGCATGGCGTTCTCAACTATACAGGACGCTAGTGGCTAGTCTTCTACGGTTGTTCTGGATGTCTAGGGAAATTTTTTCTTCTTTCTTTTTCCATGTTTTCTTCCCGATGCCTTTCGCTGGAGCAGCATGCAGACCATCTACAACTGGTGGCTGGGTGGTGGATTCAACCAGTAAAAGAAGAAGAAAAAATTCTTAGAAGGAAGCTAAGTTAAAACTCCACTTACCCAATCCCAGGTTACGGAGAGTGGCAAAGGTCTCTTTTTTCTTTCTTTTTTCATTTTTTCTTGTCCTCCGTAGTGATAAGACTGTTGCAGCACTAAAACGTCGCTAGGGGCAAGATTACAAGCCTGAGGCCGTAGATTGGCGGAAGATCAACACTGAGAGGCGAAAGTTTCTTAGTTTGCCAACACCTTGACGTACAATCTCCGCACAAAAGAAGTCGCTCGTGTGCCGCCCTCTCTAATTTAGGTTAATGCCGTTCGTCCCTTGGAGATGAAAATAAACTATGAAGAGTCAGATATTTTTGGCCCTGGATATTCCTTTCGATGCAGTATGTGTGATTGATTGTTATAAGGTTAGGGTTCACCACTAATTCACCGAACCGTGGTTGTGGAGGTTTGAATACAGTTTCTATTTGAAAATGATATCCACCTTGAAGTGCTGAAGAAGGCACTCTGGAGTACATGAATTAGCGCTATGGGCTCAAAGGGGTAAGGCACACCGACACTAACCGCACCTTCAACTCAGGTGCCAAGCCCACCGAGTATAAACTAGATAACATTGATGAATCCCTTTGTATCGGTGTACGCCGGAGTGTTGCCGAGTGTTGTTTCACAATTGTGCGACCAACAAACGAGGGCTTCTGATAGGGCTCGATAAGCTCTCGGACTGCCAAGCCACCAATACTCTTCCCTGGTTTAGGGTGACATTGATTACTTCCATAGTGCCTCATAATGAGATGTATGTACGGAGATTGCCGGACTTTGGCCTGGTCTTTATACAGAATGAGTTATGATAACGACGATCCGGGGTAACTCACCAATTGTGATCCTCTTACTTTTTCCCATGGCCATCCATACCCCGGAGTAGTACTCTTCTGGGGTGTCATTTAGCGGCATAAGATTTGCCCCGGGGCGGCTCGTTCATTGCCCACTTTCATATTGTACGTATTGTGAGGTTACATCGGCGTTCCACCGTGACCCTTCGCATGCCTGAGTATTTTGTTGTGATCCAATTTCCCTTGAACTGATCACATGCCTCGAGGAAATTGTCGTCCGATTAAATCTCGCACCCGATGAGATATTTTGAACTCTGTACACTGTCTTCTGTACGAAGTAACCATCCAATTGCCAGATAAAATCGGCATTTCGGATAAAGTTAGGTTGTGCCGCAAACAAACATGGCCCACTATACCCCAAGCGGGGAACTGTGACCCTGTCAATGTAATCGATATTCTGCCCCTTCTTCGACCTCCGTCATCACTTTTCTTCAATCGAGCTATACTTCCGCCATGAACTCAAGCGATATCGATTGGGAGTTAGAAGAAGGGATACCCCAGGTTGACGACCCTTTCATTCAACAGTACCTGAAGGGCCGTACCTCCCTCGTATTGGAGGAGCAAAAGCAGCGATATGGTCAGTTCCCTACAAGTGGTTAGACAATCAACCGAGCTCATTACTCACCAAACTTGGAATCATAGACACCAATCTTCGCAAGGCCTTGTCGCCAGTAGCTACGAAGGCTTGCGACATCGTTTCTAAGATACGCGCCCGCGATCTGACAATTTTAGGGCTGAACGAGGGAAATCCCCGCCAGTTAAACCCTACCCCTCAGACGAGTCACATACCCCAACTTAACAGGGATGAGGTGCAGAAAACCGACCTATGGAGAATCTTACAGAAGATGCCGAAGGGGTCACTGTTACATGCGCACATGGAGACCATGTTGGATATCGACTTTGTAATAGAGGAGGCCTTCAAAACACCGGGCATCCACATATATGCCCCCAAGCCTTTGACTACTCAACGGGACTACGAAGAAGGGATTTTCTACTTCCAATACTCACCATCGGTACAACACTTGGAAAACAAGCCAGTGTTATGGGACCCCGGCTACGAGCCATCTAGCCTAATCAGCTTACAAGAGGCGGCGTCATCGTTTCCTGATGGCGAAGAAGCTGGGTTTCATGTTTGGCTGAAGAAGCGATGTATTTTCCCTTCAGCGCATTCATATCACCATGGATTCGATAATATATTGAATGCCTATAAGACTTTATCATCTGTTGTTAACTCTCTTTTAAGCTACGAGCCCATCTTCCGCTCATGCCTTCGTCGGATGTTTTCGCAAATTGCTGCCGACGGCATAAGCTATGTGGAACTTAGGAATTCTTTTACGTTCCCATACAGACAGGAAGGAAGCTCTGCTCCCGAAGAAGACTATTCTGCATGGTGTCATGCATTTCAGGAGGAACTTGAAAGTTTCAAAGGCACCGAAGAAGGGAAGACGATATGTGGAGCACGCATCATCTGGACGACGTCACGGACACAGTCAAACAGAGAAATATCTGGTAGCATGATAAACTGTATCCTGGCGAAGCAGGACTTTCCAGAGGTGATCTGTGGATTCGATGTGATAGGGCAAGGAGATGATGCTAGATCGCTTGTCGACCTCGTCCCCATTCTGTTCTGGTTCCGAAAACAATGCGCTGAAGAAGGGGTGGATATCCCTTTCCTTTTCCATACCGGTGAAAATGGATGTGATGATAAACAGGCTGAACATGACCTATTTGATGCGATTCTACTTGGCGCTAGGAGGCTAGGTCCTGGAGAGTCGCTTTATAAGCATCCCTTGCTCCTGGAGCTGATCAAGGAAAAAAAGATCCTTGTCGAGTGCTGCCCTATTGTGAAGGGTATCAATAGTCGAACGAATTTTACTCAAGTTGATCCGCTTTCCGTTCTGTTATCCCGGGGCATCTCTGTTTCTCTTAGCAGCTACCTTCCAGACCTTTCCGAGAGTGGATTGAATAGCTTAACGTTTGGGTTTTGGCAGGCACTTCAGGGCCCCGATAACCTTGAGCTTCCGGGCCTTGCGATGATGGTCGAGAATTCAATCCGGTGGAGCTGCTATGAAGACCAGCCACCAGTCGAATGGCTGTCGGATATTCGAGAGGGAATCCTAGGTGAAGGCACAAAGGCCGCCCGTTTACGGGACTGGTATGCTTGCTTCGAGAAATTTTGCGAGTGGATAACACTGGAATTCGCTGAAGTGGATATATCTTAGTTTCAAGCTTTAGTGTATTGATGGAATTAATAGCTAATGTATAATACCACTGAGATCTTGTGTCTCTAGACATAATCAGGACTCGTCGGGTCTTTGCTCAGATCCCAATGAAGTGCATACTCCGGAATACTCCATACCCACAGTGGAGCTTAAGTGCAGGACTGACTCAGTGATCGTCCAGTCACGTGAAACGCAAAGTATGTCGATGATGCGATGTGTCGTTCGCAGAGATAATAACGGTCATACGTATAGATGATCTACCGGAATGTAATTATAGTAATTTATTTCTGGACTAGTATTCTTAGCCTCGGCAATATTTAGCGTTACCTGCACTGCCTAATCTACCTCATTGAGTAGTATGGCTATCGCTCTGCAAGGGTCGAAGTTAACAGTAGGTAAAGAAACGATGATGGACTGAAACCAGATCTACAGACTTGCTGTTCGTGTTGTAACTTGTCTGAAACCTGTGGAAACTATGCGTCCGTGATAAAGTGGGTGATTTGAAGAAGATCCATCACGCGTAGACCACCCTAAACCGGCAGTGTCCTCGTTGGGTTGCCACGGTTCACTTGGTCGACGCGCTTTAAGATGAGCGCTTAAACATCTGGTGGTTAGGGTGGTTTCTTACACCTGAACAGCTCAATACCACCCACCACCGAGATTTGACGTATGTATGAGTTGTCACGGCGTGGTTTTCTTTCGGTCACTCCAATTATGATGAGCTCCGCCTGACTTGCGGTGGTTGATCCGACCGTCGCTATCTGATTGTTATTACTGATAAATACAGTAACTAAGCTAACACTAGCGCTGGGTTTCCCCGAACGTCATTCTAATCGGTCCATACCCAACAACCCTCCGCATCTGTTTGTCCCCTTGGGGGAAGTACGGTCCAAGCCTTAGCCTTGCATCCCATCCGCCCCAGCGTTCACTTTTCATATTATGAAACCCACCCGATGACACCTGCGATCTTTAAATGAGCCCCGGTCGGCTCCTTCTCCCACCAAAATGGCTTACTTCTTGCCCTCGTTCTTTCAGAAGCGGTTGCTCAGATATGCCTTGTCCCGCCTGGAGCTTGTCGATACGGACGCACTAGATCTTGACAGCCTAGGTATCCGCTGGGGACAACGTAGTACCGTTGAACTGCGGGATATAGGTTTGAGGCTCGAGGTGAGTGAACCATGCTAATCCCTGGTCTGTGCCGGACCGAGCGTCTCGGTACTTCTGCTTTCTGTACGCTAACATATATGGGCCTTCGGATAGAAATTAGCCACACTCCTTCACCTCCCTCCGTCAAGCGAGCTTCTCAGTGCTCGTGTTCAATTCCTAAAGCTCACGGTTCCTGCCGATATCTACAGCAGCAGTATAATATGTGAAGCTAGCGGGATCGATGTGCATTTAAGGCTACCGTTGGAGGAGACACGTGCTGAAACGCACGATGCAACAACGGACCCGAAGGCCTCAGGGCGAGTTGGCTTTGGCTCTGGGGACGAACCAATCCTCCCCAACCCGACCGATCTCGCTGAGTCGTTCCTTCAGGCCGAGCCAAAAGAAGAAAAGGAAGAACTTCAGGCTGCTATCTCCTCGCAGTCCCAGATCCTCCAGCATACATCGACCTCGTCGAGCGATGATGAAGAGGAGCTCGGCCTGGGAAATGAAACCGTATCGTTACCCAGTTTTGTCGCTGCATTCCTAAAGGGGGTCGTGGATCGACTCCAGGTCCAAGTCGACGACATCTCCATACGCGTGGATGTGGAGACCAAGCAAGAGGGCTCGTCAAAAAGGCATCCGGAGGAAAAGCCAGACTTAATAACGGGACTATTAAGTGTGCGCCAGGTCAGCATGGGTGCAGTGTCCACTCATTCCGAATCAAGTGAAGCCTCATCGTCCGAGGGGAAACGATTGGTTTCCCTAGCTGATATCAACCTTGCTTTGATATCTGAGCCAGTCGTTTTCTCCAACTATTCTCGCTTCGCTGCTCCGGCCTCACCATCTACTCCAGTACATCCAAAGCCGAGCCAGCCTCCAAGTAGGGCCCAGTCGCCTTCTCCGGAGACCTCGTCAGAATCGAGTTTAGCTCTAGCTATGACAAGGTCTACCATTTTCGAGCCACCGCAGGACCTTACTATACCAGAGATAGGAGAACAGAATACGCCAAGAATGGAAGGATCCGTTTACACGTATGACGGTCGTTTTTCTGATGCTGATACGGAAGATGAGACTAGGAGTTATGGCTCTCTTGGTGATTCCCGACAGTTTGAAGATGATGAAAAGCTGCTGGACAACCCGGCTTACCTTGATTCAGTTATTGATTATCAGTTCCATCATGATGATCCTGGGCGCCTAGGTGATTTGCAAACTAGAGGTGATGAACTTTTCCCGAGGAGCGGGGATACCCCTCGTCCACAAAGTCCAGAACATACGACCGAACCATCCGACCGAAACAGTCATCCTGAGGGGGCCCTGATAACCCTCGATGACCGGCATGAATTGGAAGTTGCAAAACTCCCCAGCCGTCAACGTTATCTAGAAGCTCCTGAGCCTATAGCCGAACCCGGGTCGTCTGGATTACCCCCAGAAGAGGACCTCCATTTTGGATATACGCAACAATTGCCTCTTGTCTGTGCACCGAGTTCCGAACACTACAGTTCAGGCTCAGCTTCTGAGTCTCTCAAAGAGGCTGAATTATCAGAGTCCAAGCTGTTCTCTAATGAGGAAGCGCAAAGCATGTATATGAGCGCGATAAGCCAAGGCTCGACATCACACAGTTTCATGCCTAATATGCCTGGTGCTTGGGACTCGCCAGAGTCTACTTACGTGAGGGATACAGCCTTCCATGAAACACCTACAGCAATGGAGCAGGACACCCATGGCGAACAGGATGAAGCAGTCACAACGCCTAAACTTACAGCCCGGGAAGAAATGTACTTGTCACAAGCCCGTTCTATCGATAATCTTCAGAAGACACAGACTGGAACGAGCGATAGGGAATCAATTCACACCTCACCGGGATTCAACAGATTGACGGACGTGGTGAAGAGATTCGTCAGTGTTGACAAAGTTCTCATCTGGATCCCTTCGGTTAACCGCGAAGACAAACCGCCAGGGGATTCACAACCAACGCCTCACCAAGAGATGCCAAGTGATGGTCTTAAGGATTCAACCGCATACTTGCAGGACTCAGTGGTTGATGATGATCTACTAGCTTCTAGAATTCATAACTTCCCGGATCCTCGTAGTGGCACCAACGATCCGTCTTCTCCGCATGAAGGGGTTGATCATAAAGCTTCAAGCTCCCAGGAAAAAATTGGATATGACGCTGGCGTCAGTAGGGAACATGACGAGGTAACCGCCGAGATTCATTCTGCGGAGGTGCAATTTGATATTGCTATAGGCTGGCTTGTTTTCAAGATCGGTCAGAGAATCGTCGATGCCTTCGGTCACAGCGACGGAGAATCCCCGAAGAAACATAGTCCAGAAAGCAATGCACAAGCACAAGCACAAAATTCTTTCGGCTTGATCCTGAATAAGTTCTCCGTCAAGTTTGTTGAGCATGTTCCTGGGCATGCAAACCCCTTCGGCGAATCTCGACAGTACTCTCCAACATTCTTCGGCTTAATGCATGAAGACATCGTTTTGCAAACTACTGCTTCTGGCATGAAAGCTCACTTCTCATCGGTTAACGACCAAATGAAACTCCGCCTAGATATAACCAAGTTCACGCTAGGAGTCGCCTCGGAAGACCTCATTTCATTCAACCAAGACCTTAAAATGAGGGAATCCATGAGGGATGTTTTATCACCCACGCATGGAGATATTTCCCTTTCCATGAGCAAGTCATTGGAATCTGCAAGGATTCACATCACTACACTCCCTCTCCATCTCAACCTCAATATACAACGCTTGGAAGAGGTTGTAGGATGGATTGGAGGTTTAAGCACAATCTTAGAGCTAGGGAGCTCCATTTCATCTGCCTCGGGCACGAAGGCGCCAAAGAAGGATCCACCGAAGCGACCGCGTGGAGTGCATTTCGAAGCGCCGCCTTCGCCGGAGAAGCTCCCCCGAAATACATCTTTGCCATGGAAAGTGAATGCACGGGTTGGCGGGGTTGCACTCAATGTTGTTGGAGAATCCCATTACCTCAAGCTGAGAACGACCGCGGTTAAAGTTGTTAGCAGATTCGAAGGCGTGGGAGTCCAAATCGACAAAGCTAAACTTAGTGGACCGTTACCGCTTGATGATTCTAAAGACGCGCCAGCCAAAATTAATCTGAGCAACATCCGAGTTGAATACCTATTCGCTCCGAAAGAGGTAGACTTAGACCGTCTTCTTTCGTTGATCACGCCGTCTAAGGACAAATACGATGAAGACGATGACATTATGCTGGATACGCTTTTTCGACAGCGACGACAAGGCTCTGTGCTTCGTACTACAATCGCTGGGGCGAATATCACGATTTCGCGCACCACTGACTTTGACTCACTGCCGCAGCTTGGGGACGAGTTAGGTAGGTTGTCAAATGTTGCGAAATACTTACCTGAAGACGACCGGCCGGGTCTCTTGACTTTAAATCTGATCCGAGATTTTGAAGTCCAGGTAAACGTTGGTGGTAAAGTTGGCGATATAAGTACACGCATCAAGAATGCTGAGGTGGCGTATATAAGCTCCCTTCACTTGTAGCCGCTCAAGTTGGATCGGCGATGGTCCTCAGAAACGGAACCGAAGAGCTTTTAGGAGAAGCGTTACCGTTGAGCGCCGAGCAAAGATCAGGCCAAATCCCGCACCCCATGCTCATGGCCCGCTTCATTGCCGATGAAATGGAACCCACCATCAAGGTCAAAATGCATAACCTACGTGCAGAGTACACCGTTCCAGCAGCGATTGCCTTTCTCGGTCTTAATGAAAGTTCGACAACCGGCGATGTTGCTGCTAATATGGCACAGTCCCTAGGTAATCTGGCGGAGCTACAGCCTTCAAAAGATTCCAAGCCAGCAATACAACCGGAAAGCCCTAAGGCTCCTGTACGACCCACTAGATTGGCATTGGCCCTGCGAGACTGCGTCATTGGTCTCAACCCCCGTGGCTCAGAAGCAAAAGGCCTTGTTGTGCTCACAAACGCGAATTTCTCGGGTGCCATGGGCGACGAAGCGTCCTCAGAGGCCACGCTAGATCTCCGCAAAGCATCAATCATGATTATTGACGATGCTCGAAATATGGGGAACACAGATGATCCGCATCGAAGAAACTCAACTTCTCCACCGAGTAGCCAGGTCCAATCCTTCATTGACATGGGCTTTGTTACCGTTTCAACAATATCATCAGCAACGGCCAGCGTGAAACTACTACGCTCTAGTGAAGACGGAACACAGTCGCTAGATGTGGAACTCAGGGATGACTTGCTGATTCTTGAAACATGTGCCGATTCAACACAAACTCTCATCAGCATAGTGAATGGACTTCAGCCTCCTACTCCTCCAAGCGTGACAAAGAAGTATCGGACTGAGGTTCTTCCACTTCAAGACATGTTAGCGTCGTTTTCCGGTGATGCCTTTGCTCTAGATTCAAGGTCGGGTCCTGAAGGTTCCTCTGAGACAGCCGGCGATTCCGCCGAAGACTTCCAGGATAAGGAGGGCCATATTGAGGATGAAGTCGAGTACGTAAGTGACTTTTATCCAGCGAAGCCAACATCTGGAGCAGGATCTCTGCACGAGGCTATGACGGCCTCAGGATCAAACGAGCTTCTAGATAGTTTTCACTCTCAGTACTATGTGTCATCCAGTATTTCCGACCTCGAATTCCGTGACGATCACTTTGCAGCACAGTCAGCTGTTGGGGGAACGGCGCACAGATGGGATTCTGCCGAAAACACCTATGGCCTTTCAGACGACACGAAGCTTCAGAAGAGCCCTCTGCGAATCAGGGTCCGTGATGCCCATGTCATCTGGAACCTATTCGATGGGTATGACTGGCAGCGGACAAGAGATACTATATCAAAGGCGGTCAAAGATGTGGAGAGAAAGGCTACGGACCGGCGAGCAAGGGCGAATCGACCTCCCCAAGTTTCGACGAGGATGAGGAGTCAGTCATCGGCGACTGTCTGTTTAACTCAATATATATAGGTATCCCTGCTAATAAGGATCCACGAGAGCTTCGCAGCGATATCAACCGCAACATTGATGATCTTGTCAGTGAGACTGGCAGCTATGCAACTACAACCACAGTCACGGGAGCTACGGTACGACAAAGCCAGTCGCCTTCCTTCAGAAAGAAGCTGCGGCTGTCCAGAAGCAAGTATCATAAAATGACCTTTGAGCTCAAAGGTATATGCGCAGATCTTGTCGTCTTCCCGCCGGACTCCGGCGAGACGCAAAGTTCCTTGGATGTTCGAGTCAATGACTTGGAGATATTCGACCATGTGCCTACTTCAACCTGGAAGAAATTTGCGACCTACATGCATGAAGTGGGTGAGAAAGAAAGTGGAACCAGTATGGTGCACTTAGAGATCTTGACCGTCAGGCCTGTGCCTGAGCTCGCTGCGTCCGAGATTGTCTTAAAGGTACGTAAAAATAGACAGTCTTCCAACCATCTCCCTAAAATTTCTAACAATGCTATAGGCCACTCTTCTACCCCTAAGGCTTCATGTTGATCAAGATGCTCTCGACTTTCTGTGCCGTTTCTTCGAATTTCGAGATGACTCTGCGCCCGCCCCTAGTGCCCCGCAAGACATACCATTTTTACAGAGAGTGGAAATAAACGCTGTCCCTGTCAGACTGGACTTCAAACCCAAGCGAGTCGATTATAACGGGCTTCGATCCGGACGCACGACCGAGTTTATGAATTTCTTTGTTCTAGACGGAGCAGATATGGTCATGCGCCATGTCATCATCTATGGAGTATCTGGGTTTGACAAACTTGGCCAGACCTTGAATGATATATGGATGCCAGATATAAAAAGAAATCAACTACCGGGGGTTCTTGCCGGCCTTGCGCCGATTAGATCCCTGGTCAACGTGGGGGGAGGTGTGAAGGATCTCGTAGTCGTTCCCATGCGCGAGTATCGCAAGGACGGTCGCATTGTACGGAGCATACAGAAGGGGGCACTCGCCTTCGCCAAGACTACATCCAACGAGCTCGTCAAACTTGGGGCAAAACTCGCCATTGGCACCCAAACCGTCCTGCAGGGCGCAGAGGATCTGTTGACATCCCCCAATGCGCAGTTGGCTAGCGCGGAGGAAGATGTAGCGGATGAGGAGGAAGCGAAAAAGATCTCCCTCTATGCGGACCAGCCCGTTGGTGTCGTTCAAGGCCTTCGCGGAGCATTTAGGGGATTAGAACGCGATTTGCTCCTGACTCGAGATGCCATCGTTGCTGTCCCTGGAGAAGTCGTCGAGAGCGGAAGTGCCAAAGCAGCTGCAAAAGCTGTGTGGAAACGTGCGCCAACGGTTATCCTCCGTCCTGCGATCGGGGTATCCAAGGCCGTGGGACAGACGCTTCTGGGGGCGGGAAACACTCTGGATCCCAGCAACAGGCGGAAGATGGAAGATGTAAGTTTTTCTGCACCCCAATCCCCCACTTCTTTTAACATAGATTGACTTTATCGTTCCAGAAATATAAACGTCATTAGAGAATTGTTTCCCTTTTCGATTCCGATTCCGATATTTTGACTCACGACTGATCCCTGGTGGGTTACATTCACGGGTGCTGATACTGGGGGTCGTTTTCTGCGATTCAATCATGCACTGCTGCATTGTTTACATGGGAAGGGTTGCTCGCCGTAACCGTACATAACTGGGTTTATAAACAGGCAGGTACCTGAGATCGAGGTTAGCTGCCCGGCCATTGCGTATGGGCTCATGATGATGATATGACGACGCTATCTTGATTTCCATTGTTACCGCTGATACACATTTTTTCTTCCGATGATTGTTCTTTTGGTTTAATTCCTCGGCCATTGAAATTGAGCATGACTGGTGTTTGGTTTGGAGTCTTTCTTCTAGGGCTTCCCTATTTTGTCCGAACCCCCCAGCGAATAGTTTTGGCATCTTACGGTTCTTGTGCTTATGATTGTTTCCCGGGCGTCAGCATAGGAAGATTGGTAGCAATGAGCATGACCAGGACGTGAAAGTGTCCATGAGAGAGGCTGCCTACTAAAAGAAGTTCTCCTTCCCTCTCGCTGGGTGTATCTACAAAGTACTATGTAGGTGTGTGTTACGACTGGGGCTGTCTTGTGTGACACATCCACCGCCTCGCCCGTAGATGGTCGCATGACAGCATCCGGCACACAACTGCAATGCTGATCAGGGCGGACAGGAATGTAGGACTACATGTGCAGATCGGGGTGGCTGCAAGGTGGGACACGGCTCCTACATCATGCCCTGTTTTCTTTTTTCTTGTTCTTGTTCTTGTTCTTGTTCTTGTTCTTGTTCTTTGGCTGTGTGTTACTCGCAGGTGGGACGAAAGGGAGGCCATGCAACAAGGCTGAGTGGGAGAGAATGGTCATTATTCGAATGAGAGAAAGAAAGGGACCGAGTCGGGTGGGGAGAATCCGAAAGAAAGAAAGAAACGAAAGGAGAAAACAGGACGGTGGAAGAGAAAGGAGACGACCAGTTGAAGGACGCAGATGACCATTGCCACACAAGTATAAGCCCGGATAAGAATAGGACTGGCGAGTGATTGGACCGTTCCAGGCCATCTGCGAACGAATGGGAGTGGTTCCTGGGGGAACAAGGCTGGCAGGCGGTCGTAAAGTGAAACGGAGATCTTCATGACTTGAACCAGTGAGTGAGGGAAGCAGAGTGATCCGGCTGCGGCTGTACGGTGAGATTGGACCACGTTAGCGGGTGCCCAACCAGAGCGCCGGACTGGTCATCGCCAGTTCCTCTCATACTCCTACTACTAGTAGTACTACATAGTAGTAGACGACTAAACTACTACTAACTACTTACTACTACCTGGTGGGTCTCCTCCTCCGGCTTGCATGTTGGCAATGTGACGACGCAACTTAACTTTTTTTTTTTTTTCTCTTCTTCTTCTTTTTCACTCTCTTCTTCTTGTTTTCTTGTAATTCTCTGTGGTTCTTTTGCAAAATTTCTTGCTTTTTTCTCGATTCAGTCCATTTGTTCAAGATCACAGTGTGCAGGATTTCCCTTTCTCCTGTCGCGCAGTGGCTGGACCCGGTGGATATCCCCGAACTCCACCAGCGATCAATAAATAGACTTCCCCGGACATTGGTTTCCTTGGGTCCCGATCCAGGCCTCCCAAACCATGCTGATATCATCATTATTCAACTCCAACTGAGCTCTCTGGACGGAGGGCTATGCTACAGACAGTCTCCCAATGCATCAGGATACAGACGGGACATACCGCCTGTTCCTTTCTCCTCTTTTATACAGGTCAACAAAGACGATCGACTATTGATTTCAGACTATGGATCTCAGAAGCTGCAGTGTGAGAGATCCAAACGGTGGTCCTGGTTCGATCCATCTTCACCGCATGGATGCCGCAGCCCCAACAACGGCACTGTTATCCTCCTCCTCCTCATCCTCATCATCTCCACCATCATCTCCAATGCGAGAGCTGGATTCCTCTTCCCTGTCAACATCCTTGAACGCCATGTGTACGTCAGGGAATCGCTCTCTGCATGAATGCCGCCAGTATCTGTCAAACTGCGACTCAGCTGCCGGTGACAGTCCCGACATCAAAAAGCTACGGCGAAAGAACGCCGCATTGAACTTGAACCAGTCCCAGATGTCCCTGGACCACCACTACGAGTACCCATTCTCGGTCTCGTCGGTAGCGTCAAGTCCTCCGCCATTATCCCCGTCGCATTCACCCAGCGCTCTAAGCGAGCAGCCTGAGAGCCTGGATGGCTTCCTCCGTATGGGCTATCACCGCCATATATCTCCAGTAGACCTGTGCTTACTTGCGGATATAGCCCCGGGGACCCCCGGCTCCGTAGACGATCATATATACCTCAATCAGAACCCCCACAAGATCCTGGTAAGCCGCCATGTCACTCGTGCCCTATGTACGGTACTTTTGCAGCTTATCTGACAAAACATACGCACATGTAGGATACGTTCCGGGATCGACTCGAGAGATACCCGGACTCAGATCCCAAACCAGTCCCACGCAATCCCCCAGCATCTGTCCACAGACACACAAAGCGATACTCAGACTCGATGCTCCTCAATGTCAAGCAGCCCACCACAACCATCATCCATCAAGGTACATCGTTCGAGATCCTCAATCCCCATGAATCTCTCCACTTCGCTCGCATCGTCTCGTACATCGAAGACGTCGACAGCTTCTCCACAGGCCACAACAGGGACTCCTACATCTCATTCACCGAAGACACCGTGATCATCGAATCGGACGCTTGGTCCTACGACCCGCCGCCACAACCCCGCACCCAAACCAACACGGAAGAAGCCTTTGAAGAAGAGAACCGAAAGTCCCAACTCGATATCGGCGACACCCAAGGTCTCCACCACCACCTCATGCCCTCCATCAACGAGCTCCTCGAAGAAACCACCCTCAACATGACCCGCCACCTCGCCTCCAAACCCAGACAATGCGCCAGTCCAGCCAACGAAAGCGATCTCGGCGAGCCGGGAGACCCCATCTACGACGATAACCACCCCATGATCCCCCAGGAAGGTCTCTGGCAATTCGATATCGGCATAGACCCAGCCACCAAGCCCCCCTCAAACGAACAATCCATGACTCCACGAACCGAGATCAAAATCCACCGTCGTCCAACCCGGAGGTCAACCGCCAGTCGCAAGCGCAGGGGTCCCTTGCGGAGACTCTACGGGTTGTTTCGCAGGAAGGCCGGGAAGTAGGTTTTGTTGTTTATTCTTGCTGTTCGTGAGACTCGTGTGGTTATGACTCCGTTGATGATGATGTTCTAAGCGTTGCTGTGAGCGGTTTTTTAACCTTTTGAGTGCTTCTGGAAAGCACGGCTTTTATTCGCTTTTGCTCTCTGGCGATCGTTTGTTTCTTTCTGTTTTCTTCTTTCTTTTTTTCTTCCTGTACTTCGATACCATATATGTCCTAGTGGTATATGTCTTTTAATCATGGGATAGAATGGGGAAGACCGGAATAGCCAGATTTTCAGATTTGTCTATGCCTGTAAAACCGAATCAATTGTGCTGTGGACCTTTTGACCAGAACCCTTACCTCCATACCGCCGATATTAACCAAACCGAGAATCTCACAATCAGGGTATCTACCTTAATATGTACAAGTAACAACATTGAAAAGAGGGAAAAAAGAGAGAGGAAATGAGTTGAAGAAAATGTTAAATATATCCATCCGAAAGAAAAGATACCAATAGAAGATAAAACCCAAAACAAGAACATATTTAACATTCCTTCTCCACCATCGACGCCAAAGCAGCGCTGACAAGACTCTTCCGCCTCAGTCCCTGCTCACTCTTCTTCCGCAAATCCCGAGAAGATGAATGGTAGCTCTTCTCGATGCGAGACGCCTGCACGGGGATGGAGCTGCTCATTCTCCGTCCCTTAGAGTCAGAGGAGGGCGGGTCCAAAAGGCTAGGGCCTAATTGGGGGCGGAACCGGCTCCGTTGGAGAGTGGCCGCTCTTCGGCGGGGGGACTTTTGGGGAGGGATAGAGCTGGGGTGGCAGGCGTCTGGGTCGAAGGTGGTGGTTAACTTCTCGTCGTCGGAGATGAGAGCCCGGCGAATGGCTTCCAGCTCCGAGTGGTTGCATTGGAGACGGGCGATGTTCTGACGCTGGGCGCGGATGTTCCAGCTATCCTGAGTGTGGGATAGAGGATCCATGTCCGCGGTTTGCGGGAAGAGATCACACGGGACGGATGTTGGACTCAGAAAGGGGGATTGAGGCTGAGGCGAGAGAGAACCAGAGGTGAGCGACGGAGAGTCTAAGGAACCCTCATCATCGTGGTCTGTGTCTGGAGGGGTCAAAAAATATCCCGGGAATCGGGTGGCCATGTCGAGGGACTGGGGCGACGTCGGCGTGGCGGGTCTTCCGATCTGCGTCTCACTGTTTGAGGTCTTGATGGTGTGTTCATGCAATTTTCTTGTCAAGATACTGATCGAGAGACGCTTCTGATGGTCGTCATACGCAGACAAGGGAACGGAAGTGGGGGGTTGAGCGGAACGGAAGTAGGAGGACCGCGAGCGAGGCAACGCTCTCGGAATCCGGTGTGTCGCGGTAGAACGAGGCGAAGGACACCGGGAGGATAGCGGAGAGATCAGGCTGCTGTCGCAGTCGACCATGAGATTGTCGTCGCCATCAAAGGCCAGGCGGGGTGGCTTGGTGGACGAGGGGGATGAGAAAGAGAAGTCCTCAAACATTGTCCCGAGGTGGTTCGAAAACACTAAAAGAATATAGATGTGGTCCCGAGTGTTAATTCGAATAATCGGGCGCGATGAATTGTGTGGACTCTTGTGTCTCCCAGCGTTGAACGTTGTAGCCCTGACTGGTGGCAGGCCACAGTGTGGTAAAGTATATCAATGCCGCTCGGGATGTAAGAAGGCACCGGGAGAGCGTTCCAGGCAAATATAAGGCCACTAAGGTCCGGTGGCCAATCTGCCAGATTTTTTCTTTTTCTCTTCTTTTTTTTAATTTTATTTTTTAACGCTCTCTCCTTAATAGGAACCACCGAACCACTGGGGGGCAAATCGAATGGAACAGTTCGTGGGGAACGTCCTTAACGTTCCGCGCGGAAAGGCCGGTGGACGACTTGCAATTGGCTGTCGAACCGCCGCCGTCGTAAAGTTCAAGAGACGTCGGCCGGAATCGAGAAAAGAACTTGGATGGAATAAATCCGTGGGAATGTCATGATGTGGAGAAGTAGGAGGCGGCGTATTAAAAACAACACGCGAGAGTGGTATTTTCGCCCCCTATTCAAGTGATATTCTTCTCGCTTTGAGAGAGCCAGCAGAACATCAGTGCGTCTCCTTCTCAGGGGGTTTCGATGTGACTTAGTCCAAGTTATTGGTTTTTTTTTTTCCCACCTTCACCAAATCGACTGCGGCCAGACTTGTCGCACGTGACCCCGGCCAATTAAAAGCCGTTTGCAGCGTTTGCAATTCCCCGTATTCAGCCCAAGAATTAAATTAATCTGCACTGCATAGTCATCGTCGCTAAGGATTAGTTAACTAGTTGCTCCTCCAGCGTATCTCCTGAGAAACGGTCTTACTCGGCTACTACGGCGTTATCCGAGTGATTGTGCTAAGATGAAACACTAATTCGGTTTCTTATGCAATCCGTCGTGAATCTCAGCCTCTAAGTTCGGTGATTTGCGTGATCACGAAGGAATTGTGATGGATCGGAACCATGCAAGGCGCGCATGTGTCAGATAAAGATCGCGATAGACTACGTATCATTTAGGAGACCGACATGTCAAGGCCATACTTTCAGCTGAGTTCACTGGAGGAATGGAACGAACGGGATAGTCCGTAGTGCTCCAATGACTCGGTTAGTGTCCCCGGGGGTCGGAGTTGGGTGCCGGCGCCGACTCCGATAGTTAAGGTAAGTCATGATAGTGGCGGGTCTCCTCATTTAACTAATTACTCCAACAGTCTCCAACCCCGACACTATCTATACCCTAAACCTGTACACCCCCCGCAGCAGGCACAGACTTCCTCTTCAACACTCCCTCAATCTAGTCGCATTCCGTCTTTACCGAACTGAACCATGGCCGCTCTATTGAAGCAGCCGTTGAAACTAGCCCTGGTGCAGCTCGCCTCCGGTATGTTTCACTCGTCCGATGCGATCGTCATTGAAAGGCCCCTTATCAACACCATACTAACCGCGAGCCTGGCGCGATGGAGTAGGCGCGGACAAAGCCGTTAATTTGGCCCACGCTCGCACTAAAGTCCTTGAGGCAGCACAGGCTGGAGCCAAGCTCATCGTCCTCCCGGAATGCTTTAACTCGCCATACGGAACCCAATACTTTCCCAATTACGCCGAGACTCTTCTTCCTTCGCCTCCTACCGAAGATCAATCCCCTTCCTACCATGCCCTGTCAGCCATCGCTGCCGAGGCCAAGGCCTATCTCGTAGGGGGTAGCATCCCCGAACTGGAACCCATAACGAAGAAATACTATAACACATCCCTCGTGTTCTCCCCCACTGGCTCGTTAATAGGGACCCACCGCAAGACCCATCTGTTCGACATCGATATCCCAGGAAAGATCGCATTCAAGGAGAGCGAGGTCCTGTCGCCCGGGAACCAGTTGACAATTGTTGATCTTCCCGAGTATGGAAAGATCGGCCTCGCCATCTGTTACGATATCCGTTTCCCGGAGGCGGCCATGATTGCTGCGCGAAAAGGCGCTTTCGCACTTATCTATCCGGGCGCTTTCAACATGACTACTGGTCCCATGCACTGGTCTCTGTTGGCTCGCGCTCGTGCAGTGGATAACCAGCTGTATGTGGGGCTGTGTAGCCCGGCACGCGATATGGATGCCACTTACCACGCATGGGGTCACAGTTTGATAACCAACCCAGCTGCGGAAGTCCTGGTAGAGGCGGAGGACAAAGAGACTATTGTCTATGCCGATCTGAATAATGACACCATTCAAAGCATAAGGAAAGGCATTCCTGTCTATACGCAGAGGCGGTTTGACTTGTACCCCGATGTGAGCGCCGAGAAATAGGTCTGTCAGTATGAAGTACTTAGGAGTAACGACGAATCGAGTCATGATATTCACTGTTTATAACGGTCAATCGAACCTAGTGACTTATACACCACGAGAGGTAGGACCGATAGTATAAAGTTTGATACTCTTGTAGCAGCCCGAAACTCTTTACTGAAAAGTCCTGGGATGCCTGAAAAGAAGCAAGCCGCGCCACACCCGACTCACTTCTGTACTTTCTAGGTAGGATCGTATTGCTTCCAGGTCTCATAGATCACTGCTAGGTGCAGGCACCAATAAGAGAATACTATCAGTTTGTGGCTCCTGGTTGCTGTGTGGTGGCTAAATCGAGGCCTTGATTTGCGCTAGTGAGAAGATTTAGAGGCTTCATGGCAGGCGATTGGAATGCTTAGTGTCGCAAAACAATACACCGATGCATATGCTATAACAACATCCATCAACATTGCCTGCTCTCTATTGAATTAGGGCAATGTAGGAGGGAGTACCTGATCCGCGCTATACCCAATCCAGACAGACTATATCTCCGAGTCACGTGGTAATGTATCCATGCAGTACGAGCATCTACTCACTAACGTGCTCGTTGACCGTAACAGAGGATATGTTCAAGAATGGTTGATAGCTATCGCTCGCTGGCCATTCATTATTTAGTATCGCATGAAAAGAGCATTGGCCATTGAGTAGTGTGATGACCTGCCTGTTCCTTAAGGATGTCACGGTCATAGTTCATCACGTGACTCTCCAGCGGCCAATGAGAGGGGCTCTGGGACGATAAGCGAGACACACTGAATTTCGACGAGGAAAAACGAGAGCCGTCCGAAAATCTTCAATACTCACGACAGCACTTCAGCCAACGACAGCCGACGCCTCGTCAACTCATTCAGTGAGTAGTCCTACTGTAATCCATCTATATTGCGATATCCATCGCTCTGTGAAAAAATAAATCTCAATCGGTTTGAGACAACTAACCAACGGGTGAAAAATCAGAAATGTCCACCACCGTTCAGACCGGCAAGAAGCAGCGCTCGGCCATCGCCGATGTCGTCTCGCGCGAGTACACCATCAACATGCACAAGAGAGTACGTTGAAACACAGCAGGATAAGACTCTGGTCTTCTCTATCCCTACCTTGCACACATCGGTCGCATTCTCATCGATCGAACCCCCGATCTGCGGAACAAGACAAACATCCACAAGTTTCGACATGGAGGCAATGGACGGAGAACACTGCAATAATCCTTCTGGCACCAAAAACCTTTTCTCGGTGGATTGGAATACATCTACAGAAAAGGAAGGGATGAAACATGCCTGCTTTTGCGTGTGTGTGGAGGAACAATTATCAGGTGTTCCCAAGAAACCAAGACCAAAAAAGAAGAATTAGTTTTATGAAGTCCACCTCTATGGCCGCAAATCTTGTTCGCAGATTTTTTTCAAGATCATATTTCCCAGATGGCATTCGGGCGGAAGACTAATTCAACTTTTTTGTGGGTATAGTTGCACGGTGTTTCCTTCAAGAAGCGTGCTCCTCGTGCTATCAAGGAGATCAAGGCCTTCACTGAGCGTGCTATGGTATGTTCCCTTCTTTCTTCCGATATCCCTGATTGATATCCAAAGAGCATCCGTGACTGACGACAATGCGTACTTGGTACAGGGCACCAAGGATGTCCGCGTCGACCCCCAGTTGAACAAGAAGGTCTGGGAGGCCGGTGTCAAGGGCGTCCCTTACCGTCTCCGTGTCCGCATCTCCCGTAAGCGTAACGACGAGGAGGGCGCCAAGGAGAAGCTCTACTCCATGGTCTACGCCGTCAACGTCAAGGAGACCAAGGGTCTTCACACCGCTGTCGTCGACGAGGAGTAAACGGGGAAAATCTTTTTCATTTCCATATTAGATATACCTTTTGTTACTCTATGAAATGATGGGGTTTCTCTCTGTTTTTACGATACCGTCCGGGTCGGGTCTTGCTCGGTTGGGTTGGAACATTTAAATTAAAAAAATCGGAAAAGTTTCTTTCCCTGTCGTGAATCCGCATATTGCCTGCGTAGCGTAAATCAGTTTCCACTCGCTCTCGAACGGGGTGTATCGAGTCCTGCGTAGTTTCTGTTTGTATATCATATACACTGTAGACTCTGTCTACTGTCCTGCATAGACATAGTACCATCATACTACTAGTACAGTAGTATCCTTCCCCAAAGAAAACTCCCACTCAACTATCCAAAACTATTCCCAACGAAACTGCAATCACATGCCAAAGTCCGACCTAAAAAAAAAAAAAATCCCAACAGTGAACCATTACCTCAAACCATATATACGAACCTCCCCCAACTAGCAGCACCAGCATACCCAAATCCCAAACCCACTGAACAATGATAGTCCAACCGAGCATTACCCCTTTTCGACCCGGTCCACTGGATATATAGTATCACCTATCCAGAACAGTAGACGGTAGGCCGGCACTAACAGAAACTAAAGGAGCGGGGGGAGGGGGAATGGATCCGGCGTCAATATCCAGAAGACTTTTCTAAATTCATATTACGTTTTGTTTGGGTTGTCTGGGCGGATCATTCGAGTGTTTGGAAATGGATAAATAGGGCGTGGGTTTACTGAGTTCTCGGTAGTGGATTCCTTCATGCTCGGTTCGAATTTAGTTGGGTAACTGTTACTATATGTGGTAGAGATTAGATTAAGTAGATTTTATGGGGGCGTATTGTATTAGGAAGGGGGGCTACGTAGCTGGTCTCTTCGGAATCAGTTTCCGGGCCTGTGCGTGAGTGTAAAGCCTCGTAGGGTACTTTCTGTCTATGTTGAGATAGCCCGTGAAATGTAGGAAGGACGACAGAGTTTACGTTCTCTGCGGATTTGTTGCAATGTCACTCTGTGCAGACAGCGCAGTGCAGTATATTATCTCTAAATAACAAAAACCAATTGATTCCATTGATCCCTCAAAACCCAAACGCTATGCTAGACTTCGTCTCTGGTTGGACAGACGACGACATGATGCTCTCCGAGTATGCGGTTGCAATTGCAGCATGCAAGACAGTTACACAAGTGCCTCAGATTGATCAGACAAAAGGAAAAGGACACAAAAGATGAAAAACAGATGAGTGCGATGGCGAACAGTAACACCGGATGGGAAGAAACAAGACTCAAAAATCAAATTAGAAACGCGGTGTTGCTAAGACAGGTTCCAGAAATCGTAAGGTCAGAAGTACAATAGGACAAAAAGAATTCGGCGCTGTGAGGGATTGGACTTGATCATGATAGCTGGAGAAGAAACAGAAGCCATACATACGGCGTCTGAATTTGAACATGTTCCAATAATAGCTTTTATAAAACAGGCGGGAAGGAAGGGAAACTATAAAGTAAAAAGGCCATAATACATCACCAGTTATTATCAACCTGGAAAGAAGAGCATCATGATGGTGGTTTATTGCATCCAATGTACCACGTTTGTTCACAAAGTAGAGGAGTTCAGCCAACTAAGTCTTGGTTTCTTCCATTGCAGACCCGAGGCGTTCCGCTTCCTCTTTCTTCACCCGGATTGCCCATTGTTCTGGAGGTCCATCGGCCTGGGGTACAAGGAAGTGCACACTGGTGCCCTTCACAGTGTAATTGATTTGCTTGACCAATGATGCGTTTAGAACAACGTTGCCGCTCGGGTCAGCTCTAAGGATGACACGGCCGCGAGAGGTAGTGCGATCCTTCAAGACACGGAGGTATCCCAGTCCTTGACTGCTCCATCCTTCTTTAGTGAGCTTCAAGCCACGCCCTTTAGTCTCGAACACAACATCCTCATTCTCTTCACCGGCCCGACTTTGGGCAAGGTTAACCTGAGGCAGAGCCTCAGCCGCATCACCATCTCCGGACTCCTCGGCTCCCGTGTCGGATGTAACTCCAGGGGTGGACGCACGGCTGGCAGCAGCTGAACTAACAGTCGACGGAGCTAGGAATGATGGCGGCTGTGCAGGTCCACCGAAAGTGAAGCCAGGCGAGGGTGATCCAGTAGCAGAAGATGCTGATTTGATAGCAGGTGCCGCTCCAAATAGTGTGGAGAATGGCTTGGAGGAATCGGCAGCCGGCGTCGCGGATGCGGAATCAAGTTTCGAAGTAGAAGCCGCATTTGTGTCACTGGCAAACTTAATGGGAGAATTCATCTTCCAGGTATTATCCGTACCGGCCTTTGCGGCGCTTGGGGCGAAGATAGATGGGGTGCCTGCAGCAGGGGTAGGGGAGGGAGAACCAAACAGGCCGGCAAAGGGGTTGGGAGTTGCGGGCTTCGAGGCGGGAGCATCATCTTTCTCGGCGTCAGACTTAGAGGGAGTCGGAGCAAATGGATTGGGCGTTCCCGGTGAATTGAAGGAGGAGGCATATTTGGAAGAATTGAAAAACGTAGAAAGGGGCTTTTGTTCCTCGTCGTCCTGACGCTTCGGCTTACCGTCTTGCTTGTACTCGACACGGTCAAACAAGCTACGACCACTCGCGCCTGTATCACTGGCGGATTGCTCGCCTGTAGCGGTCTTATCTTGCTTCGACTTTTGCAGAGCCTTGGTCAGATCACCATCGTCACTGCTGTCGTTAGCAGAGTTCTCAGCGCCACTGCTGGCATCGGCTTTAGACACCGAATCTTCGTTGCTTTCGTCTTCGCTTGCGGGCGCAAGGGATGTATCCTTGGACATATCCTCTGGCTCATCACCAGCGGCAGACGCTTCCTCGGTGTCATCGGCGTCGTCGTTTTCCTCAGCCTCAGAAGGTGTTGCTGACAAGTGACCAAATATGTTGTTGGGCGTGGCTGATGAGTCGGTCTTCTTGTCAAAGATCGAGGTACTAGAAACAGAAGCAGATGCTTTCTCCTTTTTATCTAAATCACCTGTGTCCTCGTCGTCTTCAAAAACGAACCCTTTTCCAGGAACAAATTTCGAGCGTTTCACAGCCTGAGACTCGAGTGCCTCTTGCTTTTTCCGGCGTTCTTCGGCGTCTCTTTTCTCCCATTCAGCCTCGTCTTCTTCATCAGAATCGAAATCTTCCGCCTTGCGCTTTTCCTTCTCTTTTTCAGCATCCTTATCTACCCGTGCCTTGAACTGGGCGAAGAAGTTCGTCGCTCCGGCGCTGAACTTTGGCATGCCAGGAATAGGTGCTGGTGTAGAGCCAGCTTCCTTATCAGCTGACGGCTTTAGGACGAAAGGATTCGAGGTAGCAGAAGTGCCATTAGTAGAGGCATTGGATGTTGGCTTAAAGGAGGGGGCGGATTGCGAAAACAATGACGTCGACGTGGAGCTTTCCTTTGTCGTGGTCGAGGCTGCGAAAAGAGGCTTGGGAGGAGAAGAGATAGGCGTAGTGGAGAACAAAGCAGGTGCATCTGAGTCCGGGGTAGATGGCCTGGCGGAAGACGTTACAGATTGGGTAGAGTTAGGCTTAGTCGGCTCATCACTTGACTCAGAGGTTATGGATTTGGAGAAGGACTGTGCGAAGATGCTTGCTGTCGTAGAGTCTCCGTTGACACGCTTTCCTGGAGAAGCAGTGCTCTCGTCCTCATCGGCCACCTTTCTCTTGCTGGTGGTCGGAGTCGCTTGGCTTGCTCCGAAGATGTTGGTAGCTGGAGAGCCTGTCTCAGTTGTGACTGGGGCGGCCGAAGAGCCTTCTTTGTTAGAGGCAGCCTTCAAACCGAAGGGCTTGACCTTTTTAACGGAATGGTCATCAGCAGTTGCACTTTCGTCTCCAGCTTTACGCTTCTGGGAACCAGCTGGCGCTCCAATTGTGTCACGAACTCGTATGTAAAACTGCACGAGAGCATCAAAGTCGTCTTTGGTAGGATCCAAACGATTCACTTCGCGTTTGAAACATTCATTCAACATGCGCATGCGATACAACATCTCCACTTCTTCCTTGCTTGCCTTATCAAGATCGGTGGGAAGTCCAGATGGTCGTATGTCCTCAAAGCTTGTTGTCGAACTCTTTTCCGCAACAGAAGCCGATGAAGTCGACGAGTCTGTACTTGTGCCATTAACCTTGAAAGGGCTTTGAGAAGGGGCTGGGGCAGTCATAGCTGGAGCTTGGGTCTTATTTCCTCCAGTAGGGGTGGGGAACAACGGCGATTGCGCGAAAAGACCAGAGGATTTAGAAGCATCAGATCCTGATGTGGGAGCCGAGAAAAGCGGTGCGGGAGTGGCCGGCTTCTGTGGCTGGCTAGATCCCTCGCTAGATGTAGAGGGCTTTGGAGCGAAAAGGTTACCGAAAGGGTTAGCAGAGGGCAGCGACTTCTGCTCTGTGGAGGGCTTCTGCTCTACAGCTGGCTTGGCTGGGGTAGCTGGTTTTGGCGCGAAGAGGCTGCCAAATGGGTTTCCTTCAGCGGGCTTAGGTTTGTCCTGCTCCGCACTGGAAGTGTTCTGCTCTGTAGATGGCTTTGAGGCAAATAAACTACCTGTAGACGGAGGCTGGAATAGACCGGATGACGGAGCCGATGGAGCTGCAGAACTTGCACTCTTTGAGAACAAAGATGGGGCACCGGTGGAGGGCGTAAATTGGAAACCAGTCTTAGGTTGAGACTCCTCGGGTTTCTCCTCTTGCTTTTGTTTATCCTCCGAAGCTGGTGCTGCGGTTGATGAAGCGGGTGTGCCAAACAGGTTTGTGGACTGGAATGGATTCTGGAATGATGTGGTGGGTTTCGCAGACGATGAAGCTCCGAAGATAGATGGTGATGGAGCGGCGGTCGTGCTCGGGGTAGGGGTAGAACTGGATTGAGTAGTCGCGCCAAAGAGCGAGGTCGATGGAGTTGACTGCTCCGTGGGCTTAGCACCAAAAAGAGGCTTGGGTGTCTCAGCGGGTTTTGATGTAGAGCCACCGAACAAGGAACCAGCCCCGGGGCTAGCGAAATTTGTGGACGTTCCGAAACCAGACTGGGAGGCACCACCGCCAAAGATAGGCGGCTTTGACTGCGCACCATTGTTCTTCGCATCAGGAGATGTCTGCATAGACTCGTCAAAGGCGGTGGACTGTCCGAATGGGGAGGGCTTATTCGAGGCCGATTGGCCGAAGATGCTTGTCGACGGAGCATTGCTGGAAGCACTGTTCTGTCCGAAGATCCCCCCTGTGGTAGCGGGCGCTGTCGTCGCAGGTTGCCCGGAGGATCCACTGGTCGTACTGCTGCCGAATAAGCCTCCGGTAGAGTTGTTTTGCTGCGATCCTGTTCCAAAAAGTCCTCCCGAAGGCAAAGGTTGCTGGGCTGGGGCCGAACTACCAGCTGGGGAAACATTGAACATGTTTCCCTTGAAGCCAGAGAAACTGCCTCCATCGGACGACTGGTTGGTGGAACCAGTAGTCATGCTAGCAAAAGGATTACTTGTGGTCGACGCTGATCCACTAAACGATGAAGAAAAATTGAAGGAGGATGAGGTACTTCCACCGGAACCGAAAGAGAACTGTGTCGATCCGTTTTGGGTCGGTTGACTAGGATTTGAACTGGCTCCGGGGAAGCTCTGTGACTGGCCAAATGTAAACCCATTTGAGATTGGTTGGGGCGCAGACGGTGTAGAGACAGTATTGGGGTCAAGAGAATTGAAAGGACCGCCAAAAGACGCTGTTGCACTGGGGGCAGCTGTGTTGGGACGAGCTCGCCTCCGAACGTCCTTAATCCTATCCAAATATGTTAGAGATCCAATATAGTGGCTAGAGATATATGCAAGGAAGCCATCATATACACATATTGAAGGCTCGAGGACGGATGAGTTAGAGCACAATGCGATTTACAATGACCAGGGTATGTTGAATAAGATTGCTGGGTAGGACAAAGCGACACAATGAAACAAAGATAGAACACAATTAATCACTTTGAGACATGGCGGGCTGCAGGTAAAGGCTAACAATATGGGACAGATCGCAAACGTATGTATATATCCACTTACTTTCTCTGCGCCATCTGCGCAGCGGTTGCCCGCTGCGGCTTTTCATCCGGTGTGCTGTTCATATTGAAATCAAACAAGTTAGAATCCTTGTCCCCCTGAGGGCCCTGGGCCGATCTTTTCGACATCTATTATATTAATAGCCCCCCTGTCTAGGCTTGAAATGCCTCGGACAAACAAGTAATAGTTGACTTCGCCCCCTTCCTAGATCTCTGTTCAAGCCCCTTCACTCGGATTTCTCATCCACAATGTGGGCGTTTTGATCGGGTTGGTCTTCTTCCGGGTAGCTAGCACTTTACTCTTGGTTCCAACTGAGGATCCAGCGCCGATTGTCACGACGATTATCGAAGCGACCGGCGCACGAGTCCAAGAGACAGGAGAACAGGTATGCGAGAGATGATCCGGAAAACGTAAATGACAGGACCTCTCTATCGTCGTTGTCTAGGTTCCTGGCTCTTATTCCAGTAACTGTCACGTCTTTTCCCGGGTTCAGTGAGATGGATAAGGCCGGGAAGCTTTGCGCGCTGGGTAGGTGCCCCGGAGATCGATCGCGACGTGCGCGAGGCAACGAGACGGGATAGGGGAGGGTGAGGAGGGATGAGAAGGCAGAGCGGTATAAATACAGCGCTCTCTAGAATATCAAAAGGGCAGATGCCTGCTTTTGATATGCTCTGCCTTGGATTGGGATAGTCGTGGCTCCGAACGAGCTTCTTTTCAGTTTGCCTTCATAAGAGGCTCGCGACTTTTTTTTGACGGGGAAAGTCGCCCATGGAAAAAAAATACAGTCACGTGAGGATGCAAGGCGACCCTCTTGGCAGGTTGACAGGCCACTACTAATAGTATGGCAAAACGCCCGAGAGAATGCAATATCATGCAAGGAAATAAATAAACAATCGATATTAATGACAGATTGCGATGCTTGGTATATGACAGCTCCTGCACTTGGAGGAGGGGCGATCTTTTTTTTGGGGGGGGGGCGCTGTCATTTGGATTAATACCATTCACTAAATAAAGAGACAAACCTGTATTGCTTACCATAGGTGTTACATACTTGCTATGTACACACCTAGGTATGTATGTACACAATCATATCGCCCTTCATATATATAACACTGAAAATATATATTCGCATATTCAACCTATCTCTACAGGTGTTTAATAGTAGTAGTCGGGTTTCTCAAGTCCCGTTTTGAAGTCATGGATCATGATGTCAACCAGATATTCACTGTAGAATATATTTCGGGCATGCCATGTTCACATCTAAATGATTTCTTGTCTGTGGCGACGACAATCACAAGACAAAGCATACATGTCAAGGGGCTATCTATTTTTGTAGTATTCCTAATTATTTAATACCCAGAATAAAGTGTACCTATACAGTATTGTGCTTACAACACCATGTCTAGATTACAGTAAATGAAAATGATCTGCAATGGAGTCATGTCTCATACTAGTAAATATGCTCTGTAGCTAAAGCGAGGGCATAAGCTTTGAGAGTGGCTTCCTGCCCTACGCAAATGAAAAGAAAAACGAGGAAAACAAGTCCGTAAGATGAATAGAAATATACATTTAACCGAAATACTACACAACGCAACTGGGTATCTATAGCTTGGCCTTGCCCTGGGCCTTCTTCAGGACGGGCTCCATCTTGGTCGCCTTCATGATGTTACCCTTGATCTTGAGCTTGCCTCCCATGAAGAGCCTCTGGGCGTTGGCCTTGCCGCTAACCAGGGAAGCGAAGTCAGAGTCGGAGAGGGACAGAGTCACTGTTATTCATCGACGCGATTCAGTTAGCTTCTTTATCACCAAAACAAAGGTAGTCAGTAGAAGACGCCGGTGCGACACTAACCATCAGCCTTGGCACCCTGAGGAGCAGCACCCTTGCCCACAACACCCTCGTTCTTGAGGTCGAGGTACCAGCTCTCTTCGTCACCCTTCACGTTCTTCAAGTTAAAAGAGACGATGGCCTTGGCCTTGGAGACAGCGTCCTTGCGCTCGGCAGCGTCGCTCTGGAGAGCGGCATTGATCGCGTCGAAAGCAGCGGAGGAGGGGAAAGCGTCTAGGGAATAGTGATCGTTAGCGAGCGACTTCCTGAAATGTAGAATATTTGCCGGTGGGGAAAAGTTGGCCAGGGGAGAGACGTACCGTTCTTGAGAGACATGGTTACGGTTTTGTGATACCACAGTTGTGAGAGAACGTATATAGTACTGGGTGAGTGAGAGCTAGTGGATAGTTGAATAGTCGTATGTCCCAGGGAAGAGGGCGAGAGGGAGAAGATTTAAATAGAAAGAGTCTGGGGAATTAAAAAGCAGGGACGTCAAGCTTCCCCGGAGTGTTCGGGGCATGTGAATGGAGGGCGGTCGCGGGATTTCATGCCTTTGTCATACGGACCGAGGCTTGACCTGAGCCCTTTTTTCCTGGCTCTCACTCCTGTGATTTCTGGTTTCTGTTAAACCATCCTCAATGCACCCTGCTTGCATATCTGGAGAAATACAGTTTTTGAATTCGTCCTACAAGCCCTGGATCCACCATCTCTCTTGCGCTGGCCTATGGAGAGGATCAAGCTGGAAATGATATTGCGCTGGGAGAATATAGTCATGTAGAATCTCTACTCCGTCCACATGGTTACATACACAAACGCCCCGCAATTAAGATAGTGAAAGGACCATCGCGAAACAGAGGGGCTGGAACCCTACAAAGAAAAATGACCACCAATTAATCTATGGCTGGGAGGTTAAGTCCCCAACAAGAACCAGATCGATGATTCTAGAGAAACAAAGCAACTTGATGATCAGCATTGCCTATTGCGGTAAGCAGCCCGAACCATCACTCAGAGTATGTACCGATGTACTAGTGCTAGTATGTACTACTACTAGTAGTAGTGGTATGTACGCTGTCCCATATTATAATTGCAAACGAGCTGCTCGCGTGCTCACGTCAGACGGCGGTCAACTGTCGCCGGACTTTTTTTTTTATGTCATCTCATTCTAATTTATCCTCCCACCAACACAGGGGGGATAATAAGTGCACAGATGAGATAGAGGGGGGAAATGGCCAAAAACAGGCGAAAAGAGAAACATCGAATCTCAATTACACCACAAACGACCGTCTCGGTTCAATGTAACTAACTCAGAAATTCGCCGATAAAGACATATCGCCCCTCTTAGTAGATTCGATGGACTTGATTGAGTAAGGTGTGATTTTTGTTGGATAACACAACAGTCTATGGTATGACATAGCATAATCACATTCAAGTGAAAAAAAAACTACAGGACGACTAGATCTTGGGTATCTTCTAGAGGATACGAATCCAATTAAATGTTCAACCCAGAAGCCCGCCAACGCCATGCTGATGAGATAAAGAATAAAAACTCCCCTAGTGAACTCCCTAGATATGAAGTTAGCATTGAGCGACAGGGTCAAAACGAAGAAACGGATCGGAAGCACCTACAAATAAGTAAGCCAGCTCTCGGGTTCCCAGTCTAGAGATATTCTTGGAGGCCTTCTCGTCCAAAGCTCCTTCAATTAGCTCTCGTTTCTTATCCTGAAGTTCAAGGATGCGGTCTTCAACGGTGTTCTGCACGAGAATCCGATGAATTTGTACCTCTCGCACCTGTCCAATTCGATGCGCGCGGTCGATTGCTTGCTCCTCGATGTATGGATTCCAGAATGGGTCGAAGAGAATAACCTGTGATGCGGCAACGAGGTTCAAGCCAGAGTTGCCCGCTTTCAACGAGACCAGCATAATCCTGCAATCGGGGTTATCGGTGAAATCCAGCACTGCTGAATTTCGGTCTCCTGGCTTCATGCTACCATCATACCGCCGATATCCCCAGCCCTGACGCACAATTGGAACTTCGAGCAAGTCAAGCAAAGACGTGAACTGGCTGAAAATGATTGTCTTCTCCTCGCCCTCCTGGACACCCCGCAGAATCTCCATGACTTTTTCAATCTTAGCGCTCGACACCCAAGTCTTCTCTAGTCGACGAAGGTACTTGCGTTTCGATTTCTGATTCTTCGAGGCTTCTTTCTTGAGTTCGGCAAGGGTTTGCTTAGCCTTGGCCATTTTACCTTTCCCCTTGCGCCTGGACCTCTTGGAAGAGCTGTCCTCGCCCTCCTCATCATTGACAATAAATCGAGTTAGGCTGTCGCCGTCATCGCTATCATCACTCTCGTCTTGCTCTTCTGCAGACTTGGCGGGTTCTTCTTCAACTGGGTCATGGGAGTGGTCAGGGTCGTGGACCTTTCTAAACGACACATGATCGGTAATCTTCTTCGGGTCCACTTTGCCACGGCAATTAGGACACTTGACTTCCACGGCACCGTCGTGACCCTGCCTCAGAGCCAATGACGGATCGGAAATCCTTGAGAAGCATTCTGCACAGGTGCTATGCCCGCAAGGGAAGAAGATGATTGGGTTTTCAACGGCATCCATGCAGATGGGACATTCGAGATCATCATTGTTGCTTCTCAAGCGGATCACAACATCCTGATCGAATTCTTTCGCGTTCGCAATCAGATCCAACTCGTCTGTGTTCGCGTTGAGCTTGACGCTAAAGTCGGTTATTAAATGGGGATGGCAGCACGCCTGTCGCAGCCGAAGGAGTAGGACTAGAATATTGGAGTAGTTTCGTCCCACGGTTCCAGCCTCGAGGTACTTGTTGAACTGAAGTTGAGTTCGAGCCTCGAGCGAACTGTATAACTCTAATTCATCTTCACTGAACACAGCGTGCACTTTTTCTGAGATCCTTTGTGGGAGTTGTAAAATTGGTTTCCCATCAATCTTGGAGTCTTTAGTTCGCCGCAAGAGGACTGCCTTCAGAAGTACCTGGAGCTGTCTCATTGCTTTGCGCTGTGCACTAACACTGGACCCCTTGAGGGGCCGTGTGAAATCGTGATTAAACCGCTCCAGGTTGCTGTAAGGCTTGATGCGGAGAAATCTCAATAGTGAGTGCAACTCTTCGACATTGTTCATCATGGGAGTTCCGCTCATACACCAGCGATAGGTGGCATTAAGACGACAACAGGCGAGGGCAGCTTTTGTGTTACGGTTCTTGATACACTGTGCTTCATCAATGATCACACGATACCACTTGCTGGACGGTCCAAGACACGGTAAAGATTTGGCAATTTCCTTCGACAGGGTTTGTTCGTTCGCACCAGACGACTGTAGCTCATCGTATTTTTCCCGACGCTTGAGTTCGGAAGACAAGGTTCCAAAAGTTGTCAGAACCACATCATAGTTCTTCAGGTCCCTAAAGCTTACGGCTCGCTTTTCGCCGTGCAAAACATAGACCGAGAGTTGGTAACGGCCAGGCTTTAAAAATCTTCCTATCTCTCGCTTCCACTGCTGCATCAGCGCGACAGGGGCAATGATCAAAGTCGGTTTCCGTTCCTCGTCCGTAGAGGGTCTGGATACCATGAGAGCAATGGCTTGTATTGTCTTCCCCAGGCCCATATCATCAGCGAGTATACCGCCTTTTTGCTCCTGCTCCTCCATCGATTTCATCCATGCCAGTCCAAGCTTTTGGTGCTCCAACAACGTGAATTTGAGGGCCTCAGGAGTCCCCTCACGGTTTTCTGTAGAAATATCCGAATCGGGTCTAATAGTCTCCAGAAGTTGTTTGATCTCTTCATTAACCTTTTTAGGATCAGCTCCGTAGTAATCACTCACCCACTCCGGCAACTTGTTCATGTCGTAGCCGGTGGGACCTGGATAAAGAGGAACCGAGCTATCGTAGGGCGAGAAGGGATTAGGGTAATTTCCGAAGATGGACTTCCCCGCATGCTCAAGCAGCTCCTTCCCAGCACTGAGCCTTGCCATGGTATTCTGCAATACATGTGGGCCGTATGCAGGACCAGGTCCACCGATGCCACTCGGACCAGGCATTGACTCCAGATAAGGATACATATTGGAATAAGGTCGCTGTTGCGGAAAGCTGTCTTGCAATGGGTAACGCGAACCGCCGATGGAATGCTGCGACATGAAAGGGCGCTTAGAGGACGGACCGATGAGAAGCTCGAAATCCTGAGCTGAGATTTCGGCAATATCGCTATCATCGCTGTCAGGTATGAGGGCCGGTTGGAGGCGCTGAGGCCCCAGCCGATTTGTCTCAGGCAACGGAGGCGGTACGAATGGTGAACGATAAAGATCTGTGGGCTGTATGGCCCCAGGCATTGATCGATTGACATCGGGAAATGGTATTCCATTTTTAACCCTAGGAGCGGGGGAAGGCAAAGAAAACCCAGAGTAGTGAGTAGACGAAGTGCTTCTGGCGGAAGCTGGTCGGGGCGACTCTTGCAAGCCTTCCAGTCTACGAGCATACTCTTCGTCGAGGCGTTCCTGTTCCTTGCGCTTCTCGAGCCATTGTTCAGCTTTTCGCTGTTCGTCTTGGAGCTCGAGGATATCATTACTGTCCAAGCCCAGCACTTTTCGAAGTTCATCAATGCTGTCGTCAAAGCCATCATCCTGCCCCTGCCCCTGAAGACTACGAACAGGCAATGAGATCGGGCTAGAGGAAGGCTTCTTTGTTGCGACCCGCTTTGAGGGTAACTCCAGATCATCGGTCCAGTCTGTTTCGACACCATCATCATGGGCATGATTACGATCATCGTCTTCCTCTCGCCCACGCTTTCGAATGGTCAACGGCCCTAAAGGTTGAAATGACTCCGCTAGCTTCCTCGCCGACTGAAATGGCTGCGACGGGGGAGACATGGTGGACTGATCCGGTCGTAAACCTCTGGGAGAGTTTTCCGGGCTAGAACCAGAGCTTCCATCTAACTGCGCTCGATACAAAAATGAGTTTTCCGGACCCTGGTGGGGAGCAAAGCGACTATGTGGCGGGCTCTTTGTGGCAGTACCGCGTAGTTCTGCCAGTCGCGTTTCTAATGTTTTGATGGCATCTAAAATCTCTTGCTTTTCAGCAACGGCATTTGGCCGTTGTTCCTCTAGGCTTTGTAGAATAACATGGTTTAGCTGAAGATCTTCCAGGAGATCTTCTATAGACGCGTCAGTTGGGGAAGCCATGATGGATAAATCCAAGTTGAGAATGTGCTTGTGAGCTTAGCGCCCAAAGCTGCCACTTCCACACAAAGGCGTTCAGGCTTCGAGATCAGGGGCAATACACAGCTCTGCGATGTACATGAGCTAACTTGAGGTCCGACATTAAAAACCGAAGAATGTAAGATGTGGGAATTAGTGATCGCTGGAGAAGATGATGTGTAGATTGACGATCGCGCTTGGCAGCGGAAAGTGGATGCTAATTCTGACGGAACAGGGCGTAAAAGAATGAAAAAGAAAAAGAAGAAAAAAAAAGGAGGAAAGGAAAGGGGACGGGCAACTACGCCGGCAGAGGCCAGAAACACAGGAGGATAAAATAGTGAATGAATAGTAAGAAGCTGCTGCCTGCACTGCAATGTTGACTGGTGGAGGTGCCTGTTGGTCAGTAGTAGTTGTAGTTTACATTACCAGTGGCAATTAACTCAGCTCGAGATTTTTTTTCTTTCCTACTTTCTACTTCCCCCTGCACTCTCCCCCCTCTTCTGGATCTATCACATTATCGCATATACTTGCACACATATACCATTGGCAGAAGTTATTGTCAGGCTTGAACTATTAATATCGCCCTTTTCTTTTCTTTTTTTTTATTATTATTATTGTTTCTGATACCGTTCCGGAGGATCTATTTGCTTTTCTTTGATATATTACATTTGAAGAGATCCATAGTCGTATCTATATACTCATAACCCAAAATTACTGTCCGATTGTAATTTCTCAGAGCTTCACTTCGGGAGGCTATATCTGAAGTAGTCTTCACCACCAGTGAAGGTGTGTATATGCACCAGAAGCTACTATTGTTTGTTGTTGGGAACTTATCTCGAGTCCCGTCGCGTTGATAGTCTTCCCAATTAGGCAAAATTAAACATGCAGGTACCCCATATGCTACTATTCAATATCCGGCACTTTCTGATACCAGCCAGAACTATTGACATCATGTATAGTGCTATGGATCATAGGTTGAATGGGAAAAATGACCTATCACCGACTGGCAAAGTAGTTGATGATATCTGTTCCACTACCAATCTATATCTATATATTTTAGTTGAGTCTAAGTGTATTCCCTGTCTCTTCTGTTTTCTCTTTCCCGTGAAATAAATGACGATGCTTTTGTTTTTTTTTTTTCAATGGCTATGCTAAAATAGCCAACAATCACAGAGCATGTTGTGGTTCTTTTGTGCTGTCAACAGTGTTATCGTTTCAAAAAAAATCAAGAACTTTGTGGAGAGTCTAGACTACTAGTAGTTATATGGAAAACGCATAATCATCCCCCGTCATCCTCAGGCCCATCCTCCGACCGCTATCGTTGTATCGTAATTCGAGACCTTGCATAACGAACCCAACATGTTGGGAGGGACCACAGCCATAACGGTTGTCCAGCCCCAACCATTCATTTATTTCACGCTTACAGGTCGGCATCATCCTCGTCGGGCAAAGGTTGGTTGGCAGCAGCCTCCATCTCCTCCTGGTACTTCTGAAGAACGGTGTGGTCGACCGTCACCTCGGGGGGAGCAAGAGCAGGGGCAGCAACGAATTCCTAAATGCTATCTTAGCAGGCGACAACAGTGGACCGCGGAAAGACAACTTACCAGCTGGGGGTTGCCGACCAGCTTCCGGGCAAGCCAGAGGAAGGGCTTCTCGAAGTTGTAGTTCGACTTCGCGGAGATATCGTAGTACTGGAGGTTCTTCTTGCGGTGGAAGGTGATGGTCTTGGCCTTCACCTTACGCTCCTTAACATCGACCTTGTTGCCGCACAGCACGATGGGGATACTCTCGCAGACACGGACAAGGTCACCTAGAAGTTGGGTTATCTACTGAATTCATATGCTGTGTAGGCGACGAAAGAACTTACGGTGCCAGTTGGGGACGTTCTTGTAGGTGATACGGGAGGTAACATCAAACATGATGATACCGCACTGGCCGTTGATATAGTATCCATCTCTCAGACCACCGAACTTCTCCTGACCGGCAGTATCCCACACATCGAACTGGATGGTTCCCAGGTTCTACCACAATCGTTAGTCGCCTGAATATAGGATGGCGGTATAGCCCAAAGCGGGGTCCCGGGCGGGGCATACGGTGGTGAAAGTGAGAGGGTGCACTTCGACACCGAGAGTTGCGATATACTTCTTCTCGAACTCGCCAGTAAGGTGGCGCTTGACGAAAGTGGTCTGTAAGGAAAAATGTCAGTGATAACGTCTCACTATCGGGTTGAGAGATCTGACGATGGCGGCGGAGAGGGGAGGATAAAGAGTGGTAATAGAGGGGCCTTCTATGCCGGAAGATAGCGACCACGAGATATAGACTAGAGATATGGAGGCCCTCTTTAATGAGGAAGAAAATAGATCCAACTTGCCTTTCCAGTACCACCGTCACCGACAAGGACAAGCTTAAAGGTTGGTGGGGCAGCAGCATGGTGATGTTTATGTGAGAAGAAAATGTGAAAATAAATCACAAAAACGATAAGGTCCCGGAAGAAGGTGATGCGTGTCAAAAGTCGACAAACGGTTGCGACTGATGATAGATGAAGGGACGCGGTGTGTACGGTGAAGAGAGGGTTTTTTAGCACAGGGAGGGAACAAAGTGAAAGGCGAATCTGGTGATGGAATTTTTGCCCTGAGTCGGTCACCAAGTTTTAAGTCACGTGTCACAGCCTCAGGCACGCATGCCCCGCAGGATTGCGGTAACTGCACCGCTATCGATCACTTTTACCAAAACAATCATACTAATATGGGGGAAAAATGCTACATCAGGGCTCTCAACCATGATGTTTTCCATACATGTTTTCAGGTCATCAGTGACCCTAATTAGTAGCTCCTCTGCGATATCTTCTTGCTTGTCCCATTAAATAACTCTAGTCATTAAAAACCATATCGCATGCCTCGTCAAATACAATGGCCTTTGTCTTCAAATCACAAAGGAACGAGATGACAACCCAATAAACCACGACCACCCCAGCCCCGTCGTGGCACAAGCTCCAAGTCCAGTTCTGTGGCATCGCCCCCGTCTTGACGGAGAACTTTGACGATTAAAGTACGCTGAAAGAATGGAAGTCAGTCAGTCATTCGTAAAACTGGTTCTTTGCCTAAAGCGACAAACCGCCCCTAGAAACAAGTGAAACGAAGAGCAAAGGAGTAAAGGCTTACCCCTTCATTTTGTTGGACCGATTCGGCCACTTTCGAAAGACGCTCATGGTTAATCCAATTAATGGCCCCAAAGCTGCGTATCTTGTCTCCCGCTTTCAGGCCAGCCTGATCCGCAGGACTTGCCGGTGCGACACTGTTTACTCTCGCGAATGGTGGTCCAAGCATCGCGGCATCCGACGAAGAATTGCCAGTCAAATTTGATTGTGTTCCATTAGGCCCATTTATATTACTGACAGAAGATGTGTCGCTTTGCGCGCGTTGGAGGTTCGAGAAATGATCGTGAATACCTTTCTCGAGATATTTCATAACCTCTTTGTGGTCATAGCGGAGTCGAATGATTTTCGCGCGTATTGTGCGGACTGCCTTAGGCTTAGCGACAGTTTGAATAAAGGAGAAACGTTCTTACTCTGGGCAACATCGATATCGGCCCGTGGGAAGTCGTCGAATGTTGTCAGCGATGAATTCATGTTAACTCCATGCTGCGAAAGACCCAAATGATTAGATATGTGCTTGAGGGTAGTAACCATCTGTCCACTCACAGAAGTAAGCACACTGCTTAGCGCTGAAAGTTCCTCTTCAATACGTTCCTTTTCCTGCATCAATTCGACCATGGAGAGCTTGGCCGGATCGCGGTCAGACCCTCCGGTCGTCGTAGGACCGGAGGCCACTGTCGGAGCATGAATATTGTCGTCCATATGTATTCCCATCCTAAGATAAAACCAAGGAAAACTTAGACATCGCTGCCGCCGTTGGGATAGAAGGCTAAGAAGAGTTGAGTTGTCTGTGACAGTGGTAATAAGGTGGTGGTGGTAGCTTGGTGGGTCTTTGTTCTGGAAGATCTGGGGGAGTTTCGAATCTTGGCGCATGACCTTTTAAAGACCCCGTCTTATGTTGCTTATTTAATGGCCGCAATGAGAAGCAGACATCGATCGATTTGAACGATTTGAACGATTTAACATAGGGATAATCTGATTTTGGTGGATATGCTCGGATTATGCCAGATTTAGTCAATTTTGATAGTAACCTAGCTTGCTATATGTACAGTTCATTTGATAGGTTATACTACGAACATTGAAGTAGGTCGTACCTACCTATGCTTGCGCTGTTCATGGTCAGTCGCATGTAGGTTCTGTAGGAAGGTGAAGCTTATCCTCCTTCCGTCTTGGTCTGTTTAGCCTTAATGTACTTCGTATGGGCCATAGCTTCCTTTTATAGCATGCACCTTATCGTCTTCTGCCCCACGAGCTTCACGTATTCTTACTACTGAAGGGATGGGCCTGTGTTCTTCGCCGTGGGCTGCCCCATTCTATAAATAATTGTCATTCTATCCATCGCTATGCAACGGCTCAAAGAAGAGGTGGCTGAAAAGCGCCACCTGGTCATGGGAGACTTGGAATTAGAGGCTAAGCACAGGAATTCAACTGATTCACATGCGTCAGAAGAGCATACCCCAAGCTTCCTATCGTTTAGACGTTGGGTGAACAGCTTTAGGGCAAAAAAGAGCTACCGCCCCTGTCAGCGTCTAAGATACGTGAAGGGCTGGTCGGATACTACGCAGACATGCTGCGATAATACTAATGCATTGCCCTGCGGAGGAGGACAGGATCTGCAGTGGGAATGTCTCTCCGGTCACTCATCCAATCTGGAGACTATCAAGACGAGTACCTTGAGCGTTGCCAGTCAAAGTGTAGCGAGATCGAGGGGAACCACTCAGAGTACGAATCGGAGTGTCGGCTCAGAGCTACGTGGGTCTATAGAGAGCCTAAGACCAGCATTGAGCTTTACGATCGACGAAGAAGCACAAAACCGGGCTGTTAAGCGACGTAAAGTTCTTCGAGAGATTATTACCACTGAATCTGACTATGTATTTGGGTTGAAAGCCCTTATCAATGTATTGCTTTCATTGGCTTCATGAGTTAGCTTCGAATCTGACTGGTTGATCATCCCAGGTACTTTTCCTCTTCTCCACAAGACCAGAGATCTATCACAACCTCCATCAGATTCGCGAACTACACGAAGACCTTCTGGCACGGATCCGCAAGGTGACACCGATGTCTATCCTTGCTGCGGAAGAATATGACAGATTGGTACCCCATGGCGTACATGAGCGCTTCAATCCTACTGATTTAAGTCTGAGAGCACTTCGAAATAGATCTATTAGAATATGTCACTTCAAGAAATCTGTACTTTCGCGCTTTAAAGAACTTGCAGCAGAAGCGAATGAAGCCCTGGAAGTTGCGGTTGAGATTGGGAAACTAGTACGTTGCCGGAGCCTGTTTGATTGGCAGTGCTGATACCCGGTTCTGCAGTCAAAGTCCTTTTCAACATATATGGATTTCTGTAGAAATTATGAGCAGCTTACGGAGGACGTGGATATTCTACGTCGATCAGTGCCGAACTGGTCGGTTTTGGAGAATGGTATCGAAGCTTTGTCGAAGTCGGTAGCGTCGATTGAGAACCAGGCCCTCGAACATAACAAATCAATGCTGTTGCATGACCTCCTCATCAAGGTTAGGATTAATAGTTCAAAAAGATGTGCAGCTAAATACTGATGAAGCCTCAGCCGATCCAACGCCTTTGCAAGTATCCATTACTGCTGCAAGAGTTACTAAAGTGGACCTATATCCAGGATGACCCGACTGCCCATGACGGGATTCACGAAGCATTGGAGGGCGTTCGTACGATGATCAATCAAATCAACAAGGCGCCGGGTAATCCTGTCAATAAAGGAATGGTTCAAAGGACCCTCTTGTTACAAGAGATGCTAGGGCTCCCCAGGCTGGTAAGTAACTGGACTGATATGAATCTAGAAGCTTGCGTACGAGCGGAATTTGATCGGGTTCCAGGTTGCTCTTCATCACATTTACAAACAATTGGGACCCATGACGCTTTGCGGAGTGCTCCATACCACATATCAGACTTCGACATGCCTTGCAGGTGACTATATGGTCTGTGTCTTGTTCAAGAGCCACTTTTTGCTAGCCAAAATCAACAACGACGGTCGCAGCTTAGGGGTGGTCGCGTGTTTGTATGTCTGCGATGCGAAGATCGATACCCTGAGGAACGGAAAGGGTAAGAATGCTCTCTTTCTTTCCCTTTCTGTCTCCTCCCTATGCTAAGTCGCAGAATAGGCCTCTGCTGTCATGGGTGTTTTTTCTCATGGAAATTGGCCTTTCAATATCAAAATAACAAATATGAGCTTGTTTTGAGTGCCTCATCCGCGTACGAAGAAAAGCAATGGAAAACCGAGTTTCTCAAGTCGGCCGCAATTTCAGCTGATATGCAAAGGCCGGTGTCCTCGGAGCTGCGAGGATATTCCTTTTTGACCTTAGACTTGGCCCCTCTGGATCAAGTGTTGAGTTCCGAGCCTTCATTCTCTCGTACAGCCTCTGTCCACTCGGTAGCAATTTCGCGCGTGGAGTCCGACCTGCAGCATGTAGTGATCAAGAGAACGCACTGCCCAAACAAGCAAGGACAGATTACCCGTCATATAGACGGCGAATTCGAGCGACCAAAATTATCGCTTCCAGAGTCACCAATAATACTGACAACTCGAAGACAAGACCGAATAAGACTGGAAAGAATTATCTCTTCAGTGTATACTCGGGAATGCCTCCCATACCCTGGCATGAGCTTAGCAAAAGGTGACATTCTCTTTCGGCCCAGCACAATTATGAGGCACTTTACTGTCCGTCCTGGGGTCTACAGACGTTCAAGTTCCGTGAACCTTCCTCGAAGCCAGTCTGTCGTTGAGAAACCTTACTCTACCAGCGAAGCTACCCAGCGAAAATGGTCCAACGACAGTGATAAAGATGAAGCTTTACATGCCAAATGGGGGTTTGACGATGAGAAGCACGTCGGCAGTCCTCCGAAATCCAGCATGGGAACCATAAGACGCAGTAAGACATTAAGGCTAAGGAACCACCCAAGGTCATCTTGCGGCCTTAACCACCAGAAGACAGACAAGGGAGACGGAAGTTGTGAGCGCGCCGAGAGTCCATTGAAAACATCGATCCGAATCATGTTTAATTCCATGTCATTAAGGCGGCCAAAGAGGAGCCCAGGCTTACGCGTGAGTGTTAGTGGTGGATAATGATGCAATGGGCATGGAGAGAATCTGCGATATTGCGTCAGGGGTTGAGGGTCCAAGTGCTTCTATGTCGGAAAGGAAGGTGTCTATTTGTTTCGTATCGATTCGCTGAGACAGTGGGGGAAGAGAGTGGGCTGAGAAATGCGGTGGTTGGCGAGGCAATTGGTATCAGATAATAAGCAAATCTCCCCACCGAGCATTTGTTGAATGCATCATCGACACATACTAAGTGAGTAATATGCAGGTTGCTTTGTCGTCAAGGCAAGAAAAAGCGGAGCCTATCGTAAGTCATTTCATGTCGTCTCTCACAGGGTATGACGTCGGAGGGGTTGCTCGTCGACCATCAAATACGTAGCACACGACCTTATTTAGAGACCGCACCAACCCTCTTCAAGAGTGGCATAGAATAGCAGATTCATTTTCAAAGAACAATTGTCTCCTACTCTCATCGCTCTATTCTACTTATCTTGAGATCCTCCTCATACGTGACAGTCATTAACATCCTGAACTTTCCATCCCGCCGAACCACCGAGTGACGTCATCATATACTACCTCACCTCACACGACAGCTCATTGACCTCCCACTGCTTTCCAACTTTCAATCCTCCCTCTTTTTTTTACCTCCAAACCGAAAGCTAAAGCGTCAATTACTCTCATACTACTACAAATCAATCCTCCAACCACACCAAGATGCCTCGTGCCAACGAACCTACCGCCAAGGTCTTCTACAAGGGAGCTGCTGAGGACTTCATCGTCTTCGTCGACGACATCCAGGTTCTCAACAACTGGCGCAAGGACCGCTCAATCCCACTGGCCGATGTGGTAAACGGCTTTAAGATCTTTGTCACTCACAGGTAGGCTCCTCCCTTCTACCTTCTCGCCCCTGTCCCCAGAACAATTGCATCCTAACATCCGCCTACTAGGCACGGTGCTCAAGGCATCATGGACGGCGCTAGCAAGGGTATTCTGGACACCGAGTTCGGTACATCGAACGAGGATGAGTGCATCCAGAAGATCCTAGAGAATGGTGAATACCAGTCTTCTGTGGTATGTTTTCCCCCTCCCCTCCACTTCCTCTATGGAAGATGCTAACTGTTACTCCTAGACGAGGGAACGCCAGGATGATACCAATGTTGCTAACGGCCCCGTTGGCATTGGCCGGTAGTTTTTTAATTTAGTGGAGCTAAGCATGTTTTTATGAGCCATGGATTGTGCTGATTTTGGGGGTGTTTTCTTGAAATTTTATTGTATCTTAGGATAGGATGTATGGGATTATGCTTGCATAAATGATGGCATCAATGAACTAACTCCACTGAGTGGATTTTATTTATGTTTGGTGTCCCTTCCGTGTGGGTTCCTCGTTGTAGCGTCGTACATGAGACTAAAGTACGTAGGTGGTATTGTTCATGTAATTCCTGGGTAATACTTAGATCCTTGTATATAGTTACATTGGATGGGTATTCTTCTTGGCTTCTCGTCGACTATTCACCCATTTCCCCAATTCGTTCCATACGGCCTGTTTCTCAGCCATGCTCATCCCGGCTGCCAGTCCACTAGTAGTGGTAGCCACAAACACCGGCGCCCCGTTCCACCCCTCACTCCGACCCATGTTCTCCGACCCGTCTTGCCATCCGTAGCGGAATTCTTCCTTCCGGATCGCTCGACCCTTACGTACTCGCCATACGGCCTCCCAGATACTCTTTCCAACAAGACAAACGGCTTCTGGCCGTTGATTGGCTACTTTCTCTTCTAGTACGGGCACGCCAGCATCCATCTCCGCCTTGCTGAGCATGCTGGCGTCGCGGGTCGGACGCTCTACAATATTGGTGTTTCCGATATTATATAATTCCGGCAGCCGGTAGGTATCAGAGGGAGGGTGGCGAATCGTCGTTATCCCAGACCAATGGAGGAGCTTCCAATATAGGTTCGAGGGGTGGGCGTAGATGTACCCCGTGGCACCGGTCATGATACCCGGGTTGACGCCTACCAGGAGAAGGGTGAGATTCGATGGGATGGTATCGCGGAGGAGCGAGACGGGGGAAGACGCTGGTGTACTCTTACGAGAAGAGGGCTGACGGCGAGCGCGAGAACGACCTGGTGTACTTGGCTCCGTGGCGGGCGACGGGGACGGTGAGGCGAGGGAAGCCGGCGATGATGATGATGCGGAGCGAGAACGGGTTATCCGTTTGGGGAGGTTGAAGACGGCGGTTGAGACGGCTTTCTTTCTTCGTTTGGAGTTCGAGTCATTGTCGTTGCTGGATGATTGGTCGTTGGACTCTGATTCAGACGTCCTTTTGCATAATGTGTCTTGTCTTGAAGGAATATTCTTGGACGTGTGGAAGTATTGGTTTAATCTGCCGTTGAAGCTGGTCTTCTTGTTAACGGGGACGTCTTCAGCATCATCTGTGGGAAGGGCTGTTTCGACGCGGAAATCCTCGTTGATGAGGGTGGTGGAAGCTGGAGGCGACATTCCGCTTCGAGGTGATTATGGGAGCTTTGACTGGTATTAGTGGTATGTGGTATCAGTTCGCAGGCAACTTTGGAGGAAGTCAAATCTAGAAAATATTTAGAAGCCTTTATATCATTATTAGCTGTTGGATAGTTAGTGCGATATTCTATTTTCTTCCCTTGAAGATCGAGCGCAGGAGAAAAGGTAGGTAGTACCTACAGGCGACTACTAAGGTATGGGAGAGCGATGATCGGCCAGTCATATTGTTGATGCCACAGTCACGTGCAGAAATTCCCCATCAGGTTAGGGTGGCAAGGCATCAAGGCACCGAGGTTGTCACTTTCCATTCGGCCAAGTTAGTTTCCAAGTGGTCAACCCATTTGTCTAAAAGTTTCTGCTCTGAATTGTTCGATATCTAAAGATCGCACTAGTATATATAGGTAGTATATATGTATGTACATGAGCCAAGATACTACATCCACTGAAGTCGCCAATCCGGCTATTATCCATCGCTTTAGTATGTACTGTGCCCAATTAATAGTCACTGGCTTGGAGCAGCTGCTTTGGAGTCTAAGAGTTTGCGCTCCATGGGCTTGGCCTTGATCATTTGGTTTGATGATCGTGGTGATAATGCCTCCATTTCGGTTTTTTTGTTCGGGGTCTTCTTCTGTGCCTCACTATCGGTGGTTCAATTATGGTCGAGGGCAATTGCGCAGGGGGCAGAAGGGTCGGACTGAAACTAGACAAGGCCATCGCTGGCTACTCGTATCTTATCTTGAAGAACCGGGGGTGAACGCCGATAACCACCCAAATAGTCATTAATTATGTCGTCTCACGTCATTAGGTCGTAATTCAAGCGCTATACACGCATCGTTATACTTTGAGGGAATTTCGTTTAGGTAAGGTCCAAGGTACCGCGCAGACAACCTATATCTTTGTTAGACATGCCATCTCTGTGATTCAAGCTTCTTGCAAATATACGAACCTCGCCTTCGGAATAAGCCCAGAAGTATACACCTATTCCGACAAGGTAATATATGGCGGGATCAGTTCCCTGGTATAGGAGCATAGAAAGTAGAGCGCTCAGAGGATATAGGATCAGACGGAATTCGATACTGCGATGTGGTAACGTCCCGGCAAAGTATTTCAGTGGCCATTCCCATGCGAGACCAAGCAGTCCCATAAGCAGGTTGAGGATTTGTAACACTGGTATCGGTTTTACTGCTCCGTTGAGGTTCTTCGTCATGAAATCCCAGAACACTTTCGGCCAGATGAAGCCTTCGATGGCACTGCCTACTTGATCTGTGTATCGGCGAAACGCATTAGCTTGCCTCTATCCGACAGGGGAGAGCCAACATACATGCTGCGGCCGTGAGGATTATCAAGCGGGCCCAGTGGTTTTTGATAAGCCTTCCCATGGCAATCCAAATCTTCCTCCGCAACCACGCAGAGTGAGAGCTGTGACGCTTTCGTCCAGCGAAAGGAGTTTGACTTAAAGAGTCGATAGAATTGCTGACACCTCACAAGCAAGGGAATTGGGGTCGGCGTGGCCAGCTATCCTCGTCATCGATGGTATCAATTGAAGTCGCGTGCAGTGTAAGACCCAGTGATAACATGGCAAGTGAAGTCGTATAAAGTTGATTGTTGCTCTGCGAACAGGTCGGATCTGAATGTGATAGTCGTAGATAAAGTTAAGATTAAATGATAAATCACATCACAAAATATCAATGCGAGCAGGATCGAGCGCAATCCTTCGTGGAGTCCCGAGAGTCATGTCCATGGAAGCGGTATGAATGGTAGATGGAGGGGGGATTGAGAAGGAATACATAGCTTCCCGGCGCCTAAAGAGGGACACCACATGATCTCGATTGCCCCATCAACAGATCCGTATGCGCGCATGAAATCCCATCGTACAGTGATGTGATACGCGGACTCGTTTCAAGAACCGCTCAAGACCGAGAGCCAATTGGAAGCATTATGCCGCTTCAGAAGGTACATACTCGGGAATCCCCTCTTGGGTTCTTCACGGGGATCGAGCTCTGGACGCTCTTGATTGGACTTGAGAAAGTAGAGACGTTGTGACATCCAAGTTCAATCCCAGCATATTCACTATTGAAAACCCTGGTTGGGCGCTATGCCGATGCGTAAAGCAATGGTTTCTAGCAAATCAGAAGGAAGAACTGGTGAGATGGGAGGTGTTCAGCACATTAGCGCCGCGACGGTGCGTGACAGTGGAGCGCAACCTGCAGGAGATTGACGGGAACAGACTTTAGTCGCCGATACTTGTGCCACTCCCACATTCTGATTGACCGCACAAGCCCCATGCTAACAATTAGGGCTTGGTCATTGCTCTTGGACCAGGAAGATTTTGTGAAGACCCACGAAGCGGGGAACAGTATCCTGGTTGCTGCTGGTATTTCCATGCCTGATGGCTGTTCTGCCTCGGCGGTAACTGATGCTACACAGCCATACCTGCACAGGCACTCATATCCATTCAATGTTGTCCTATAATCCAAATACAACACACTTCTGAGAAGAATTAAGGGAAAAGAAGACATAGTTCGAAGGATTTCAAGGCGATTAATCGAGGCGCAGATAATCATTGGTCTCACCGTCTTTTCTGTATCACCGCCAGCCACTGCGCTAGATCACCAACTAGTCTTGAATTATGAATGTTTACTACCGAGTCGGCCACACTCGCTATGGGGGTAGATGTGACGAGCTGTCCATCATGCAGAGCCGAGCAGTCCAAGATCCTCGTCCGCATCATCTCGGACACGGATATCTTGGGCTCTCCTGACGCCAAGGCCCAACCGTCGGTGGAAATCAGAATATGCACGGAGATGGTTGCCACTTTGGACTAGTTCTTTGAATGCTGGGAAGCGATTGAAAGAGCTATATTTGGCAGCGACCTCAGTTCGATAAATTCCTGCGATGGATGGGGTTGCTACTCGGCTAGGCCGTGCGACGGGAAGCGCGCTTGCAGAGCGTCTCTCATAGGGCAACCTCAAAATGAGTGGCAGGATCTCCACACTCAAGGAAGCAAATCACCTGGTGGCATGAGTATAAGAAAAATCGTAAGTTAGCTACAGTGATGCCAAGGCCGCACTCGTCTCCAATCATTCTCGACTTATGCTAGAGCCACATGGTTTTCACTAGGATATGAGAAGATCAGAAGAATTTTGACGGAAGAGATAGCGATGGCCCCTCCTGATTACTATTTTTGAACGTCAAGCTAGCGCGAGAAGAAGAACATGACAGTGGCATCAGTTATAACCTGCTAATCAAGGTTCAGAACTAATTGTGATAGATATCTGGCCGTTCATCCTCTGGTCAAGAATACGAGAAGCAAGGCTGAACTCAATGAGAATCCCACGAGGCCCAACAGACACTTCTGACTCGAGACTGTGGCACCTCACCGAGTCATACGATGGGATAGATCGAAGGTATCCTAGAGCGTGTTTTGGGAGGGGTTTGAGATACGTACATACATAGGTAGGACTGGTGCACATAGTGTTGAAGTCACTGGATGTTCGATGCCCTAAGAGTCGTAGTAGTCGTAGCTAGTGAGTGGATGGAGTAAATATAGCAAAAGGTGCATATTTAGTCTCTTCCCCCTCGACCGGTGGCTGTCCCCCTCCCTCTTCCCTGCAACCAAAACCACACCCCCGGAACCAAGGCAACAAAAGAAGAAGAGTTAAATAAAAAAAAAAAGGGAAAAAAGAAAAAAAAAATAATCAAATCTCCATCACCGGACCCCACATTGGTTCTCTCAACGTTCAAACCACTTCTGTCCATGGCCTGGTAACTGTCAAGCTAACAATGGTTGAATTGACTTGCGCCATACCCTGGCACCAACCCATTATTGTTTAGCATCAGAATCATCTTGTGTGGTGGCTTCGCTTTCAGTTGCTTTAATCGGCCACTGAACATTTACTATCGCTGAAGCCCATTTACTCGCCATATCACCTAAGCCCAGCACATGGTATCGCGAAGGATCAAAGGCAAAGGGCAAAAATTACCGATACATATACGTCTTGGGAACGCTGGTTTATCGCTTTCGTGCGCTATCATCGCTGGGGGCTCGATCAATATCGGGTTGTTTAACTTGCGTTTCTCTCGACAACAATACCTGAGCCAGTATACTGAAGATCCAGGTTGCATGGATTGCAGACAGGGAGCATCTGAGCCATTCGTCTGCAAATATTGCTCCTCTGGTCTGAGGCACAGACATATTTTACTTCCGAAAGGCACACCAGACGTTGAAGCCACAAATCGATTCTCCTCTCGTACCGCCAGTCATTGCTGGTCGATGACACAGCTACTTTTCCCTTATTCTTTCTAGGCCTCCCCGCGGCAATCGACTACGTTGCTTTTCATCCCGTGTGGGCCAGCATGTCATACACATGGAGTTCTCTGTTCACTGGTTCTAAGATCTTGTTCTACATACTCTTTTGGGGTTCTCATATCACTGTGTTTGCACTTGGATGGTATGTATGCCGGTCTATATGGTCTTGGGATTGGCTCGCTGAGAATTCTTAGGTATTTCCAAGCAAACAATTCGAAATTAGATGCCCTCAATGCCCTCCAATATTCTGTCTGGATCTCAAGAGGTGCAGGCTTAGTACTTACATTCGATGGAACCCTGATTCTGTTGCCAATGTGTAGGAACATTGTCAAAACTCTCAGGCCTAGGATCCGATGGCTACCGCTCGATGAATCAATATGGTTCCACCGCCAAGTCAGCTATGCTCTGCTTATCTTTACCATTCTTCATGTTGCCGCCCATTATGTCAAGTAAGTAAGGGCCTAAAATAACCCTCCATAGCTCTAACACGCAATAGCTTTTATAATGTCGAGAAGGACAACATTCGACCCGTCACGGCAGTCCAAATACATTTCACTGAAGCAGGAGGGATTACAGGTCACGTAATGCTCTTGTGCATGATGCTAATGTATACTACGGCTCATCACCGGATCCGCCAACAGTCGTTCGAGACCTTCTGGTACACTCATCACTTATTCGTGCCCTTCATGTTGGCCCTCTACACTCACGCTACGGGTTGTTTTGTCCGCGACTCTACAGAACCATACTCACCCTTCGCGGGTGAAGATTTCTGGAAACATTGTATCGGATACGAAGGATGGAGATGGGAGCTAGTAGCAGGTGGTCTGTACCTCCTCGAAAGGCTCTATCGTGAGATTCGATCTCGGCGTGAAACGGTAATAACAAAGGTGATCCGTCATCCATACGGTATGTTTACAATAGTTCGTTCCATGGTATTTTGCGCAACACATCGATGAGCTAACAATCAAAATAGACGCCATGGAGATTCAATTCCGTAAGGAGAGTATGAAGTACAAAGCCGGCCAATGGCTCTTCATCCAAGTCCCTGAGGTGTCGAGCAACCAATGGCACCCCTTTACCATCACCTCCTGCCCGTTTGACCCGTACATCAGTATCCACGTCCGGCAAGTGGGAGACTTCACACGAGCCCTCGGCGACGCCCTTGGATGTGGACCAGCTCAAGCCAGAGACCTCGAAGGACTGGACCCTCTCGGAATGTATGAGGTGGCGCTTGAAAACGGGCAAAAGATGCCTCAACTCCGCGTCGACGGACCGTACGGAGCCCCAGCCGAGGACGTTTTCGAAAACGAAATCGCTGTTCTCATTGGAACTGGCATCGGCGTCACACCATGGGCATCCATCCTAAAGAACATCTGGCATATGCGCGCGGGACCTAACCCACCCCGTCGTCTTCGCCGCGTCGAATTCATCTGGGTCTGCAAGGATACCTCGTCCTTCGAATGGTTTCAGGCTCTCTTATCCTCACTCGAATCTCAGTCTGCCTACGAGGCAGCAAATGAAGGGCGAGTGGAATTCTTGCGCATTCACACCTACCTCACACAACGTCTAGACGACGATACTACCGCTAACATTTACCTCAATTCCGTCGGCCAGGAGGTCGACCCCCTCACGGAGCTGAAGAGTCGGACCAACTTCGGCCGTCCAAACTTCCAGCGCCTCTTCACTGCCATGCGTGATGGTCTCCAAGACGGGACATACATGCCTGGCTTATATGCCGAATTCGCAACGCAGATCGGAGTGTATTTCTGTGGACCTAATGCCGCTGCTAGGCAGATCAGGGAAGCTGCCACGGCATCGGCAACTAAGGATATTAAGTTCAAGTTCTGGAAAGAGCACTTCTAATCAGGGTTTGTTTTGGATAGCAGAACCGGGTCTAGTGGCTCTGGTGGTTTTTTGATGAGTTACGAGTTTTCTTTATCGACAATGCGAGTTGCGTGTCATTGAACTAGTGTATGTACCTGATGATATGCAATGCCCTGTACAGTAGACCAGTATATAGTTAAAAATGGTTCCCTCTTCAATTTGCCAGGGTGATTAGTTATGGTATTCCTTCCTGTATTTCATAGCCTGAGGGCTGATATGATACACTTGATAGAATAACAGGTTGTCATAGTTGCATTTGTTCATCCTCACTATCGGCATCTTCTGGCATGGCAATTGGTAGCCCCAACGCAGCTGTCTTCTGCTGCATCTCCGCCACAAGCTCGTCCACCTCATCTTCGATATCGACGTGAACCCGCAATTCCTTCTCTATCAGGACATTATACACACTTCGTAGCTCAAAGAAGTTCATACCATCACCCTTCCGTGATGCGCTTGGATGAAGCTCTCGAACGATGTCTGCCCTGAGATGGCTGAAGGCAAGCATGATGAGCTCTTTGGACCAGGGACAGACACGCATGCCACGGTAGAAGACATCTTTGGCACGATTGATGTCGTGCTGAGATAGCTCAAAGAGGATGTAGAGTTTCCAGAGTGTGAGGTTGGAGCGGGCGGTGGAAATTGTGTTATGGTGTGCTGAGGTTGATGGGTCTTTGTCGCCAATAGCCTTTTCGAAAGCCGCACGGACAGAGTGTGGTGTAGAACCGGCATACATAGGACGATTTAGCTCGGTGAAGATGGAGAATAAGTGCGATGTGATTGGTACTTGGGTTGTGAGGATTTGATCGGCTCGGTTGTGGGCTTTCGTCGTTATGTCCATGATGGTATCCCTGACACGCTCTTCGATGCGGAACCGAGATTCATTCCAAGCAAAGAGGGACAGAAATATCGTGTTATGGGGGAATAGGGATATGCTATCCGTCAGCAGAGCACGGATCTGGGAGGGCTTGTATATGTTGCTTGTGCGGGCGTGATAGTAGAGGAGTCTTGCACGGGCTTGGTGAAGGAGTTCAGTAGAAATGGACCTGAACGATTCGAACTGTGCTGGCATTGTTGCAAGTCTGTTGAAGGCATTGCTGTATGGCTGAAGGGCTTTATTTAGATCCCGGGAGTTAAAAAGGTACGCTAGTATTGCTAGACAGTCCGTGCAGGCCACGAAAGTGTTGGCTTTTTCGGCTGCAAGCGAGGCCTCTTGGTTATCTGACAGTAGCTGCTTTGAGTTAGCCTAGTGGCAAGAAGTAAAAAGGAGTGTCTACTTACACTTTGAGTCTTCAGCAGGTTTGTTGGGTTGAGTATGTATTGATTGGGATCCACTGGAGCCTTCAGGCTAGGACTGCTCTGAGGCATAGAGCTGAAGAGATAAGATACATAATCTAAGCTGCCAGCTTCCAGCATCTCCCATATACAAGTATGCCAAAGGAGAACAGCATCGACCTTTTCCTCAGTAAAAGTCTTACTGTTTTGGCTCATAGATAGAGTGGTTTCCCACACACGGTTGGCGGCCTCCAGGTTGCCTGACCGACGTTCAATAAGAGCATACACATTGTAGAGCCACAGGCTGGACGGCCGCTTTTTGAGTAAGAATTTCGCGTACTTTGCTGCCTTGCTGCGGTCACATGCAAACTCCACCGCAATCGCATACGCAGCCATATGGTCATTTTGTGGCATTGCCTCTACCAAAGATCTCAATACCTTGGAAACCCAACTAGGGTCGACATCGGACCGAGAGTTCAGGGCCGCCGTAGCCCAAGGACCAATGGAGGAGAACCATGCTTCGTGGTCCGCGAAAAGAGTGTCGAATGAATGAACAAAGTTCTGGAAGTAGACCGGCACAGAAGCAGTATTTCTAGCATCGGTGCCGTATTTAGGAACCCAGCGATCAAGCGTGGAATCAGAGCTGCTCATGAATTCATTCCGCAAGAAGCTGTCGCCCATCCAATGATTGGTTGTCTTCGAGTTGCTGGAAAATGCAATAGGAGGAAGATGACAGAAATATAGAAAGCTGTCAACCAACACGTCTGTTGATGCCAAACCCCATACAAGCGATAGGACCTCCGGAAGATCGGCCGAGAGAACTACACGATAGGGATCATCGTTCTCTTCATCTAAGCTGCGAGCTGGAAGGCGAGCGTTGTGAATTCGTTCCCGTTCGCATGACACCCAAGACGCGAATACAGACTTCGAGTTGACTCGATTTTGCGGTGTGAAGGATCTGGCTCCAAAAGAGTATTATGGCCGCTCTGCCAGCCCTTTGCGCCAACTTCACCAATACGCACAACTTCAGAATCCCAGAAATCCATGAAAGCCGACAGCACCTCCTCTCGAGCTGTGACAGAATCCATTGTCCCCGATTGAAAGAAGGTAAGCTCTAGAATTGCTTGCCACAGACCTACTGCATGCTCGGTGAATCCTGCTTCCCGAATGAAAAGGGTCAAGCGAAGGAAGAGGTAGACTTGGACGTGGGCTTTCTCCGGGCTGTCGGATGCAGACCTGTTCAATCTCATACAGTCAATAAACGTGGCATAGCATCGTTCGTAAGTAAAGTCAAGAAATTCAGTCTGTCGGAAATCAAGGTATTTGACCCAAAGGCTGATGAAACGAGGGTTTGATTTCAGTACAGCCTGCCACCGTGCTGAGAGCTTTTTCGTGTCCCAAAGTTTAGCACCTTCTTCTAGAAGACCGAGTAGAAGAAGATCACGAGAAGCATGTTCCCCAACCATCTTCAAGGCTTTCTCATAGAGGGATATCTTGATATCGGCTAGGCTCTTCTTTTCAGCAAACGTGAGGGCTTTCGTTTCTCCTTCAGAGCCTTTCAGAAGAGATTCCTGATGCTTGACCAGGTCAACCCATGCACGGACATCAGTTGGATTGCGCTCAACATTCCTGGACAGTTCGACATTGCGCTGTTTGATCTCTCTATCAGGGTCGACTCGCACCGTCTCGTCACCACTCAAATCGGTGTCTGATACTTCTTCCATGTCACTGGGAAGGTTATCTTCATGCTTCGCCTTTCCATGAATTGAACGATAGCCATATCTCTCATCATCCGACCCCGCATGTCCTGAGGCATCGCTGCGTTTCTGATGCACGGAAGCCGTAAGTGGAAGATAATCTTTCGAGGCATCTGCAGCAGCATCTAACGTAGGCGTTGGTCGTATCCGAAGTAGTTTCGTTCTCTGTGTGTTCACTCCAGATATTATACTCTTCGACCTTGCCCTTGAGCCATCGGAGCGCCAGGCATCTGCCTTGATGATCAACGCGTCTCCTTCGGCGGTATCTCGATCGATCTTGTAGATTGGAGGAAGGCCTAGCACGCTACCTCGACCTATCCGGTAGTAGAGCGGAACATTGTAACGATGAATAGTACCGTATATGACATTGTATCTATCACCTTTACGGTCCACAACATATAGATCTGACGCCTCCTCTACCTTCACGGTGTCTTGCGGCACCAATCGGTGCTCTGGAATAAGCTCCCGTTCAGAGTGAGACGCTTCCTTATGGCCATGACGAATGTCTTTGCGCTCTCTTCGACGATCTCTAGAGCGGGAACGGTCTCGGTGATGTCTGTGTCTTGAACGGTGCCGTTTTGAGTGGTGTCTGTGCCTGTCTTCTTTGTCGGAGCTGTCGCGACTGCGGCGCTCGGGAGGCCGATCAGCTTCGGGTGGAGGCGCTGGTCGAGACTTGAAGCTGGCGAACCGAGGGATGGACTTCTTCTCCGGCTAGAAAAAAAATCCATTCCAATTAGTTTCAATAATAGATCAATTTTTCCAAGAAAAGGGACCAACCTGAGAGCTAGAGGAATCCATGCTCCTGAACGTGAGGCATCGTGAGGCTTGAAGATCAGTTGTTTGGTGGTTGTCACTGGAAAAACTCCGCCTCCGCTTCCCGTAATTTTTTCTGGTTGGAGAGGCGGCAGTAAAAAAAAAGCTACTCCGATCACCCACCGTGCCGGCGTGAAAAAATAACCCAATACGCCTGGGGAGACTGAATTGTTGTTCAAGTTTGAGAAGTGTGTTTCTGAGGGATGGGTTACTATTGCAAATACGGTTAAGAAACAATTTACGCTTCAAGATGGCATCGTCCCTCGCCGCGCAGCTGTCGCAGATTGCGGCAAACTCGACCAACCAGTTAAACCTCAAGGCGCAGAGGATAGCGCATTCACAATCTTTGATTTTCGATAGAAAGGTCGCCGGGTCCCAAGATTTCGATACGATCTATGATATATGCAACGAAGGTTTCCAGGAATTATGCGAGTTGGATCCCCGCTTTGCGCAATTCGAGCGCACGATCTTCAGCGAACAGAGCAAGGCGCAGGAGCGAACGGAAATGAACGCTGCCCAGAATAAGGAGCTGGATGCCGTTTTGGAGACTTTCCTTGCCTTGGTCGGAGGGAAATTATTGCTAAGTCCTGCTGTAAAGGCTGTTGACTGGCTCGTTAGGCGTTTCCGGTACGATTGATTCGATCGATTGACCCCGAGCTCCAACTGTTCGACAACCATGGGCTAACGGAACCTGCAGGATACACGAATATAACATGGAGTTTACAATCCTCACATTCCTTCCATATCACACCACCCCTCTGTTCTTGAATCTATTGTCGATACTTCCAGAGGATCTGACACCGACCTTCAAAATTCTCAATCCCTATAAGAGAAGCTCAATCAACCCCCCGCGCCATCCGCTCGTGCACAGTGCTACCACAAACAAGCCATTCTTCGCAGCTTTAAATAGATACACCATCCAAGTCAGCAGGGAACGAGCGGGTCACCATGCGCTTTTGACATTTTGGGCGGGTATCGTAACAGAGTCTGTTGCTGGAATGCTGGATTCGGGGCGTTCCGGTCGACGAAACATTGAGAAGGAAAACCACGACGATATCATCATGCGAGTTCTTCCGGTATTGAATGACGGGTTGGCTATGAAGGATGTAGCAGAGCTGGTCATCGGGTGCTACATGGTTTGCGTGGCTATTGCACAAAAAGCTTCTTTGCACGACAAGGTCCTCGATAGCTTGATGGAGGCTGTGGCAGAGTCTTGGACGGAAGAAACTGTGAACTCGGGTCTTGTCTGCTTAGCCGTTCTTGCACAGAAGAAGCCAGACACCTCGTTACCAAAGCGTGTTTTCAAAGCCATCCTTCGATTGGAGAACCCTCTTCAGCAGTTGTCCGAAACCTCAAAACAGCACCGGGCATCTCAACTACTACTTGGATTGGTGGCAGGCTGCGTACAGGACCTCTCGAAGCAGAAAGACACAGCCCGTCTTGATTTCCTGTCGCTTATGTTCGAGAGTGAACTGTTAGGAGAGTCTGAATTGGGCAGTGGCATGACCTTGGTCTTGCGCGCTAGTGGCAATGCTCATAAGGATGGTGTCATGTCTCTGGATGCGCAGACACATCTCGCGGATCTGGTACAGCACTTCGGCCGGTCGGAATCCCTGCGTCCTATCTTCCAGAAGACCGTTGCGGAGTCATCCTTTGATATTGCTGCTATCGAACAAAATCTGCAAACAGTTATCGAGTCTGCACCCGCTCCCAAAGCCTTGGAAGACGTGGAGATGGAAGATGCGGAGAAGGAGGAGGAGCAAGATAACTTCACACCGGCTCTAGAGTCTCTGGCGGGTAGCTCGTTCAAGGGCTCATATCTCAGTACCCAATCCATCCCAGTGTACGATAGCCTTGTCCGGACTTTTGGTCTGGGTATTGGGTCTCAAGAGAAGCTTGATGCCTTCGCCAGCCTGCCAGCTCTTGACAAAGCGAACGCTACAAAATCTCCTCAATATCTGTCTTTCTTTGTCCGGGTCTTCTCCGGGTCATATCCCATTGGTACCAGAGTGGCTGCATTGAATATGGTCTCTTCGTTCCTCACTACCGCTTCCATTGACGTGGATCTCCAAGCATTACTGCCTTTTGTCTTAGTCACTCTTGCCGATCCCTCAGAGCGAGTTCGTCGGGAGGCTGCTGGCATTTTGACTATCATTGGTAGTCTCCATAAGAATAAGAAGGGTGATGCTCCAGGAGGCGTCTGGGCCTGCAACACAATTTATGGTCAAGACAGTCAGCCCAAGAATATCCAATGGATCCCGGGCCGCGATTTACAGAAGGTTTTCGAGCGCGCTTTGCTTCCAGGATTGGAAGAATACGTCATTGATCCAGATCATATCGGTCGAGTTCTCGAGGCTACTCTGCGTGGCTCGTCCGTTTCGGACTCCGAGTCGTCTGAGCTTAAGAAGGCTGTTCGATTAAGCTTTTTCACCTGCCTCTGCTCTCATGCTGTTCATGTTCCGCTCTATGCGCCCAAATTTGGTTTGCTAAAGCTTCTTAACCGTGTTGAAAAGGCTGGTGGAACGACCCGTACTAAGGAACTTGGGCCGCTACTAAAGAGCTGGAGAGAGATGGATGGACAGAAGGCTAAGGATGTTTGTGAGAAGGAGCGAGTCCCTGTTTCAGAGATGCAGAACCAGATTGTCTTGACGGTGACACCAAAGGAGAGAGACGCTATCACCGTGCTTTTATCCAACGTGAGCCCGTATTCGGAGTCCCTGAGTCCTTCTTTCGTCGGCGCAATCTTCGGTCGTATGAAGGATGTCTGGCCTAAGGTTCCTGAAGATCGGCAAGTTCTTGCCGCGGAGAATCTCTTTGAGATATCTATGGAACAATCAGATTCGCCTCTGGTTGATGGTTGTAGGGACGTCCTGCGCAGTGTAGAACTTCCGGGAGCCGTGCTTTCTCAATTCCTCCAGAAGATTCCTGCCACGGTCACTGATATGGAAGGTCTTGGGCCGGCTCCCAAGAGAAGGCGCACCAGCCAGAGTAATATGGTCGCAATGACCGTCAAGGATGAGGCTACTCTCAGTGAACTCATGGAGAAGATGACCTTCATTCTGGAGTTGGTAGATAGTTCTTTCCCTGAGACCCACCCGGAACTGGCTGACGGCTTGTTCCAAACCCTGGCTGCTCTCCACCACTTCAAGTCTCAAGTTCAGTCAGGAATGAGTTACCTGCTCAGCTTGGCACTTGGCAGCTTGCTGGCTATTGTCAATCGCTCGAAGACCATTGGTAAGCCACAGTTCGATACCTCCGTTATTCGTGCCGATCTGGTTGTCGATTGTGTCCGCACTACCGACAGTCCTCAAGTGCAGAACGCAGCCCTTCTCTTGGTTGCGGGACTGTCTGTCATTGCTCCTGAAGTGGTTCTTCACAGTGTGATGCCAATCTTCACTTTCATGGGCTCCAGCGTGCTCAAGAAGGATGACGACTACTCTGTTTCCGTGATCGATCAAACGATTGACCAAGTCGTCCCGGCCCTCATTCAGTCATTGCGTAACCAGAAGCGTGACGTTGTGTCAGGGACATCCGAGTTGCTGCTCAGCTTCACCGCTGCCTTCGAGCACATCCCTTCACATCGCCGCCTCCGACTTTTCCACGCCCTTATTACGAAGCTTGGAACGCAGGACTTCTTGTTCGCTGTTTTGTCCATGCTCGCCAATAGATATTCCATGGATAAGGATGTTTTGATCTTGATGACGGGCCTGGTATCGGATGCCAATGCTCCTGTTGAACTTGCCACCTACAGCAAGTATCTCGGACTGGTCAGCGACTCTCTCAAGTCGAAGCCTGGTATCTCACAAGTTCTCCTTGGAATCGGAAGTGACGACGGCCGTGAGCCTCAGAAGGTTGCCGTTGACCTTCTCCGGGCTTTGGCCTACCTGTTTAGGCATTCTTCTCTCAAGTCAAAGATGGCCAAGGCCTTCACAACAGAGGAAGGTGATGAACCTCAACAAATCCGCGCCCTCTTCTCGCAGATCCTGGAACAAACCTTGGCAATTGGAGACAACATGCAGGACATGAAGTCCGTCGGCCAGGCAAGTGGTGAAGTTCTCAGTGCACTGTTCGGAACCTTATCGCTCGTCGATTTCCTCGACACGATCGAGGTGTTGCTTGAGCGCCCCAACGACGAACTCCGCCGCAAGGTTCTCCGGCTCCTGGAAGGCCGGTTACGCCAGAACCCCGAACGTGACAGTCCTTCCCAAACCAGGATGTTGGACTTCTTGCCCGTCTTGGTCAAGATTGTCGAGTCTTCGCCAGACATCCTGCTCAAGCACGCTGCGGTGGCTTGCATCGACCGCATAGCCGACAAGTATGGTAAGAAGGACCCGTCGAAGGTTATCCCTGCCGCCAGGGTTGTTGCTAGTGAGGTTTGCATCGGACAGGAGGATGACCGTATTCGCATCATGGGCGTGCTGTGTCTTGCCTCTATGGCCGAAGTCCTGGGCCAGGCCATGATCCCTGCCCTGCCGGACACACTCAACCGCTCGCTGGCCTTGCTTGAATTGAGCTTGGAGGATGGCAAGGAGAACACAAGGTTGCATGATGCTGTTTACTCCCTGTTCTCAGCTCTTTTCGTCCACCTTCCTTACATGATCTCCGCTTCTCATCTGGACAAGGTCCTTGTACTTTCGTACAAGTCCGCCATGAACGATGAGTGTGAAGAAGAGAGCCGGCAGGAAGCACTGAGACTTATGGCCAAGAAGGTTGATGCGTCGGCGACATTCGGTGCAGTCGACCGCAACTGGCAGCATGCGGTGCAAGCCGGACCAGACGCTACGAAGGAAACTCTGGAAGTCGTCAGCATGGCCATTGAGAAGCACCCGAAGTCATCTACCGCGAAGAACCTCCCTGTAATCACCAACATTCTTTTCAAGGCGTTCGATTTGCGTCGGGAGCAACTCGCATTAGGATCGGATGCTACTTTTGACTTGTCTGATGTAGACGAGATCGAGGAAACCATCAATGAGGTCACAATCAAGATGGTTTACAAGCTCAACGACTCAACCTTCCGTCCTATCTTCACAAAGCTCCTCGAGTGGGCAACAACCGGCGTTTCAAAGAAGGATACCCAGGGCAGCCTGGCCCGACTCACGACCTTCTACAAGTTCCTGCAGGTTTTCTTCGGAACTCTTCAGGTAAGTAAAATATGGTTCCAGACTCTCTTCAACCCAATCAATCCTCTTCTAACGAACCACAGTCCATTGTCACCGGCTATGCCAGCTACATCCTCGAGAACGTAGTATCAGTCCTCGGCAAAGCCAGCCCGTCCAACCCCAACACCAAATCCCTCTGGTTGGCAGCTATGCGCCTGCTCAAGAACGCTTTCGAGCATGACCAAGACGGTAAGCTGAACGACAGTTTCCCAACCCTAACACAAGCAGATTAACTAATGCAACCCGAAACAGAGTTCTGGCAATCTCCTTCACATCTCACCAAAATCGCAACACCCCTAATCTCCCAACTCGCCCACGCCACTCACTCCACAACAGCAACCCTAGTCATCAACGAAGCCATCCCAGCAATCACCGAACTGGCCGTGGCAGCCGACTCCACAGACAATCACAAGGAACTCAACACAGTCCTTATGCGGTACCTGCGTCCCTCAGCCGGCCCCACCGGCAAAGCCGCCGGCGGCGAGAACCCGCACACGCGTCTCGCAGCCCTCAAGACGGAACAGGCGCTCACCGAGCAGCTGGGCGAGGAGTGGCTTGCTCTGTTGCCCGAGATGCTGCCGTACATCAGTGAACTGATGGAAGACGAGGACGAGAACGTGGAGAAGGAGGTTCGCAAGTGGGTTAAGCAGATCGAGGACGTGCTCGGCGAGAAGTTGGATGATATGTTAACCTGATGTGCTTTCCGATCGGGACGAAGTCAAGTTTTCAAAAAGAGGTTCTGGGCATTTCTGGCGTTGGAATTCTGTTCTTGAGTGGAGATGTTCTTTGTGTATAGAAAAGTTGGCTTGGTTTTGTTGTTGTGCCCTTGAATATATAATTCATAGATTTGGTTCTACCTACTGTCCAGTAGAAATTTTTTCAACATGTCCCCTGTCCATCATCCTCTGTTGCAATTTATATCATAACCCTGCAGAAAGATAAAAAAAGATCAAAACACGAACATCATGATACAAGACCCCTTGTTCCAAAAAATAGGCTGTATACCCCTCTCCATGAGGTTCTATATCTTGATCTACAACACAGCCGCCCAGTCAGAAAAACACTTCATGCAGTGAGATGAAAGAAAGGAAAAGCAAATAATACACGTAAGTCAAATAATTCACAGGGGACAGGTAACCCCTGCCCTCCCAACCCTAGGTACATCTAGAGCCTTAGTCTTGAGGTCATGCAAATCCCACACTTATTATTCCTGTCCTATTTTCACTGCTTAAACTCATTTTAAGAATAGCCTGAGAATTTTGGGTTGGAATATCCGGTTAATTCTCTAAGAGATATGCTGGTTCTAGTGGAAGAGCTAAATGAACAGAACTCCGCAGTTGTTCTACTGATTTCATCCAGGAGAGAGACGCATCTTATATCATGAATAGCGAATCAATATTGTCTAATCTTAGCGAGGTATTAGGAAACGGGATACATAGGGGTTGAACCCTTAACTTGATATAATGATTCAGGTCAGAGGAGTAGAATGAATGGCCAGAACTACCACCAATGCTCCTCATGCTTTCTGATCAGCTTTGAAACCATCCCGGACATTTGCGTATTTCGACCAGGAGAAATCGATATAGTTTTCGGATTTTTCCAAAGCGTCAGTGCCACCGAGTTCTCGAACCAGCTGAGCCATATTAGCCAGTATACCGTTTCACCATTAAGCAAGCAGGTAGGTTCGAGGGACAATAGAAATGAAGGAATCAAGACATACTGTGTCAATAAGGCTGTTTTCCCCAACTCTATCCATACTGGTCTCCCACCACATTTCACCTGCAAGGCCTTGCTTTTTGATATAGTCCGCCTTGGCTATGGTCGTTTTCACCGTATCGTAGGAAACATACATCTTGTTTTTCTCGTCATAACTATAACTGGCCCCTAAATCTGGTAGTTCAACAACGTTTGCGTTAGCCAGTGGCAGTACCTTGTAATGCCAAACTCCGGCATCCGCCATGCCCGTCCCAACACCAACATAGGGTTGGCCTAGTCCAGTAGTGTTGACGAATGCACGGCCGTAAAGCGGTATTCCGAGAACAATCTTTTTGGGTGGCACGCCATTAGAGGTATAGTACTTTATAGCATCATCTGTATTGGCGGGGTGGTTTCGGGATTAGAGGAGTTGCCATAGAGGTTAGCTGCATGACCGGTTGTTTTTACCCAAATACCGACGTAGTCGTATGCCATCAGGTTCCAGAGATCGAGATATTTATCCATCCCAGACATCCGGAGAACCTTGTAGTTTGACGCCCCTGAGACTTGTCGTTAGTTCTCTTCTTTTGTGTTTTGAAGGGACCACACGTACCAGCTGAGCAGGCGATGGTGAGGAGGAACCTTTTGCCATTCGTATGCTCCTTACTGCAACTGTCCAGCTCCTGTTGGTCTGTTCTTAGCGGTGCCATGCAAGAGAGGCAAGAGAATTATTATTGGAATCGGATTGTCATGTATTTCCTGATGTATACGCAGCACATACTTCTCTTACTTCCTTCAGGAGAGATACCATATCTTCTGCACTCTCTTGTTTGGGATACTATATGCTATCAGCCTCGTGAAATGATAAATAAAATACATAAGATAAAGAGAAGGAGAGGGAGAGATAGATAGAAGGGAAAAGCTGACCTCCCAATCGATATCCACCCCATCAAATCCCACGTCATGCATCAACTCGACAGCCGTCCGGGCGAAGGTCTTTCGATTCGCCTCAACATTGAGAATACCAGCCCAACTTTGTGAGTTTGTGTACCCACCGATCGACAGAAGGACTTTCAGATGTCTGTTCTTCCGCTTTAGGAGACCCAGCTGTTTGACGCATCCGTAGACATTGTCTTTCTCTGCTTCCGTTGGGTCTCCGGGGAAGTGTTTATCATAATCTGACCATTGACCCCATAGCCTCACCTCACCAGTTTCGGTGATGTTCGCAAAGGCGTAGAGGACGTGGGTGAGTTTGTCGACGGGGATATGCTGCGGATAGTGGCCATTGTATATGGACTACGCTTTCATGTTAAAGAGGTCTTCTGTGCTGGTTTGATAGGTAATGATTACCCAACTTGCATAGTAGGCCATGGACATATACCCGTTCTCAGGCTCAGAAGTATTAGAAGTATGATGTTTATCGTTTGTGTGGGATGAGGGCAGCACTGGTGAAGCATGCAAGGCCCCAGAGGAGGAGGAAGAAAGTTTTCATAGTGAAGGATAATGCCAGTGAGTGTCCAAGTATATCTGCTTGAGGAGACTAGCCTGGAGGTGGTGTTGATAAGGAATCCATGTTGAACTTATAGTCACGTCTGATATCTGTATAATGAACGTCAGCAGTTTGTCTAATACTGTGGGGGTGGGGGGGAACAAATGATGATATACTTGAACGGCTTCTATAAAGACGCACATTCCTGCTTTTCTTTGTCAAGTGACAGGATACTTGGGGATTATATTGCTTTGTATGGGATTGTGTTCCACGGATGCTTTGTTCAGCGGGGCTTTCAGGGTACGTTTCCAAGTTTGGTGATAGTAGATACTTGAATGTATCAGAAAGAGGGTCTTTTGTTCAATCCACCTTTTATGAAGGCACCGAGAGGAAGGGGGCGTGACCTGGAGATAGAGTGATGCCTATGATTTCAGGCGAGTAGGACTACATATAGTATCAATTCAGGTATTCATCAAGTTAGTCTATATTATAACTCAAGTATTCTAAATTAGATTAGGCTCAGTGCAAAAGACTCCAAACATGATTTCAGAACCTGGCGATAGCCGGATATCTCGATCAAAAACGCCTCATGCGCTATTGCTATGCGAATTTCATACAACAAAACAATCCGGGTATATTCAGACAAAACACATTTTCTCAACGCCATGGAACACAGAACTTTTAGATCTCGTGAAACCCTCTGCATCCGCTGTTGAATGCGGGAAGACTTTTAACAAGCAGTCCCGACGCCTCCAGTATTGACCCTGGGGACTCGGGCAGTAGACATCAAATCGATCGAACGGTCAGGAGGCAGGATTGGGCCTTGGTTCTCCGAGTACTCTGGTGGCGCCACCTGGACCACTGTCGGGGGTGCGACGCTGCGGGGGCTGAAGAATTCGGCATTAACTTCATGCTGGGTGATCTCATGCTCAGAACCCTTTGTCTTTGCATCGGACCGAGACCGGCTTGTGAGTTGGATGGGGATCTTTAGCGTTGCCGTCGGGGTCAGGATATTGGCGTTTGGCGTATGGTACGAGATGCTGAGTTCGAGGCAATATATGCGAGAGATCAGACACGAGTGGAAGGTTGGGACGAATGCTCTCGTCTTGGGAAGAGTGATGGGCACGACGACTGATGCGGTATAGTAGGTTTCTCCGGTAAAAGACGCTGATGGACCGGTTAAGGACTCCGAGGATGATGACGACTCCATCGAGTCGCAGCGACTGAGTCCCCGGGGGCTGGTATGCTTCGTCCACTGTGCAGACGCCACGCACATGGTAGAAAGGGGGACGGTCTCGGTGTAACATCCTTGACCTATCTGTGCCCAGGGCACATTTCGGGGGGAAGGGTAATCACCCCAGGGTTCTGCACTGAACAGACTGGATGCTCGGAGCTTACTCCAGATCGTGCCCAGGCGGGGAGGTTCCTCATTGCCCACGGGGTCGAATCGTAGATGTACTGTCGCAGCGGTGCTGACCGAATCAGTGGCCTCACTGTTTGGTGGGCACAGTTGCACAGGCTTGGGTTGTGACGAGGCGACGACTAGTCGACCTAACTTGCCTCTCATGAAACCGCGCTTGACGTCTTTCTCCTTCCGAATGCAGTAGCTGTCATCGTCCGTGATGTTTAAAGGCGGCTCCTCATCGACGGCCGGAATGATCCGCACCTTCTTTCCTACCGAAGCCAAGGCCTTCGACGGGGCATTCTCTGGCTTGCGTTGCACGCTAACCCGGATCAAATACGATATCCGGCACATATCTGGGGCTAGGTCATTCAAGAGTGACCTGCCGTCATTGGCCAACATGGGATCCCCCAGAGAAGGTGGGAGCAGGGTGTGAGAGCGTTCGACATGGGTGTTCGTCTTTGCGTGGCTACATACATGTGGCAGCAGACGATCGGGTACGACAAATGTGAACGGAAACCTGTAAGTGCGTCCGGCCTCCAGCACACGGGGCATAGGATAGGCAGAGTCCTCAATCGGTTGGCGAAGTCGGAGGAATGTCTGGTAAGCGCCTGTACGTCCTGGCATCGCTACACGCTCCACGGAAGTTCTCGATGTCCCTGTATATATGAGTCAAGGCTCCCTCCGGCGTTGAGTGATCTCTCCTGTCTGGGACTTCCTTACCCTCAAAGGTGATGTCAACATCATCAAAACGAGTATCACGGTCTACCGTTATCACTGCCGTCCCCTCAATACGATCCTTGGTGGTATATGAACTGACAAGCCCTTCGGCCTGTCCGGCGAGCTCGATGTCGACCTTCGGACGCGACTGCGTCAAGGACTCCAACGTGCTGGAGCTACGAGTGACAAATGAGGTCATTTCGGCTGTATATCACAACGTAAGGGGATAATACAGAGAGAAATGCTCCAGGATATTGTGGAGAGCGCGTCATGCGCAGCACCCCAGACCGATAGTGAAGAGGAGAGGTAGCTACTGAGCAGAAGGAATTGGATTGCAGCGTGGAGAGAAAGAAGAATATAAAAAAGAAACGAAGGGAGACGCCAGCTGCAAGAGAAAGGTTCTAAATTGAATGTAGGGATGGGGTGATGGTTGTCGTTGGGTAATAGTAATGGCTAGCTGTGGAGATAGTTTGATGTATACTTGCAGCACACTCAAAACTAGATAACAACGATGGATATCCTTTTGAACGGACCCCCGGCGATTTCAATATTAAATATTAAATACCTAGCTCATAACTAACCATCCCCCTTCTCTTTCTCATCGGCCATGTCAATACACAGGGCGCAAAATGAGTCACGCCTTGAGCAAAGAAAGAGAGAATCCATTGATCGGTCATCTTCAGCACGTGTTGACGATAATCCACTTGTTGGACAAAAAAGGTAAAAAAAATAGAAAAAAAAATTTAAAATATTAAGACCGAACCAACAAACTCACACACCGACCACATGAATGAATGAATATTTTCATAGTTCGTCTCCATAACACGAATTCCGGCCCAGATCCACTTTTCCCAGCGATTGGTCCAACTCCCGATGATCCTTTGCGCCCTTCCGTGACATTCAGTGCAGTCACCTCCAAATCCCGGATAATATCAAGCCTTAAGCGATGCCGACCTCACGCCCTGTGTCATATTGGTCATGAACTTTACTCCGGAGTAAGAAGGTATTCCCCCCCGTGGGACAGGGAGATTCAGGGGAAGAAAAGGATAGTTAATAGTAAGCAGCCTGACAAATATGTAGGTTGGTGACGATCATCAGACCAATAGTTTGGCATAACCCTAGCTAGATAATACCCTTTAATGGGAGTTCAAAACTCCTTACTCTCCAGCATTCCCAACCGGGTCCCTATCGCGTGATGATCGTAGATCTCACACCATCCTGAGGAGGGTCTTCTGATGGCCGTCTGCCCCCATAAACTATTCGTCAATCATTGCCCATAGTGCGTGTTTTACGGGTTCCCAACCTTGAGACATGTGTGACCAAGGCAAAGAACGACCACAACAGCTTGGAAGACGATTGTTGATAATCAAAGTCCTCGTATACTAGTCGTTCCGAGTACCGAGAAGACTGAACTAAAGAGTCTAGCCCATGGGATGAAGCGAATAAGAACGTTTACCCGCTCCAAGTAACTTCGTGTTGTCGCCAGTCGACCGTTTAGCTCTGCGCCTTACAGCTTCGGCTCGAGATCCACTTTTTTCTTCGTCCAAGATTCTTCGCCAAGGGATCAATCGACTTAATTTATCCCATTGGCCGTCCATGCGTTTTCTTGGTCTCGATGCTGTCATACTTCAATTATTAATCCTGACCCAGCTGTAACAGTTGAACTCAAAAAAGAATCACCCTGAAGAGAATCTTGAATTCTTCCCCTCCCCATGAAGAAGAACAAATGGAATCCCCATCGAGTCGACCGACTTCATTTCCTGCTATATATCCCTCATTATCATTAGTCACTCCTCCATCAGAAACCAGGAACGAAGGTACGCTATTTCACTGTCTCCAGCCGTTTTTTCCACGGGACCGCGTCTAGCCGTGGCTAAGCGACGTCTATGAGCCGACCGCTACGGTATGCCGACGGGAAACTAACAATACTTGATAGCATCTTAAGTGATACGATATAATAATGGTTTCTAGCGCTCGATGTCGCCATCTGTGAAAATTTTTCTTCTCCTACCCCGGCCCGGTCCCATTTGCCCCTTCTTGGCAGCCATTATGGAGAAGTTTCGACCGGAAGCTGGGCCAGTTAGTCGCCCGAAGAACGTAGAGCCAAACCATACAATGACCTCTCGATACACCCTTAGCCCTAACAGCTGATCTTATAGAATAGCATTGGAGAAGGAACAGGTTTAAACCAAATAGAGTCTGATAGTTCTCATGGAAAACTTAGCTGGGGATAAGAAAAACAGCTCGATAAACTCTAAATCATGATTCCCCTGCAGATCACAAGCAGCTCTAGCAGCTACAGGCGGTTATTCTAGGCACTGCTGGCACTCGGGCCACCTCAGACTTTCAGCTGCGAAATTGTCTCAAGATCAGCGAGTTTTTGTACAAAAACAGAGTGTGTTATGTCCGTAGTCTCTATTCGATGCTCGAGGTACCCCTGGATCACGCTAACGAGGTAGTGTAGATACCGTCCATCATAGACGAGCGCAGTGGGATGTGTTACCAGTGATTGAAAACACAACCGCATGAATCTGAAGTGTGACATCCTGGTAACTCTCAACTCGAACCATAGTGTAGTAAAGCAGGATATTGCTCATCGCAAACTCAGGATTGCTCAGAGAACCGAAAATCCGTTGTCTGCTTGTACTATGCATGGGCTTCGAAGAAGCGTCAGGCCTAATACTTACCATTAAGGGCTCATACAGGGAAGTGGTCATAGCTGTAGGACAGTAGGTATGGAAGCTCCTGGCACTTGCTGTGGTAAAGCTTGGATGTGACACAACCGCATCATGATGAGGAATCTACCTGTAGTTACCACAACAAAGCATATCCTTTGACTAAATCCTCCGTGTCAAGGCTAGCTAGTCGAATGTTCTGTAAATTCGAGAGCACAGAGCAAACGGCATTCCTGGTAAAAGGCCTTGGGTGTTAGCAGAAACGACCGTTATTGCTGTAGAAAAACGACGATAATAACAACATCCTTGAGGATTCGTTTCTCATTTGGGACCTTAAAGTAGAAAACAAGTAGGTACGAATGGCCTTGTTTGCCGATCAGTGAGCCATTCTTCTCATAATGTTTGTCGTGATAGTGACATGGGATCCCAAGTGACAGCCGGCATTAAGAGATCAGGCAATCTGGACCACACTGGACATACGGGATGCTGGTGCGTAGTCTGATTTATAAAAGAGACATGTAGAGGCAGCGACTGAACATTGTATATTTGGATAAATTGTATATAGAACGGTTGTTATCGCCATGGAGGCACAATCAAGGTGCGGGAGGATGACATTGACTAGAACTAAACTACGAGAGACCATACAAGAATAACTGTCCCGACGGATAAATTACGATTCATATCTGTGGCATGCAGATAAAACCGTACTCAAAGATCGTCGAGGGCGTTAGCCTCTTTCTTGTCTCATACAGGGTGAACTCTGAGAGTCCATGCTGCATCCAGCTCAAGATCAACCAAGTGAGGCAGAGGACCGAGCGAGGCAAGAGACGTCAACATGCAGATACATACGATACTGCGTTCTCCCTATCTCTATTGGCAAAGTTGAAAACGGAAGGCACCAGGTTTTACGGTAGAAGCTGTACATGATGATATCGATTATCGGGTATCTAAGAACCCCGGTACAGTAAAAAGAAGCCGCTAGACGCCGTGTCCGCTAAAATCAGTACGCCACTCTCGTCCGCATATCCTACACAGGAGTTAGTTGATTGTTCACACAGCATGGTACGAGGTAAAACATACCGAAATCTTCCGTTCAATTTCTCGCACTGAACGGTCAAGTTCCGCAGCAATCATCATCTTCGTGTCATTAGGTAATAAGAAATACGTCTCACATAAGTCACCGTCAATGACGCCCTTAACAGGTGCATAGTAACTCCGGTAAATGAGGTGGTCCCGTCCAGCAAGGGGAGGGTTCTGTGCTGCCAATTGCATCTCCAGGTTTTGGAAGAAGTCGACGTCCTCTCGGCTGACAAAGGGCACGAGCATTCCAATAGTACCGTGGAATCCGGACCAGACGAGAATGTCCCGCCCACCAGCTACAAGCTGGGTCTTGTGCAAGGTGGTCGGGATGTCCTGGGTGTAAACATGGATCATCAGCTCCAGACGGTTGGGCGTACCGTGGAGATAACCACGTTCATGGATCAAGTGTGCGCCCGATCCATCCTCATCAGCCTGCTCGGATATTTTCTTGGGACACCGCAGCATCCAGATATTACCAAACTTGTCACCACCAGCGGTGGTTTCATAGTCGACCATCGTCGTAGAAGTCGTCCAGCGCGAGACAGAATCGTCCACAAATGGAATTAAAACATTTTCTTGATACTTGTATACGACATACGTAACACTCTCACGAACGTCACTCACGACAATTCTGCTGCCTTGCGTCTGGAGGCCCACAATCGTCTTTGGCACCACTTGGGCATTACACTTCCTGAGAAGTTGTTTCATTCCCAAGTCATAGATCCGGAGCATCGAGCCAATACCAGCAACCAGTCGGCCTTGGAAACCAAGAAGAGCGAGTGGAGGTTCTTCGACCTTGGTCTTATGGATAAACTCAAGCTCTCTTCCATCTTCTTGGAACCTGTAAATATGGATGTATCCGCCGGCAGACGATGGAGGGTTAACATTCATATCTTTTGCTGTTCCTACAACGAGGAACGTCTCATCGTCCTGACTAGTGAAGGGAACAGCTGCAACACTGACAGCAGCCTCATTTTCCTCAAGTTCAATTGTCGAGACAACAGATTTGGCGTGTACTGGGTCGACAACCTGAATACATGAGGCCCAGTGACCAGAACCCCGTGGATATCCAAATTCCTCGGGAGGTAGCACGGTTTCATCACCAGTACGTGCCTTGGAATCCTCTATTAGTTTCGCCCTAGTGGATGGTGACAAAACATTGTTGTCTGATTCAATGACATAAAAAAGTGGTTGCTCAGGGTGTTTCAAGAAACGGCGCGGCGTGTAAGCGAGGGAAATCGACTGCTGCAGCATGTTGTTGTCAAGCTTTTCGATGGAGAAAATCCTATCCGCATCAGTTAGCAAATGCAACTATTCGCAAGCAGCAGCTGACATGTAGTGTTCAAAATAAAATTGATCTCAGTAGGAACAATTGGAAATAAAATAATAATAAGCTTCCACATGGGTTTTCAGGTCCCATATTCTCATCATACGATCAGGGTCA